TAGCACCGACATCACCACCACCCTCACCACCGACATCGCCACCACCGCCGCCACCACCATCACACGACCTTTTCCCACACAATGCACGCCCTCGCGACGAGTTACCAGCCCGTCGCCGGCGACGAGGACGACCACACCGACCTCAATGGCGGACCTCGCGCCGCCCCCTCGCGCAACATCTTCGCCAAATACCTCCCCGACTCCTTCCAGCTCGACGGCGAGAAGCATTGGTGGCGCACCTTCACCGAGATGGTCTTCGGCTGGCCCATGCCGCCCCACGACCCTGCGCGGGAGACGGCGTGGTTGGACGGCCTGCGCGGCATGGCCGCCTTCCTGGTCATGTCCTACCATTTCAACCTCAACTGGTTCTTCCCGGCCCTCGTCGAAGAGCCCTGGGGCGCCAACATGGCCGACCACGGCTGGGACCTCTGGCGGATGCCCTTCCTGCGTCTCTGGATGTGCTCGGGGCACACCCAGGTCAGCATCTTCTTCGTGCTGTCCGGCTTCGTGCTGTCCTGGTCCCCGTTGAACTCGATCCGCAATAAGAATTACGATAAGTTATACAAGGGCCTGGGGTCGTCGGCCTTCCGGCGTTGGATCCGTCTCTACCTGCCCACGGTGCCCATCGCCTTCTGGGAGTGCCTGGAGCTGTACTTCGGATACCGGGAGATCGGCAGCAAGCAGCGCGAGTCCAACTTCTTCCTGCAGCTGTGGGACTTCATCAAATCGTGCGAGCAGTACGCCAACCCGCTCGACTTCAACCGGAACCAATGGTCCTCGCTGCACCCGTACGACTGGACCATGTGGACCATCCCGTACGAGTTCGCCGGCTCGCTCCTGGTCTTCTTCATCCTGCTCGCCGTGGGCCGCATCCACAACTACGGCCGCCGCACCATCGCCATCAGCATCATCGTCGCCTACTGCGCCGCGCGCGCCGAGTGGAGCTTCTGGCTGTTCAGCAACGGGATCCTCATCGCGGACTACGTGCGCGAGCACGGCGGCTTCCACAAGCTCTCCGAGAAGCAGACCACCACCTCCCTCATCGGCTGGTCGACCTTACTCGTCGTCGCGCTCTGGATCGGCGGCGTCCCCGCGCCCTTCACCTCGCTCTACACCCGCCCGGGCTACGACTGGCTCGACAGCATCACGCCCAAGAACTGGATGGAGGTCGAGGGCGGCGGCCGGCTGTGGTGGAACATCGCCGGCATCCTCATCATCTTCAGCTGCTGCCACCTGTCCGGGGTGCGGCGGGTGTTTGAGCACGGCGCGGTGCGCTACCTCGGCCGTATCAGCTACATGATGTACCTGACCCACCGCATCGTGCTGGAGCCCGCGCTGCGGCCGTTCCGCGACTGGGTGATCCCGCTCTTCGGCCGCGACGGCTACATCGACCTGCCGGGCGACAACGGCTCGCCCTACCACTGGCTGGTGACCGTCGCGCTGTACCTCACGCTGTGGGCCGTGATCGGCCCGACGGCCATCCTGACCGCGCACTGGTGCGAGCGCCTGTTCGACGCCCCCAGCGTGAAGTTCGCCAAGTGGGTCGACGACCGCTTCATGACCGGCCTGACCAAGCGCGACGACTCCCAGGCCGCCCGCGACGCCCCCGGCCTGCCCACCCACCACGACGACGTCCGACGCCGGGACGCCGGCGCCCCCGCCCCTGCCCCCTACCGCGACGAAGACCCGCGGGCTCACGCGGACGGAGGCCCCGTGGAGGAGGAGCACAAGGAGCACGTCGAGCTGGCGGACCTGACGCCGCGCGCGGAGGACGAGGCGCCGGCGCCGCAGCAGCAGCAGCAAGAGCGGTCGCTGGTATGACAAGGAGGATTCCTCGGGGTCGGGGGATCGTTTCACGTTTTTTTTTCCACGTTGGGCGCGAGGGGGGAAAAGGGGGTGGGATGTATAACACTCTTTCTTTCTCTTTTGGGGATGAGGGTCGCGGTTCGGACGTGTGTGTAGGAAAAACAGATATCTAGCGGGCAGAGATGATATGATACCGCCTCTTCTTCTTCTTTTTTGATTTTTTCTTTCACTTTGGACCCCCCCCACTCCTGTTTCTGCTTCTCCTGTCTTCTAGACAAGTCTTTCTACATGACGATCTTTGGATATGGATCCTATCGAGGGTTATGATCCCCTCTCTTTTGGATGTCTCCTTCGCTTTTCCCCTTGAACTCGTCTCGGGCAGGGAATGACCCTGTCGTCGGTCTTTTGTTTTTGCCAAGTTCGGTCGGTGTGCGGCGACCACCTTCGGCTCCAGACCCATCGGGTGGAAAAAAGGAAGGAGCCACAAGGCCTTCGTGATCTGGGGGCCTCTGCCTGAAATATGTTTCCACTGCTCTCGTCGAAAAGAAAACCGCGATCTCAGGGAAAAAGGAGTCAAGGGCCCGGGAGCTAAGAGAGAAAGAAAAGACAGGCCGGGAGAGTCCCCGATTCCATCACCCATGAAGCGTCATTCTAGCATTCCCTCTCCACTCCCCTCTCTCTCTCTCTCTCCATCACACACACACGCACCCTTCAAATCGCATCCTTCACCGCCTCAAGGACCCCCCTCGTCTTCCGATCCCTCCCCCGGACATCCACCGGCCCAAACGTCCCATCCACGGCCTCACAGACCCCGCTCTGCCACGGTCCGCCAACGTGGACGCCCAACCTCGCATAGTCCCCTTCGCTCTCCCTCCAACACTCGCCCACCGTGGCCCCGATCTTCTCCATGAACCCCGCGAACCCGGCCTCCCCACCACCCGCCTTGTAGCTCTCGAACGGGCCGGCGACGGCCCACCGCGGGCCCATCGAGCCCGTCACGACCGCGTCCAGGTCCCGCGGCGACACCACCCCGGCGGCCACCAGGCTGCACGCCTCGCGCAGCAGCGCGAACGCGAGCCGGTTCGCCACGAACCCCACGCACTCCTTCTCCAGGACGACCGGGGTCCGGCCGCGCGCGCGCCAGAACCGCACGGTCCGCTCGACCACATCGCGCGCCGTCGCCGGCCCCGGCACGATCTCCAGCAGCGGCATGAGGTGCGGCGGGTTGTAGGGGTGCACGACCAGCAGCCGCGCGGGCTCGCGCATCGCCCGGCTCTGCGCGCTGGCCGGGATCCCCGACGTGCTGGACCAGAGCAGCGCGGCGGCGGGCGCGTGCTGCTCCACCTGCGGCCACAGCGCCGTCTTGAACGCCGCGCTCTCGGGGCCTTGCTCCTGCACGATCGTCGCGCCTTCCACCGCGGATCGGAGCGTGGCGTGGAAGGCGAGGCGGGAGAGCAGCGCGGATCTCGCCTCCTGCTCCCGATCCTTCTTCTTCTCGGGGTCGTCGTCGTCGTCGTCGTTGTCGTTGGATCCTTCGCTGTCGGGGAGGTAATCCGGGAGGCTCGCGCGCACGTACGATTCGAGATCCGGCCGCGTGTCGTAGATGGAGACCTCGCAGGTGGGATCGGTGGTCAGATGGAGGGCGACGAAGGAGAGGCCGATGGTGCCGGCGCCGATGATGGCGATTTTGTGCGGGGTCGTCATGGCTGGTTTTTATGTTCTTCTTGTTGGTGGGATTATGTGTTCATCGCCGTCTTGTCATCCTGGTCGAGGTGAGATGTCGGGTGTGTTCATGATGTGAGGTGGGGGTTGAGCTTCGGGATTTGCACGTACTAGGACGACAGGGGTGGTGTTGCGAGCCTATGAAACCATCATTTTCACAAAGGATTATTTTCTGACTCTAGAATAGCTAGGTTTATGCGCGAATAAATCTCGGAAAGTGATCGAGCACAGAGAGCCGTGCACAGTCTGATGTGGTCTGCCTGCAAATGTGAGAGAGTTTCTGGCAGGGAATTGTGATGTGCATTCGACTCAAGGCCACCACCATCCTGACGATAGACAAGCGCGAAGCGCACCTGTGGTGCTCTCAGGGGATCAATAGTACCCCAATGCGTATTGCGACGCGCCCTCGCCTGTGAAGGCTGACACGGCAAACTGTGGACTGCGACGCATGCGACTTGAGCTGGTATGGCTGGAAGTAAAGATCCAGCTGAGGTGGTCCTGAATTCCTCCTCCTCAAAAAGTGGTCATTGCTGCTCGCTTCATTGTTGCATTGGGATCAATTTGTCGGAGACCAGGAAAGGCGCGCCGGTTTTTGACTTGATCTCATCGACGGTGACGCCCTCGGCGTGCTCGATCAGGGTGAGACCCGTGACGGGGTCGACGTCGAATACAGCCTGCACATCTACCGTCAGCAAAGAGGGCTGGCCCACGACAAACAAGGCTTGAAACTTACCAATTCGGTGATGATGAGCGACACGCAGTTCTTGCCGGCTGTGGGAGATATTCGTTAGCATGCTTTTCCCATGTGATTTTGATTTTGGGATGCAACCTACTCAGCGGGAACTCGCATTGACGCAAGATCTTGGGGTTTCCCTTCTTGTCCGTGTGCTCCATGACCACGACGACCTTGGTCTGTTGAGGGTTGGAGACGAGATCCATGGCACCTCCCATGCCCTTGACCTTGCCTGATGGAAAAACAGCGTCAGTAATCCTCCACGGAGAGTATGCTGGGGATAAATCACTAACCGGGAAGCATGAAGTTGGCTAGATCGCCGCTGGCGCTGACTTGCATAGCGCCGAGCATGGTAAGGTCGATTCTGCCTGATCGGATCATAGCGAATGATTCGTCAGAGCCGAAGACGGCTGCACCCGGGAGAAGAGTCACGGTCTCTTTGCCGGCGTTGATGAGATCGGCGTCCTCCTCGCCTATGAATTTAGAGGAATGGTTAGCGTCGACAGTTCTATATTGCGGTCAATGTGGAACACCCACCTTTCTGCGGATACGGTCCAAGTCCGAGGATACCGTTCTCACTCTGCAATTGCACCTCGACCGAAGGATCAACGAACGAGGTCGCCATCATGGGCATGCCGATACCCAAGTTGGCATACATTCCTAGGGAGAAAGTCAATTAAGAGCCATTGCGGAACACAATTCCCGGCGAAGCTCACCATTCTTAAACTCCTTAGCTGCTCTCCGAACGATACGCTCACGCTTGTTGGCGACCTCTCCGGATCCCAACGCGGCCGCTTTCAACTCCTCAGGGCTCTTCGCGTTGACGACCTTCTCAATGAGCTTCTTCTCAGTCGCCTGGATGACCTTGGTGACGTAGATGCCGGGGACGTGGACAGAGGCAGGGTCGATCTCGCCCGGCTCGACAATGTGCTCCGCCTCGACGATGGTCTCGCGAGCAGCTCGGGCCATGGCACCGTTGAAGTTGTTCGCGGTGTGACGGAACATGACGTTGCCCAATCGGTCCGCCTTCCATGCCTTGACGAACGCGTAGTCGCCCTTGATTGCTTCTTCCATGACATAGGGTCTGCCATCGAATAGCGACACGTTTTTAGGAGGAGTGTACTTGACTGCCTTTCCTTCTGGGCTGAGCTTGGAGGCGAGTTCACCGGTCTGGACAACAGTGCCGTATGCAGCAGGAGTGAAAAAGGCAGGGATACCAGCACCGCCTGCTCTGCATCGCTCCGCAAGTGTGCCTTGTGGTGAGAGCTCGAGTTCGATTTCGCCGCTGTGTGTCATGGTCAATGATTATCCGCGTGCGATCCGAGTTTTCTGCTCTTACTTCAGGTACATCGATTCGAAGACCTTGTTCTCGCCGACTGATTGTGATCTGATCAGCTCCTGTCTCACCACGATAACAGTCCCGGGGGTTGTATACCATAACTTGCGATCATCTTCTTGACCTGCTTGGATGCCAGCAGCTTTCCGAGACCTGCTCCCACAATGCCGGCATTGTTCGAGACCGCCGTCAATCCCTTGACATGTGGCATCTTCTCCACCTGGTTGATCAAGGTGTCGGGCACACCGGACAATCCAAAGCCACCGCATAGCAATGTAGAGTCACCCTTCATGTCTTTCAAAGCCTCCGCCGCCGAAGGAACCACTTTGTTGATCAGACATCTTCGGCCGGAGGAGGAGAATGTGCGGACCGAGATGAGAGTCTGGATAGAGGCGGTTTCATGTCAATCGGGCTGATCCCACGATCGCAGTGTGGAATGAGTTGCGCGCATACCTTGGGCGAAGATCGGCTCGCAGTCCGTAGGCACAGAGAGATTGAAGAGACCATTGCTGCCGACTTTGCGTATGTCTGTAGTATTGAATATGCCAACGTCAAACAAAACGAATGTGAAGCGATCAGAGCATCCGCGCATGTATTTCAGAGGATCGACTCCGCGGTCTGTTCCTCAAAGCCGTTGATAATTCGTTCCATGCGCTTCGGCATTGCTTAGACCCCTTCAAAAATCAGACCATGAAGTGACCGCCGGCCGTTCCAATCGCGCGCAATGGGGACTAGCGAGCGCGAACACGATCATTGGGCTCCTGAGCAATTGACGAGTCGCTGATCCTGCACAGTGTCCGCAAATTGATGATCGCCCTTTGAGGAACGACTGATTAATGTTCTGCTAATTTCTATCCCGCCTCACCCTCCAGAGTTGTGTTCCTTCACCCAAACGATCAACCATACTGAGGAAGCTCTCAGGTCTCGGAAGTCCGATGAATTTAATTTTAAAGTTCAGGGCTGCAGAATCTCCGACGGTCGGGAAGCTCCCGGCCTTTCAGGTACCAAAGCTTTTGGTCAGTTCGTCGATCAGGCCTTATCATTCAGCGGGCCACGCTCTACACACCGAAAAGGGCCAGAATTTATGCATGAACACCGACCATATTTGCCCTTTTCCTTCCGGCCCGATGTGCGGGCATCCAATTAACAAATATTCCCTGGGTCGAAGCGCGTCGCGTGCTAGAACAACATGATGACTGCAATCGAGGTCAATGTCTTATTACTTATGCAAACGCCAAGGAGGTATTGGCTCGACCGTCTGATAACCATGTTGCTGGACGAGAAGTTCGGAACCATGTCCATCCATCAACTACGACCCTTGAAACTCGTACAGTAAATCATGCCCCCCCCCATCACAAGACTCGCATCACGTACTCCGTCGGACCAGCACGACCTCATAAAGATCTCGACAAAAGCGAAGAGAATCGCTGCTGCTCATAAACACTGAATATGCGTTTCTTATGAATCTTTAAATTAGACAGTACCTTTCATGCTGTCTCCGGGTATCCGCAAAAACACCTTGAACGCCTTGCTTTTCGTCGTAAACATTGCCTTGTCGCCACCCTCGGCTCTACGCGAAATGGATTCCCTCCTGGTTGAACGCATACAACAGCTTCAAGAAATCGCCTTCGTCGCATAATCTGGCACGCTTCTCCGCCAGTTCCGTGTCGACCTCCAGCACCTTCTTGACTTTGGCTCGGACCAGTTCTGCGACCTTGCCCTTCCTCTTTCGGTTCGGGTTGTCCTGCATTTTCTTTGCCTGCCTATCCGCCTCTTCCTTGAAGAATTCCGGGACGTCCTCGTCATCGTCCACCTCCATGACGCCGGCCAGGTCTTCATCCTCATCCTGATCTTCTCCGCCTTCGACCTCCATGGCGTCGCCGCCCTCACTCGGGCCGTCATCTAAGGGAATGTTGTTTTGCGCGCAGAACGTCCGGTAATTTGATTCCAGCATGGACATGACGCTCACCGTGCCGATGAATGCACTTCGTAGGACTCGGTTCTTGCGGACGAAGCAGACCCGCAGCAAGCCGTCCCATTCGTCATAGCTGATCTGCGGTTTGGGGTTCTTGGGGGATATCCTGACGACGTTGCTTTCGACCTGCGGTGGAGGATTGAAGTTGTTCTTGCCCACCTTCATCACGTGGTCCACTTTCGCCCACATCTGCGCATTCACCGATAGTCGACTGTAGAGCTTGTCTCCCGGTTTGGCGAACAGGCGCATCGCGAATTCTCGTTGAAACATCAGCACGCACGTGCGAGGAGCGGGCATGGTCGCCAGCAGCTTGAACGTCAAAGGCGAGGAAATCTGGTATGGCGTGTTCGAGATGCAAATGTCAAAGTACGGCAATTCGGGCAGTTTGATCACGTCTCCCAAGATCAACTCCAGACGCTTCGCCGCAGGCGTGCCTTGGAATCGCTTCGTGAGTTCAGCAGCCATACGCGGATCCTGCTCGACAGCAATGACTCGTTTGGCCTTCTCCAAGATCCTCACAGTCAAATTGCCGGTACCAGGGCCGACCTCCAAGACTATGTCCGACTGCTTCACGTCTGCTTTGTCCACAATCGCCTGGGCCACACCAGGGTTTTTGAGAATATGTTGACCAATGTCTGTATTCATCTTGAAGATGTTGTTGGCGGCGCTCGCTGCTTTGCTCTTGCGCGCCGAAGCGCCTGCGTAAGGATCGGACTTTGCGACCCCATAGTTGCCTTTGCGTGGTGTTTTCGGCATTGTATCGAATGTGCGTTGTATACTGCAGGTGTTCAAGGCATTTCAAAAAAATTGATAACGGGTCGTAATCGATAACCAGGGCTTTGGATCTGGGAAATTTTGCACGGGCTGCTTACGTAAAGAGGGTCCATACGATTTCCCGAGCTGTCCAGCACCCTATGAAACCCCAAACTAGCCAATTCTTCCGTAGTTGATTGTGCCGAAAATGGCTTGTTTGGGGTTCCTCCAGGTCCCCAGGTAATTTTGATTCTGGGGAATTTGAAGCCGAGGGTGCGCATGACGTCGCGCGTGTGAATGCAGACGCGCATCCGCGTCCCACGCTCCGAGTACATCGGAGCTGCTCATAAAGTATGGGCAAAAAGTCATTTGTCAAACCAGACCTCCCATGATCTGAACGATCTTGAATCGACAGTCATTGTGATTGAAATACCTGCAATCTGTGGAAAGCGTATCGACACCGCTGCACATTTTCAAGACAAGAGACAAGACTCCCGCCCCGGAAGCAATCGAACCGGTCAAAATGCCAAAGCCATCAGCTTCACGCAAGCGAGCTGCTGAAGAAGACTACGACTCCGACGATGGATTCGTCGAGAAGGAGAATGGCAAAGCTCCCAAAGCGAAGAAGACCAAGAGCTCAAGTAATGGTGATAGTGCTGGCGCACTCGTTGATGACGATGGCAATGAGTACTGGGAGGTGCGTAATCAGTAGCCAATTGGCCTTGCGGCCTTCATCGCGCTCGGAAAGAAATCTAATGCGTTGGAAACCAATGTCTAATATGGAGAAACGATCGATGTACTGATCTGATTCGCTCTGGTAGATTTCAGCCAAACGCCGTGTACAAGTGTCACAGTTTGGCAAAGGCACATTCGTCAATATCCGCGAGTTCTATGAGGCGAACGGTAAAACACTACCCGGAAAGAAGGTACATGGACCCTTTTTGACGGAGATTCTGATGTCATCATCATGGACGTGATATGACATGCTATGCTGCATCAAGCTGACCAGACCTGCAGGGCATCGCACTGCCCATCGAGCAATTCAACGCTCTAGTAGAACTGTTGCCTGAAATTGAGAAAGCATTGAAACCCAAGGCCGGAGATCTGCCCATCTCTCGACCACGTTATGATGAGGAGGGCCCCAAATCGGCGGCTGCCAGCAATGAGCAGAAGGAAAGCAAGGAGCCCGTCGCATCCGACGAAGACGAGACAGTCGGTGACGATAAAAAAGGAAAGCACAACGACAGACCGCAGAAGCGTCAGAAGCAAAAGGCGAACCACGAAGCGACCAGTAGTGAGGATGAGGGCTGAAGCGAGGTCAACGACGGAATTTGCGGTAGAGACTAATCAGTCTGATTTCGAGGAGAAGCTTAAAAAACACAAACTTGAACGAAAGGAGAACAGTCGAATTGTTCAGCATCATCAGAGAAGGGAGCTCCACGTCCCTTCCTGTCACGAAGATTTTGGCAGGGAATGATAGCACAGCCGCTTCGTGAGTCCTTGTGTGGGATTTGTCTCCCGTCCAACTCGCAGGTTAGATACGATTGCGAAGGTGGCGCAATTGTACCAACATAAGCTACGAGATGGCAAATGCTCTCAGGGGAGCTCGCGCCTATTCGTTTCGTGTTGACGATTGTGCGTGTCCGACAACAAAGATGTGCCTGACTGAAATATCCACATACTGAGGACGAAGGACATGCAAAAGGGCACATTTACATATGGATGCAGCGTTCGGCATCGGCTATGCGCTCGCCGCCGTGCAAATGGCTGAGCAGAAACGGGCCATGGCAATACGGTACAACGAGTGTCACCCAGGCAACCAAGAGTCAAACAATGAATATAGATACTGTTCCAACACTCTTCGTGATAATCATTATGTACAAAACACACTTCACACTAGAACAACCCATATGGGTTCTTCTCACCCTTCCATATCGACATCTTCCTCTTCATCATCGTCATCATCCTCACTGGTATCCTCATCCACAACCTCCGCTGGATTGCTTACACTTCCCATCACAGCTTCATTGACCAATCCCTCCATCATGGCAATATCGTCACCCTCCTCATCGTCAGGCGCGATGTCATGCTTCAAGGGAAGGAAGACATCAAAGCCGCCAGTACCCATCGTCCCCAGCCTTCCCGCCACGATCCTCGCGCTAGGACCCGTCAGATGATCGACGTCCGCCTCCTGCACCGCATCCTTGAGGAAACCCAACGTGGTCTCGAAGCTCATCTTCATGAACGGGCTGGGATTGCCACGGTAACCCATACGGTTGAACGGGGCGTATTCACCGCCGCGCGTCATGTAGTCCGCGATGAGCGTGAGGTGGCGGGGGTCGACGGAGATGGCGTGGCTGCCGAAGACGGACTGCAATTCGCGGACGATGGTGTTGCGCGCGGCCTCGATGCCGTAGTATTTGAGCATGTCGGCGACGGAGTTGGTTGTGATGCGGTTGGGGTGTACGACGTGCTGGTAGTCCCAGATGGCGGGGAGATTGACGCCGTTGGCGAGCAGGATGATGGAGTTGTCTTCCGAGCCCTCGCTGGCTTCGACGTCGAGGATGCAGAGGGAGATGCCGGGGACGCTTTGGACGAGGGCGTTGCGGAGCGCGGTCTCGACGAGGTTGAGCATGAGGATTTTGGCCGTCGTGCTGTCGTATTCCATGGCAAAGTTACAGTGAGCGCCGTTCTTGTCATCGAAGGAGAATTTCACGACGTCGTTGGTTGTCTTGCCGCCCTTGATGCGCACCTCACGGTCTTTAGCTACCGATGCGGCGGCTTTGAAATTCTCTTTGGGTGACGGAGTGGATGATGGACTGCCTCCATATGTCTCATCTTCTTCAGAGTCGGACTCGAGTGTGCTGTCTGCGTCTTGGGTTTGTTTCGCGATACGCGTTTCTTCTTCATCTTCGTATGCCTCGTAACCTGATTGTTGTTTGTTGCTCCTGGATTTGTCCCGGGTTGCATCATCGTCGCCCTCGTCGTCAGAATCATCTTCGCCTCCCTCGGCCACACCTCCAGGCCGGGTGGTCTCTTGCTCGATGGTCCCAGCGCTGACGCCGACTTCGGGCTGTGCGTCAGAACTTGATGTACCGGACTTCAACGACTTGGCATCGCCTCGCTTCTTCAACTCTTTGCGAGTGAGGGCCTGTAGCCAAGGCAAAAGACGATGTTCGATCGTCGCAACAACGTCTGAAATCTCGATTGCGTATTCCTTGAGGTACTCTTTGGCCGGGAAGAAGTCAAGTGAGATGTCGTAGCGCTTCGCCTCTGCGTATGAGATGCCTCTTCCTGTCGACTCTGTCACAGTGACCTTGTCTGTTAGATCTGCCAGACTGAGCTTGCTGATGCCCTTGGCAAATTTTCTCCCATCATCCTGAGTCAGACCCTCATTCAAGATCAAAGTCATTGTTGGGGTGGCGATATTTGTCGCAGCTGTCATGACGATTTCTCGAAGACGTGGGATACCAAGGGTGACGTTCTTCGCGGCGTGTCCTGCCAAATGGAAAGTGTTGAGGGTCATTTGTGTACTGGGCTCTCCAACAGATTGGCCGGCCACGACACCGACAGCATCACCAGCTTCGGCCACAGATTTAAGGTAGCGCATTTCCAGAATGGAATTGAAATTCTTCTTCGACAACACGCCCTTGCCGGTTTTCTTGTCCTTGATCAGGCCATCGACGTTCGAATCAACGTATGCCTTGCCCTTCGTGTAGATCTTTTCGCTCATACTGCCTGCGTACTTGCTTGGTGGATAGAGTGAGAGTGCTGGTTCGCTCGCGCCAAGGTCACCAGTCTTTCGGTACCTCTTCTCCGCGGCTTTGTTATGTTCCTTGGCCTCTTCGCTGATCAGTTGACCGATATCACTCTTGAGGCCGAATGAGTGGAATAATGACACATAGTTCTCCGCGACAAACTTGAAATCGGAGAGATACCTGGCCTTGCCGACATCCAACCCGTCTTCGCCATACAGGAACTGCACCATGCTTCCATCGGTTGTATCACGGACAGAGGAGTCATGCTCGACTTTCAGGCCTTCCATGCCTTTAATCAAGCACCGCTGGAGATATCCAGATCGAGATGTCTTCACAGCAGTGTCGATGAGACCTTCTCGACCAGCCATGGCATGGAAAAAGTACTCCTGCGGGCGGATACCCGTTAAGAAGCGATCCACAATGTAGCCGCCTGCTCGCACGCTGGTCTCGAATGGCTTGAAGCAGGGAAGCGTCTTGCCACTGACCATGACTGGTACTCTTCGTCCTTCCAAGGTTTGTTGGCCGAGATTGCAGGAGATGAGATTGACGTTGACCTTGGATCCCTTGGCACCAGAATTGGTCATTGTCTGCATCTGGTTTCTGGGAAAGGGTTTGTATAGAGCAGTAGGCATGCAACTGCCTGAAACTTCCGAGCTGATCTTACCCACAGCACCACTGGTCAATTGATCAAGGACCTGCTGTTTGCTATCATCACGCAGCACATCTTCGAGACGACGGCGGAGCTCCCGGTCCTCAGTTGTGGTTACACCTTCTTCGAGACCCACATATTTTGCGGCAACGTCAAGTCCAGTGGTAGCGGCCGGTGCAAGCGCCTTCTGTCGAGCCTCCTCGCCCTGTTTGGTGAACACGAGGTCTTCAACACCACAGGAGAAAGCACGCATGTGAAGCAGTTTGGTCAAAAGTCGACCCAGAACACTGAGAAGTTTTCCGGCGATGGTGTGCCCATAAGTTTGATATACGCAGTCGACTAAGCCGCCAGGCGTAGGTCCAATCTGCTTTTTGTCGAGGATGCCTGAAAGGAGCTCGCCATCTTTGAAGATCACGATGCCCTCTTCAGATCCAGATTTGCCCCACAATTTTGCATCAGTGGTAGTCTTTCCGGTCATCGTAAGACCCTCAGCGCCACGAGGCGTCAGATTTTTCAAGATCGTACTGAAGACTTGTTTTCCCGTCCATAAAGCCTTGGGTTTCATGACAGCTGGTGGAAGGGTTTCTACCCTGCCGGAAGCACAATGCCCATGCTCAGGTCGAAGTGCTGAGTAGAGCAAATTCATGTATTCGCCGCGATCAAAGAACATATCCCGATTACTCAACCACACCGAGATCGAAATATGATCTTGAATCAAACCTCGCAAAGGATTACCCGCAGTCGCAGAAAGGTATTGATGATCTGTGTCGGCGATAGAGAGCGCCTCGGCTCGCGCAAGCTCATTTTGGGGGAAATGCATGTTCATCTCATCGCCGTCGAAATCTGCGTTATACGTGTTGCAGTTGGCATAGTGCATACGCAATGTCTTCTCCCCAGGCAGGACGCGCGCACGATGACACATCATTGACGGCTTGTGTAGTGTTGGCTGTCTGTTCATAATCACGATATCACCATTGTTCAGATGGCGGAGAACTTTCTTCGGCCTTGTTCCTCTTGTATTACCAGTCGCAGCAGGTGATAGAAGCTGATTCGCTAGGGCGATTCGCTCATCGGCACTTTTGCGTTCCAAATTGACGACGGCCCCGTTCTCGTCCTCGATCGCGACAGCACCAGGCCAGACGAAAGCTCCATTCCGGACAGCTTCTTGCAGCTCGTCGATGTTCCATTGCGTGACGGGTTCGGGATACGTCAGCTTGATGGCAAACACGGGCGGTACGCCAATTTCGTTTGTTTCGATGTTCGGATCTGGCGAGATGACAGTGCGCGCAGCGAAGTTGACACGCTTGCCCATCATGTACTTTCGGAACATGCCTTCTTTCTTTTCTAGCTTCTGCTTGACTCCATCAGGAATCCTTGCTGCTGCTCGACCTCCTACGGGCGCAAGGCCTTTGTCGACAATCCCATTGACACCTTCTTGCAGGGCAAGCCAAGTGGTTTCCAGATCGGCGTATGTCCGTGCTCGGAGACGATACTCTGATGGCTTCTCCAGACCACTCAGTTCACGCTGGATTTGAGCGATGGTTTCGCATTGTGTGATGATGGACTTGTACGTCGTGTTCTCCTGGGCCTCAGATATTTCGTTATTGCCCATTCTGGCTTCCGGTCGGAATCGATTCGGTGGCACAAGAACAGCGTGCATAAAGAACATATCCGCAGACACACCGACATCGCCCTTGATCTGGTTCCTTCTGCCAGAGCCATACACAAGGCCCATGATTGCTCGTTCTTTCTCAAACAACAGGGTTAACTGTGCGAGCACTCTCGAAGGGTTCAGATATTCTTCCTGTGCAGTAGCAACTGTTTTTGCACGCTTGCTCGAAGATTCTTGGGCTTCACCTACTAGGGTCCCGCCAGCGATTTCCGGCTCCTCCTCGGAGCTCTCCTCCATATCAACGTCCTCATCTGAGGACCTGTCCAGGTCCGCGACAGCTTCGTCGACATCCCGCTTCCTCTTCTTACCTTCTTCAAGACGACGCTGTCTTCTCAGCTGGATTATGGGATCTATAGCCTTGACACCTGCCTGGACCACTGCCAGATGTTCCTTCTCGGTTAACGCCTTCTTGAAAATCTTGACACAGCGATCCTTGCGGTAGCTGTGGTTGATGCCTGAACAATTTCCACACTTCTTGCCTTTGTTGATTGATGTCATGAAATCTTTAATGATGTGTCGCCGAGCGTTGACTACTGCCTCAGTTTGTGTATCAGCCGGTTGGCCACTTTCCCGAGCGCGAATCAACGCTGCTTCCACAAATCGTTCATATTTCAATGTAGTCTGCTTCACGTCTGCATCGTCCTCAGAATCATCGTCAACTTCGATGCCATTGGCGTCCCCATCTTCTTTATTGCGATATTTCAAATCCTCCAGGTCATGCAGCTCTTTCAACAAGCCTGCCTCAGCGAGCTTCAACCTCGCAATGAACAGGCTGACTTCGCCTCGCTTCATCTTTAGTCTCGAACAGTAAACGCAAGATGCGCGTAATAGTCGAAGGACCTGATCCATGAAGGTTGGGTGGTAACAAGGGACTGGCAGCTCGATGTGACCGGGATGACCCGGACATTGCGGAGTTTTCAAACCACATGTAGCACATGCATTGTCTGCGAACTGCCCCAGCTCAGCGCTGTAGAGTCCGCCGGGTACCGGATTCAAAAGTGTGTCGAAGGTAGTGCTGCTGGTGATGCGCTTGGCTGAGAGAGCACGAATATCAGCGGTCGACAGGTAGCCAAAGCTGACGCCGCTGATCTGCGACGCCACAGGCGCCGATGTATTCATGGTGACTGTCGAGTTCCAGTCCGTGGGAAGGCGATTTACTCAAAAGATCAGTTTGTTGTAGCGAAAGTCATTGGGCGTTTTGCGCCCTGGTGTGAACGAACGAGTGCGAGACCTTGGGATATGTACGAAAAATCGTGGAGCGTTCAAGCCTCAACGTGTATGAAGCTGATTTGACACGGCTTTGACATCGACAATTGTATGCCGTCGGTCGGGGTTGATGTCAATCGTATAAATCCAAAAAATTTAGAATGCGCCGACGACTATCAGATATTCTTTCTTAAAGCCGCAGCATATTTTTTGATATCTTCGCTAGCGCCGGCAAGCTGCCTGGGTGTACCGAGAGCTGTACTTTAGAGCGGACCGTGCCGAACATCGCCGCTGTGACGGCAGCGCGGATGTGTCACAGTCGTCACGCTCCAGCGCTCCCGAGGACGTGATGCGATCGCATTTTTATTGATCTTTCATTGCGTATCACGAACTGACTGATCCGGAATGGTCACCCGACGACGGCCACATCGATAAAATCTCTCAGCCAGGATAACTATCAACTGATGTATACAGTCGGAATGCTGCGCACTCTTCGACTTGGCTGAACATGATCTCGTTTTGATAAGCCGCCCATCACGGAAGAGTTACGGATTATTTTGACTGGACGCGTTGGCTTGTACGAGAGGTGCAGTCTAGCGACCCGCACAGTTGTGGAAGTCGACACATTTGATGCTTTTACGATTACGAGTGTGGCATCATGGCGGACACAATCTCCCACAAGAGACCGGCAGAACGCGAGGATGGAGAGGACAGCGATGCAAAGCGCAGAAAGCAAGAGATGGCCGAAAAACTGGCTAAGATCAAAGCGAAGTTGGCAAGAGGTAATCCTGGCGCAGCTCCGGTCATTGCATCACCAGCGACTACAGCGGCAACTCCATCGAATTCTGGCCCTTCTCAATCTGGCAATGGTACCCTATCAAAGGAGGAGATGGCGAGGAGAATTGCCGAAATCAAGGCGAGAGCGCAAGCCAGAAACGGGGGATCGGTCGCACCTGTTGTTCAACGGCCAGATCCCGATATCAAAGCGCAGATCGCGGAGGCCAGGGCGAAAGCAGCGCTCTTAGCATCACAAAGATCGGCACCACAGCCTGCAGAGTCCTCGAATGGTGTGCAGAACGCTCGGGTTGATCACAAAGCTCCGTTTGAGCCCGGCGCTCGAGACAGCCAAGCAAGTCGTTCTTCCGGCGATTCTAGGGTCAACAAAGGAGGACTCGCGGCAGATTTACATCCTGCTTTGCGAAGCGAGGGCTTTGGAACGAACGAGGATCAAAAACTATCCGAACGAAGCGGAAGAGGTGGTTTGAGCGTCGGCTTACATCCGTCACTGCTGGATAACTCTACTTTACGACCCACTCCAAATCAGCATGGCCACCGGTCTGGGGCGTCACAGAAGAGCAGACCTGTGCCCAAGGTGAAAAGCAATCCTTACATTGCCGACGAAGAAGAGCTGAAAGATGCTCAAACGAAAGGTAGCGAAAGAAAAAGCAAAGCACTCTCTTTCTTCGAACATGGAAAATTCATCGCCCAGGGCAATGCTCAACGAGAAGCTGCGCAGTTAGAGGAAATGAAGCGTAGGATTGCACTTGACGCCAGGAAAACACAAATCGAAGAGGCTTCAGATCGAGCATTCGTAATCTCCCGACCGCCAGCGATCGAGTGGTGGGATGAAGCTGCGTTGCCTGATGGCTGCACAAGCTATGAGGGCGTCGACACAGCTGACGTGGTCAAGAATAGCGAGGTCGATGGGCGCATCACAGACCTTGTGTGCCATCCAGTACTACTGCAGCCACCTCAGGAAAAGTTTTTGCAGCCGGTGAAGCCACTGATGTTGACGCCCAAAGAAATGGCCAAACTTCGGCGGCAGAGGCGTCGAGCCGACATGAAGGAGGAACAAGCCAGAATACGCATGGGCTTGGTGCCGCCACCACCTCCCAAAGTGAAGAAGAGCAATATGATGCGAGTGCTGGGTGAACAAGCTGTCAAAGATCCAACCGCAGTTGAGGCTCGTGTCAATCGCGAGATCGCACAACGTCAAAACGACCATGAGCAGGCCAACGCTGATCGAGCACTCACCAAAGAGCAACGGCTAGAGAAATTAAAAACACAACAGGTCGGAGACGCCGCGAAGGGCCTTAAAATCGCCGTGTTTCGAGTTGACGACCTCAGCTCGGGCAAACACCGATACCAGGTTGATGTTGGAGCCAAAGATAATGCGTTGACCGGTGTGGTGGTCATGAACCCAACAATGTATCTCATCATCGTCGAGGGTGGGGAGCACAGCATGAAAAAGTATCGCAAGCTGCTCAATCGCATCAAGTGGACCGAGAATGAGCCGCCCAAATCGGGATCCAACCCCACAACCTTTACTGGAACACGCGTCGAAGATTCATCACGAGGCAAAGGCAGCAAAGCCGCGGAGTGGTGTAATCCGTATCATGCAGATGGGACTCTGAAGGACCTGAGCTCTAATCGATGCACGCTTGTCTGGGAGGGTGATGAGGCGGAGCTCAAGTACAAGAAGTGGGAGCCACGGACGTGCGAAACTGACGGTGAAGCTAAAGATTTCCTCAAACGATCAGGCATGGAAAATATGTGGACTCTGGCACGAAGCAAGTAGGCGATCATGCAGGTGGCTTGCCCCAGTACGAGCGGCATGCTTCGACCCATTTGTCGACCTAATTTCGCCTGACATGCACGCTATGCATCAGAAGATAGGCGGATTGCCTTCCTGGTTCTAAGCAAGCTCATCACCTTCTGGCGTGCTTCGGAGGTGAGCCAAGACATCAGCTGTTTCGCGCTAATAAATCTTGGAAGTCTTAATAAATGCTTGCGGTTTGGTCCGCGCTAGCCACAGACGCCTATCGATTATTGGCTTCTTTCGCTCTCCGTGCGAGCATCTCGCAATCTTTGAGCTCTCGTCTACATGGCTGAGAACGTGGCGTTATTAGCAGACCACGCAGTGCGCTTTCAGAAATCCTGACAAGCCCACCGATGCTTCTATACGACCTCATGTGCAGTCGGCGACACAGGTGTAGAGGGAACGCGCGTACCGATTGGAAATGGAATGAATAAGTCTCTTGATCTTCTCGGCCTCAAGTATAGTTGAAGACCTTGAAGGATCTTTCGGCCGATCGAACAGTCGCCGAGGAGTGGCGAATGGCTGTATGAAAGACAGCGGTACAATACGATACGCTAATAATGGTACAATATATCGCTTCAGCATACCCTTCGAACAAATACATCACACTAGTCGCGCCATCGTTGCAACTGCGTCTTTCAAAATACCCTCTTGCTCAACCTCAGCTCGCTTACTCGTGTCTACTGTGGCGACGATTAGCATCGTCGAAGATAATCCATGTATGCAACCCATATGTGCGGACTCAAGAGCTGTTCCGTTTTCGTCCGATGCTTCATCATCACGCGGCCTCACATCTCGCTCGCCGAGCGAGCTGCAGTCATATTGTAATATTTTCGTCGAGTCCAGCATTATCACCAAGCTGGATTGGCCGTGGCGCACTCCGACTCATGTTTGACGCACGCCACTTTGCGAAAACCGGAGGTGGAGGACATGCTGCAAAGGTCGGTCCTACACTAATTTGGAGCTCCCAAAAATTCGAACTCTCGTACATGACATCGTCGAAATCCGCATCACGACTTTTCGAAGCGCTAGAAGCTGAAGCTGTGCGCCTCAGAATCTCACCACTGCGGCTTTTACAGACTTTGCGAGTAGCTTCGCCTTTGGCTGTTAGTGTTCAGCTGGACAACCTAGTAACGCTGGTCCAAAGTCCAACGACAAATAGAATGTGTGACGTATCCCGAGTCCCTGTGATCTGGAAAAGGATTTCGCCTTCGCGACTCCGACGAAGCGTTATCACAGCAGTTTTCGGGCAGTTTTGGGACAGTAGAAAATCGACTGCGCTCCTCGAAAAGGAATCTGTTGCGTCCCGTGACTTGGCAACATCTCTCTCTCTCCCCATCTTCTGCGGTGTAGCTGCACACATTTTGGCCACTCGATCAGACCTTGGTGCTCCTTCACTTTAGCGTGCGTCCCGTCACCCTCAGACCCTGCAGGGCGGAGATCGACATGCAAGTGGTTGAGGAATCCGCCACCACAGCACGAGCACGAATCCAGACCACAAAGCTCTCGAGAAGGCCTAAAAGATCGTTGCATATCTAGCTGCATCGACATCGTCCTGTAGGAGCAAGGCATGCAAATTACGCGGACGCCCACCTACCATGTCGAGACGTTGAACGTTCCCCATCTGCGTATGGTATGTGCATGAGGTGTCAAACTCCAGCTTTTTACCCCACACAGCCCAGCCCAGCAGGGTTGGCGGGGTGGTCTGGGGAAAATCCATGGACGGCACTTCCAAGGTTGCCCGGGTGGGAGCGAATTGAACAAAGAAAAAAGCGCAGTGCATACAGACGATTTTCACTGCGAGGACGATCATGTCCTGGACAGTAAGGATCTACCACGGCACAATGATTCCTATTTGATGATGTAGGATTTAGGATGTTTCGTTCCTGTTTCAATTTTGCGTTCCTGCTTGTGGGATCCTACAATGCTTGACCTCCTTTGTCAAACATGCATTGTTCCTGCCGAGGCCAAAGGAATCTTGCATGTGCGACCATCTCTTCCTCAACCAAGATCCGTTCCCATCTTTTCCACAGGTGTCGGACGCCCTCCACGACGGCGATAGTGATGGTGATGGTGGCGCTCGTCCCCGATTTCGCGCGCTCTTACATGACGTATCAAATGGTGTCGATGAAGGTCCGCCTCGCCTCAATCATACTAGAGGTAATACGTCCACGAGTTTCCACCAGACCGACTTATGATCGAGAAGCTAATGCTCCGCGAGACCCACTTGACATGAAGCACAATGAGCTGGCAGAAGACGCCAGTGGATTGGGTTTGTAATGCGGAATGAAGCCGGTTTCGGCCACGAACCTGCCAGAGACTCGAGTGCAATTCGCTTGAAAACTTTAAAAAGCTTGAACGGCGGAAGGCTGATTTGGCACTCAATGGCTTGCCGCATAGCTGATGATCGCTCGCCACTGGCGCACTGATTCACAGCGAACCGCTGAGTGTTGCACTATGGACAGGAGCGGCGTTTCTAGGAGCATACGATCATGACAGCAGATGACACGACAATGCCTCGTAGCGATAACGATTGATGGAAGCGGGGCTCGAGCATGTAGTCGAATCTGTGCATTTGTGGGCAGTGCCTGTCCTGATACCGCTGTAAAATACCCGAGACACCTCCAGACTCATCAAGCTTTTAGTTTTCGACCATTGTGTGATGAAGAGAAAAATGGTTGCAGGCCCACCAATGCGGCCGCCGCTAGACGGACCATGCGCCCGGCGCTCTCTCGCGCACGTTCTCCCTGCATGGGCATGGGCGAATTCGTGAGAACATCGACAGCCCGCCAAATTTCATTGGTGTGGGCGCTGCAGATCCCCAGACTTGCCCCCAGGATCAGCGCCGCCCGCATTGTAGCGCCTGCTCAACTTTAAGTTTATGTCAGACTCGACCACGCTCAGGCTTTGAAGCGCTGACACAGACTATCTGAGTTTATTCTATTATGCTTTTTGGAATGATGACATGGACGTGTCCAAGATGCCCACAACGAACCATTATCAGAACATTTGGGCAGGACAATATCGTCGATCATGAGCAACAACAGCACACCGTCTGAGGTTCATTCAAGAGCTAAGCGAGAAGAGGAAACCCATCGGGGAGCTGCTGTCTCTCAACACGAGCTTTATGCACAGCTCATGGGGAAGCGGACGTCGTCGTCGTCGAATAGTATGCATGATCATCACCGCGTTGTACCTCGAGATACTTGTTGAGTACTTCTGAGCATGTCGGTGCCGGACTACTGCATGTCGGCGTGACAGCTATGTACGAAGTTACAGGACCGACAAGATTTCGCACTAATCAACTCACTACATGCCTCGTCGATGTCGTCTTGAAGCCCAGTGCGGAGTCATTCCAAATGGTATCAGAAACAAGATCAAGATGACGGTCGACGAGTGTTCTGGGAGTGATATAAAGTCACGGAGTCAAGACCTCTCCAACGTTCTCCAGCTCATCAACACAACTCCTTCCTTCGTTCTACACCATCATCCTTCGTTCTTCAGTTTATCTCTCTTGCTCCTCTTCCTGCAGTCAAGATGCGCAGCTCATTGATCCTCGCCCTCGCGGCCTCTGCTTTCGCAAGCCCCATCTCCAACCCCATCGCTCTCCCTCTCCCGGCTCTCCCCGAGTCCGCTGGCAGCCTCCAGGACCTCGCTGTCCCCTTCAAGCGTGAGGCTGGTGTCGAGGCCGCCAAGCCCTCCAAGCACCCTCGTGAGGCATTCGTCGAGGCCTCCAAGCCCACTGCCTCCAAGCACCCTCGCGACGCCGCCGTCGAGGCCGTGAAGCCCTCCAAGCACCCCCGCGAGGCTGCCGTCGAGGCTGCTAAGCCCACCCCGAAGCCCTCCAAGGCTCCTCGCGAGGCCGCTGTCGAGGCTGCTAAGCCTACTGCCTCCAAGCACCCTCGCGACGCCGCCGTCGAGGCCGTGAAGCCCTCCAAGCACCCCCGCGAGGCTGCCGTCGAGGCTGCTAAGCCCACCCCGAAGCCCTCCAAGGCTCCTCGTGAGGCTGCTGTCGAGGCTGCCAAGCCTACTGCCTCCAAGCACCCTCGTGAGGCTGCCGTTGAGGCCACCAAGCCTACCGCATCCAAGGCTCCTCGCGATGCCGCTGTCGCCGCTGCCAAGCCCACCGCTTCCAAGGCCCCTCGCGATGCCGCTGTCCAGGCCGCCAAGCCCACCGCATCCAAGGCTCCCCGTGACGCCGCTGTCGCCGCTGCTAAGCCCACTGCTTCCAAGGCCCCTCGCGACGCTGCTGTCGCCGCTGCTAAGCCCACCGCTTCCAAGGCTCCCCGTGACGCCGCTGTCGAGGCTGCTAAGCCCACTGCCTCCAAGCACCCCCGCGACGCTATGATCGAGGCTACCAAGCCCAAGCCTACCACTCTCTCGAAGGCTCCTCGCGATGCTGCCGTTGAGGCCGCCAAGCCTACTGCTTCCAAGCACCCTCGCGATGCCATGATCGAGGCTGCTAAGCCTACTCCTTCCAAGGCTCCCCGCGACGCTGCTGTCGACGTTGCCAGGCCTCCCCCTTTCAAGGCCGCTGTCGCCGCTGCTAAGCCCACTCCTTCCAAGGCTCCCCGCGACGCCGCTGTCGAGGCTGCTAAGCCCACTCCTTCCAAGCACCCTCGCGATGCTATGATCGAGGCTGCTAAGCCCACTCCCTCCAAGCACCCTCGCGCCGTTGAGGCCACCAAGCCCAAGCCTTCCAAGGCCCCCCGTGCTGTCGAGGCCACCAAGCCCAAGCCTTCCAAGGCTCCTCGCGCTGTTGAGGCTACCAAGCCCAAGCCTTCCGGCCACTAAACGTTCTTTTTTGAACGAGTGTTGCTTACCGTTTCTTAATTGTCTTTACGAATTTTCATGTTTACGAGAAGGATTACATTGTGGCAGGGTTCACAGACATGGCCGGACCGCGCCCTGAAGAAAATTGAGCGTTGATCGAGTCAGCATCAGACGAGAATATGGCGGGGGTGATTTCATGCCTCTTTCTGGCTGGTTCGCAGTCAGGTTGAGTGAGCATTGGCACTGATGTGCCATAATACATAGAGAGAGAAACTATCACTTTTCATCACCGAATGAGTCCATTTCCACATGTAGAATTGAACCCTTGTCATGATATGCGGCATTCACCAAAAAGGACCGATCTGCGCAATGCTCAAGTGCTTATAATCCTGGCCTTGCTGTTTCGCAGATCATGTCTGATCGACAACGTGAAGTCAATTCGGCGCGACGCGGGTGTTGCCGCCAAAGCTTGAGTTTCAGATCCTGGTCGTTTCGTCTGCAGTGAGGATCCACTCAGCAAGCTTATCGTCATTTCCCCACCGTTAGTCCTGGGCAGTCACGGTCACCTCATTGTCTGACGAATGCAATGTAGATCCGGCTGCGATATCAAGGAGACCAGTCGATGTCCTCGCTCGCGCACGTTCGTTCGATGTGTATTATACATCCCGGTGTCATTCATCCTCATATGATGCCATTGGCATTCCCCGGCGGGAACCGATCCTTGCGCGATGCCGACAAGGATTCGAAAATATGCAGAAGGCTGATCACTTCGACTGCCCCTCACAGATGAGTTCGACTGACTCTACAGTCCTACCTCGGATAGTGGATTGATCGAGTTGAAGCTGCCGTCAGTGTCTACCTTGATCGGACCTGCCGATACACTCCCAGTAGGAATTTGCGTTCAGCGAAAGCCCTGGAACGAATGATTAGTAAACTCGCTCTCGGAACAGTGAATGGGGTACGACTCACACAAGCAGAACGAGAAGCCCCGCAAGTGTACCCACTCGAAGGATCTCCCCGAGCAGGCCATATCTGCTCAATGCTCCTTCCGTAGCCCTCACGGCACTCCCCACCACAGCCGTGAATGCGACCGCCAACGCACCTGGCAGAAGATCCGTCACAGCAAACCCCACGCGCTCATTCTTGAAGTATCGTGCTGCAAACTCCAGATTGAAGATAATCCGCAATCCCATATTGACGCAATTCGCAAGCACCAAGCCCTTGGCTCCCATCTGTAAGACCGATAGGAAAACCCATGTGCTCGCGGCGAAGCCGATGGAAAAGGCCGCCATCCAGAGACTTTGCCTGCGTAGTTCGGGTGCAGAAGCTGCGGCGGCGACAAATGCTTCGCTGACACCGTTGATTGCGAGTAACGGTATGCTGTAGCAGTATGTTGCGAGGACTTCGCCTGCACCCGAGTCGGACCAGCGAGATCCGGCGACCAGCCGTAGGAGAAGCGGTGCGGCGGTTGGGCCGATGGCCACAGCGAGGAGAGAGACGATGCAGTAGAAACGTAGTACAGACTGTAGTATTGAAGAGGCTTGTTTGAGCTGTGGCAGGGCAGCATCGTCGTTGGTCTTCTTGTCGTCGGTTTTCTCTTTCTTTGCCTCCTGAGAATTGTGACACAGAGAGGCAAACAGATTACGGGAACTGTCTTCGATGGGTCGGAGAAGCATGCGCGCTATCAGACCACCATAATTGGCAGACAGCGCATACATGCCCTGGTCCTCAAGCGTTGCAAATCTAGCACTCACGAAAGTGTCGCCTTGGGTGAGGAGGTATTTGATGCCTGATTGGACATATAACGACAGGCTGAGATTTACCAATGGCTTGGAGAGCGTAGCGAAGTAATATTCATTGGGAGAGCTATGGACCGATGAGCATGACTTACCGATCGAGGAGGCACGAGATCCTGTACACACCTGGGCTTGATCTGGCGCAGGATCAGGGAGAATTTCTCGAGCTGGGCAACGGCAGATGTTCGCCAAAGATAGACGACCGTCAGCGTCGCACAGTATGCGAACTCTCCAATCGCAAAAGGGAGAACACCAAGCTCAATGCCCTGGTGATGTGCCCAGAAGACCGTCGCGGCTGTCGCGATGGTCTTGAGCACCACCGCCGAGGCCTCCGCCGAAGCGCGAACTTTGTAAAGCATCCTCTGTTGCACGACGACAAACGCAGGTTCAGAGAGGAGCTCGATTATAGCCGCCACCTCGCAGATCCGAATCGCCTGAGAAAAGTATGGGATATTCGGATGGCCAGCATATAAAAACCATTCTCCCAGGCCCAGCGCGAATATCAGCCCACTTCCAATGCCCAGGTAAGACAAATTGATGGCAGACTGGACACCTCCATGACTCTGCCGTTGACAAGCCACACGCAGACTTTCTCGGGCGAAATGATGGGCCGTGATGATGAAGACTTCCAATTGAAGTGCAGCGCCCAATAGTTCGGGCGACAAGAAGCGTAACAGGACCTGATTCAACGCGAACGTGAGCGCTCGGGATCCGATCTGCAACAGGATGAGAAAAGTGGCGCCTTTCGCCGAAGCCGCAACCGCATCGCTTGATTTATCTGCCATTACGAGATGGTCAGATTCCAGTGATAAGAGAGTCTGGAGTCATTGAGAGATAAAAGGCATTGGCTCACGCGCGTGCATTTCAATATTGAAGAATCAGTGCTGTCGCAATAATAATCTCAGGGTCTCGAGTCCGCCTTGGGAACGTCTTGGCATGACGAACTCCATACCCCTCGCCAGCCCTGTTCACAATGCCGAGCAGCACACACCCCACACGTTTGCAGCGTCGCAAAAGAAACGTCGACATCTGCGGAGGAGGCATCAATTGAACGCCAGACTATGAGATTATCCTAGGCAGCGACAATTAGCCCCGGCGGCAGTCCCTCACCATCCTTCATTGCCCACCATGCTCGAATTCCGAACGCCCGGCTTCAATCCGTACAGCGTCAAGTACTCGCCCTTTTTCGACAGCCGGCTCGCCGTCTGCGCCGGCGCCAACTTCGGTCTTGTCGGCAATGGGCGTCTCTACGTTCTCAGCCTGACGCCGCGCGGGATCGTCTGCGAGAAATACTTCGAAACGCAGGACTGCCTGTTCGACCTGGCCTGGTCGGAGCAACATGAGAACCAAGTCTTGACCGCGGGCGGCGATGGCAGCATCAAACTCTTCGACATGGGCGTGGGCGAGTTCCCGGTCGCGAACTGGCAAGAACATGGGCGAGAGGTCTTCTCAGTACACTGGAACCTCCTCGAGAAGAGCACGTTCCTGTCCTCAAGCTGGGACGGCACGATCAAGATTTGGACGCCGGAGCGCAAGGAGAGCATCATGACGCTCCCGGTACACTCCTGCGTCTATTCGGCCCAGTACAGCCCGCACCACCCGCAGATCGTCACGGCCGTCTCACGCGACTCGCACCTCCGCGTGTTCGATTTACGCAGCAAGCCCAGCGCGCAGAACCACCTCACGCTGGCGGTCCCGATTCACGCGCCACCCAAGATGCCGCTCCCGGGGGGCTTCACACCGCGCAGCACGGGGCCCACGGAATGTCTGACGCACGACTGGAACAAGTACCGCGACTCGGTGCTGGCGACGGCAGGCGTCGACGGCGTCATCCGAACATTCGATCTACGTATGCCCTCGGGCCCGATGCAGTTCCTCGCGGGTCACGAATATGCCACCCGCCGCATCAGCTGGAGCCCGCATCTCAGCGACGTCCTCTTGAGCGCCAGCTATGACATGACGTGTCGCGTGTGGACGGACGGGAGCAACGCCACGGCGACCGGAGAGGCGACCGGGATAGGTCGCGAGTTGGGACGTATGGAAAGACATACGGAGTTCGCGATGGGTGTGGATTGGTGTTTGTTCGGGGCGGAGGGATGGTGCACGACGTGTGCGTGGGACGAGCGGGTTTTGGTCTGGGACGTCCGGGAGCACATGCGAGGGTGAAGGTTCCCAACAACATTTCTGCCCGCCGGGTTTGGCGGATGCGGGTTGCAACGCAGCGATGAGGACGGTCCTCGGGCCAGTCCCCGGGCTGCCGACAGACCGCGTGCATGCCGAGATACGAACGAAATGAATGATATATCCTCACGAGGAGGCGGAACAATGCATTTTGAGAAAGCGGAAGATATCGACGAATTTCACGATGGAGCGCCACAGACGAACTCACGCCAGAGGAGACAGCACGACTGTTCATCCGCACATACAAGACAGCGATATCTCCCATTTCAAAGAATCCTTTACTTTTTTTCCATTAAAAAAAACATCTGGGGCAGTCGAGGTACGCACGACCTCATCCTCATCTCTCATACATCCGACGAGGGTAAAAAAAGCATGTTCCTATCTCCATCTACCGCTGTTTTTAGAGGGAAAGACATCGATGTGGGAGGGGCGGTGGGGATATAAAGAAAGGAAAATGCGAGAAGGAGAAAAAGCAAGCGCCGTCTATCCATCGTCACACGCGCGAGGAAACCTGGAATCAACCGCAACGGAGCCGGGAACCCAACTACCGGAACGGCAATGAGCTCCCGCCGCGCTGATCCGCGGCCGGCCGCTGCGGCAGCCAGACGTCGACTGAAGGCCGGCGCGCCGCCTCCTGCATGAACGGCAGCCGCGGGAGTTCGGCCGAGGGCTTCTCCTGCGCGGTCTGGTACGAGGCGGCGTGGGAGATGGAGGATTCGCGGACGGCGGCGTTGTTGTTGCTGTTATTTACGCCGTTGCCGCCGCTGGGGCCTGCTGCTGCTGCTGCATCTCGGGTTCCGTTGGGTTCTTGGCTGCCTGTGGAAGAGAGGAAATGGTTAGTTGGGTTGTACGGTAGAAGATGGCGCGCGCAATCGTTGAAGTCATTCTGTTTCTTTTTTTGGCCTGGAGGAGGCGTTGGGGTATGGCACGCTCTTGTTGATGCATCATGTTCATATTTCGACTTTTCGTCGAAAAAGAAGCCAACATTTTGTTCTACTTTGAACTTCTCCCGCGTTTCTTTTTTTTCTTTCTTTTCTTTTTCTTCAAACTCAACTATGCGCCGCGCCACATGCACGGGACTCACCACTTGCCTTTCTTTTCCGGATCATGAGGAACGCTGCGGCGAGCGCCGCCAGGAGCGCCGGAACACCGAGGCCGACACCGACACCGATGAAGCTGCTCGTGTAGTCGATGCCCTTGTAAGGGTCCTTGGCGGTGTCGGCCCCGGCACCAGCTGCGGCGGCGCCACCTGCTGGGTTGGTAACGGCTGCGGTCGCGGCGGACGCACTGGACGACGAGGCTCCGGATGACGAGGCGGAAGATGATGTGCTGGTCACCATGGTGGACGCGCCGGTGGAGGTGGTTGCGGCGCCGGTGCCGGTGCTGGTCGGGGCTGCGGTGGAAGTCTTAATCCCTGTGATCGAGGCCGCAGCCGCGGCAGGCAGGACGAGAATGTCGGAGCTGTCGACGTAGGCACCGCCCTCCTCCTGGGCGTTTCTGAGGCGGAAGAAGAAGGCTTGTCTGTCCAGGCTGGCGGAGGCCAGAGTGCCGGCGGTCCATTTGTAGGAGTTTTCTGAGATCGATGCGTTTACTGTTCCTTGGTCAGCTTCCTGGTCGGATACTATCCCAAACTTCTCGGGTTCATCGCAGTGATTTGGGCGAGCCCCGTCCCAGAGCGGAGAGGAGCCGTTCCAAAGACCCACGAGCGAGGTTTACGTACCAAGCATGGTGTACTGGTAAGCACCGTCGGCTTGTGGTCCCTGCCATAGCTCGATGCTCGTGTAGGCGTACGGAGTAGACCATAGAAGAGGGACGACGTCGCCTCCGCTGAACTTCGCGGCCGAACCAGGAACTGGCAGCATCCAGGATTGAGCGAGTGCGGTCGACGCGAAACCCGTCGCCAGGACGGCGACTTGGAGGAGTGACGACATGGACATGGTGACAGTCGTGAAGGGAATGTGTTGTTAGAGGACGGAGCCGTGGTTATGGGCGCACAGCAACGACAGCGATGTAAATCGTTCGTTCCTGATGGTGGTCTCGTCGAATCGGCGTATACGGGACAAGACGGTGATCACCAACCAGCAATTCGGACAGTCACACACACAACGAGGGCGTGTTTTGGGTTGATTGGGAGGAAGAGAGAAGATCAAGAAACGCGTGTATGGGGGAATGCGCTGCGACGTTAGGCTAGATGAGCTAGATGAAGTGTCTCATTTCCCTCGTTTCTTTTCTCCTTCCACCGTCATCATCGCGGCACCGCGCCAATGCGAGCATCTAACGCTTCTCTCTCGGAAGTCCGAAGACCCATGTCCTGACTAATGACCCGCAGTGCTATGTAGCATGCTGGCATGAGCTTGGAGGTGAAAAGTCTAGGCGTGCGGGCGGACAGGCACGACAGGCGTGTTCGCAGCAGCAGCGCGAATTGCTCTGCTGTGTACCTCGGGATAATCCCCCAGAATGTCGCCAAAGTCAAAACAGCCAAGCCATTCACGAAGGAGCTATTCCGTTTCTTGCTAGGCGTGAACATCAGGCCATGGATGATGGTGGTGATCGTGAGGAGAGAGCATGATCGTTTGTGTTATCTTGTGAAACAACAATGTCGACGTTGACGATGACATCGCCGTCTGATGGATCCATATGGATCATTAATGGATAATAAATAATAATGATAAAACCATCGGCCAGAAACATGTCTCAGTATCCCGATGCATCCTGCGCCAGAAGCATGAGAACTGCCATGAATTCGGGTTGACCAAGCATTGCGAAGAGCGAAGGCAGGCCCACTAACAAAAAGGCCCCCAAAAATCTCCGCAAATGAGCAGGAACGGGGGAGGCCGCCGGTGCCGACGCCGACGCTGATGAGGATGATTATTGCCAACCTTGGAAGGTCAGTTGGACTCTTTCCCAACCATTCATCAGCAATTGTCGTCATCACCAAGCAGCACGCACCTCAGGAATGTCCACAGTGGTGACAGCAAGCAGTGAGCACTATGGTATGTGGTGACAGTCTCACCGCAACGGGAAGAAATGGACGGGACAGTCTTGCCCGAGAGAGAGAGATGATGTCTCTGACGTCTCTCTCCTCCGAGTTTCCCCATATTCAACTCCAGGACAGGACAGCGGAAACGTGGCACAGGCGCGCGATCATGACCGAATCGCATCGACCGCGGTTACATCTCGTTCCGGCTGCGTCCATGAATGCGGAGAAGATCCAACCGACAACTGCATCCAGCTGTCTGCGGTCTGCAGTAGACTTTGCCTGCTTGTACTTGATCGTTCTCGTTTCCATTGGTGTAGTTGTTGGTGTTGGTGTTGATTCTGTACCGCCTATAGGGAGCGTCGTCACACAGTCATGGTTGATGATACCGACTCTCTACCTCAAACTAAACAACGCAAGCATGATTATCCGAGTGTACCAGGTATCCGATGATGGAAATTTCCTAAACCATTGGCAATGTTTCACGTAAAGTCGACGGAGTGCGCCACCACCTTACACGTGCGAGCAGCCTCTCTCTCGTCTCCTCCTCAAATTCGGCACGCGGCTGAAGAAAAAAGCCACATTCGAATCTCGGCAGGAGGTGGCGCCATTGCCGTCGCCGAAAAAGAAAGTTGCAGAGCAACAAGCACGAGAATTCGACGACGCAAAACGGGCTTGCAGCAGTCGAAAGTGCGTTTTTGTTGGTTCACAGGTACTGGAGTACGCACAAGACAAAGTCTGCGCATAAGGTACAGTTTTTAGAAATCGCCGTCCTAGTGATAAGACGAACGCGTTGTCAATGGTACTCCCATGACATATACCCGGTGCTTCTCCAAGGTCCTCGTCTACCTAATCGCAGCGAGTCAGTCCTCGACTGCGACTCGGCAAGCCAAACCTCGTCGCTTGTCGCGCCCAACGACTCCGCTTGCAACGTCGGCCCAGCCATCCGCGGAGACAGCCCCGCATCGAATGGAGAATGGTCCCGCAGCCTGATGAGGAGCTGGGTCCCCACGTACCGAGGAGAGGGATGCTGCCCTGGATCAGATTGTCGAACGTTCATGGACATTGGCTGATCATCGAGTCCCCAGTCATGATTACAACATGACAATGCCGTGCCAGTAGTAACAGCTGAGTACTGCATCCTTATTACAGTACATAGCGGACGTGCCGACGAGGGTGAAGTCCGCCTCAGAACGATTAATAAGCGGAATCATCATTTCGATACTCATCGACCGGACCATCGTGCTCCTTCTGCGCCGCAGGAGTCGCACACAATGCAGGAAGGCATCGTCGCTTAGATTCTCATGCCAATCCTCTTGAGTGAGTAAGGCTCCGTTCATCGGTTGCCGACGCCGATGAATAGCTGAAAGGGCGTCGTCTCAGCGATTGTCCGACGCCTTTCGCGGCAGGGCGCAGAACATCAAATTGACAGGGCAAGCCGCCCTTGAATTGATGCACGACGATCCTTAGATTTGATGCTTTGCGGCCCCTAAAATTGGTGCGATTTGACGTCCGTTTTCTGAAAACGTCCAAATACATGATCTCCTCTATTCGCGTGCTTTCGCCATGTGGGAACAAGGCCTGTGTGAATTGACATGTCGGCTTCGCGCCAAATATCACAGCCTTGTCGTGCTGAAGGTGAAGGGATGTGACGAGTTGAAGGTATGCTTCCTGCACACAGGTCATGATCCACAGATCTACTTCTCAAGAACATACAAGGTTCGCCCCATCCACCATTGCGAGCCCGGTCGCTTTCTTTCAACTCGCGCCTACCGCCCTCGCGCCACTCAAATTGATCACCATCCCCGGTCCCGCTCCGCCGGTCTTTCCACCAAAACCCTTGGATGCCGGGACGTCCTTCTTCCATCCAGGCACGAGCGCGTGCGCGGGCGTCCTGCTCACCGTCCGGTTCACCACGGCCCAGGGACGGGGGAATCCCGCGTCGAGAATGTCCGCGTCTGACGTGGCCTCCTTCGCGCCGAGGATGACGAGGCGTGCGGACGTGTGTGCGATGTAGCCGTGCAGGAGGCCTTGGGCGATGAGCGAGCCAAGTTTGGATTCGATGGCGCGGATGTCGAGGGGTGGGGTCGTGCTGGTCGTCGGAGAAGAGGAGTCGAACTCGACCCCGGTGAAGTCGCGATCGATCGTGTTGGATGATGCGGAGTTTTTGTCGAGGTAGGTGAAGATTTGCACGAGGTCGTGGAGGTCTACTTGCGGGGCTGGCGCGGCCTTTCCGGGTGCCGGTGGACGGAGTGCTGGTCGCGTGCCATTCAAAAGCCAGGTTTTCCGCACGAGCGAGCGCCAGATGAGGACGAGGCAGCGGTTTCGCAGCTGGAGCAGAATGCGGAAATGTAAGAACCATGATGCATGCGGGGACTTGTAATCGAGATGGCGGCGGAAAGCAGGTAGGTCACCACGGCGTATGGCGAGCATGAGAGGCATGAACCGGTCCTGGAGACCATTGGCTTCGGGTCTCTGGAGTAGGGTCATCGAGGGAAAGCGGCCGAGGATGAGATTGCTGCTTATGAGAAAGATAAGTATGAGTCGGCGCTGGCGAACACAGGCATCGGTGGTTGGAGATTCATCGTAGGCTTGTTGTAAAGCTTCGGCTGCGCGATAGAAATGGCTGTTTTGAAACAAGAAGCGGCCAAGATAGTAGAGGTAGGTCACACGTTCGCTTTTGGGATATGCGGATAAGGGCGGCGAGAGACTACCAATGCTCTCAAAGATCTCTTTCGCATTGCGAGTCTTTTGGCTTTGGAACAGAGCTTTGAGACAGATATTGGCAATAGTGTAGATGCCGCGCTTCTTCCCTTGCGGCACACCAGCCTTGTCCAATCCAGACGTCCGGTCGTTCAAGCAGGTGGTGAAAGCGTTTCGGAGCAGATTGACGGCGCGTTCAGGGAGCGACTCACGAGGTCCCTCTGGTTCGGAGCTCGTCGGGCCACCAAGAGTGGCTAGCAACTCGGGATTCTTATCCAAACCGATTGCCAGCCGACAAATGGCTTTAGCACAGGAGATGACCACGGGTAGAATCAAATGACCCAGAGTAGGATGCACCAGAGCCGAATTCGCACGTCTGGAAGGGAGTGCTCGTTAGCGAAACGATCGATCGAAGTCAGGTCAGGAGATACTTCATGCTCCAGATCCATCATTATCTACGAGAAAGAATAAACTTACGCCTGCAGTTCACTCAACAGCTGATACGTCTCCAAATACTTGCTTGGATCACCGTCCACATCTCGCAGGTAGCCAAGGTACTGCGCCAGGAAACGAATAAGTGGCGTCCAACTCGGGCTCCCGTCAACCCCCTCTCGCGCGGCCGACATTGCCGCCGAGCACTTCTGCTCCAAAGCCTCGTCGTTCCCGCCGCGAGGATACGCCCTGCGCAATTCCGAGATCATCGACGCATATTGCCCGCTGAACGGCGGCTCGAGTTGCAGATAGTTGCGGATTTCCTGCGTGTTCTGTGCGAGGATGAAGCCGTTGATGGCGACGAGGAATTGGCCGACGAGGGGCGTGTTGGGGGTGTTCGCCATGGTTGGCGATTATGTGAGGAAGACGAAGTTTCGTGAGAGAGCGATTTCCGGAATGTGACCTTCTCGTGTTAAACTTGTGTTTGATGGCCCGTAGGGGACGCGATCTCGTGAAGTTTTGCGCGCGTGCCGAGCTCGAGCGTGTGTCGGGTTTCAGATCTCTTGTTTCGAATGAGATCTTTCGGCTCTCGACTGATGGCAGTGACGCTTCACGTTTGCATGTTTATAGTGGCGCCAAATGCGGAGCAAATCTTAATCATACCAAGTACGATGGTGCCGGCATCTTGATTCAGTGCGGTAAATGGGCTTTACGCCGTGTATGACGATGTATCAGCTCTCCATCATGAGTGATTGTTGACATTGAAACGAAGAGCTTCATGCGCGCGATGCGCTGGCGTCGGACCCGGCCGCGTCTCCAGCCAGGTACAAGCCCTACAGCTCGTTTCTAATAACACACCTACACTCACGGTTTCATGTTTTCACGCGGATGCAGCGATCGTACAGGTGAGGCACAGTCGGCATGGATTAGAAAATAAAACCGAAGGAAAAAATTGCTTGTTAGGAGAAATCGCGTTCTTTTCGCCGACAAGTTCAAATGAAGAAGGACAGTGAAGTCCAATGTGATATTCTTAGGAGGGAAAAAGGTTGAACAGGGACTGATATCTCATTTGTCTTGACTTGACGTTTCCTACCCGCGACACGGGGAGAGAAATACCAGCCATACACACGACTACCTAAGAGCTTATAGACACGCCCACTGGCGCACGCGCATGCCTAGCCAGAGATGATGAACCTCTCGCTGCGGCCGCCGGTTGCCATCACTGCCAAATGTACACAAGTAAAGCACAACCTTTCCATGATCAATGATCTGGCCATCCTCCACGTCCATTACTTCTGGTTTCAACCTCGTTGTCAATGCCACATTTGGAAAACGGTGCTTGATATCGAGATGGAAGAGAAGTGGTAGCAGGAGAGAGATGAAGACATTGTGATATGTAAGAAAGACACCATTCGCTCCGAGCCCAAGATATAAAGAGAAAAAGAAATACAGAGAAGAAAGGCCACAAACGGGAAGAATGAGAAGGAGGAGGAAGAGGAAGACAAGGTTGTGATCAGAAGGACCGAGGCAGGTATCTTGTTGACCTTGCCTCTGTGCGATGGTCGCCTTGAGCCAAGGCAATATTGTCCCATACCACGCGCGACCAGTCATTCTCAATTTCGTAGATCGGTGAGCAGGTGAGAATGGTGCTCTCCGAGAGGATGTAGATCGACAACAACGATGCCAGAGGACGAAAGTCTATTTCCGCAGGTACACTCGGGTTGTGCTCGGAAATGGCGTCGAATTGTTCTTGTTGTATCAGAGAGAAGAGGTTGTGTACCAATCGACCAGGAGAAGGTTGTGCAAAACACAAGGAACCAGCTAGCCGGTCCGATTGCCTTCTATGTCGTTGTGTAGATTTGTGCGCTCATGTTCAGCCACCCATCCCATAGGGAACAGCTCAACAGGACGCCACATGACGCAAGCAGGGAATGCGAAGTAGCAAAAAGAAGAAAAGCGCATGCGTGAAAGTCATCATCTAGGATTAGGCCGAAATGCTCGCTTTCATGCCCTTGTCCGTGGTGTTGTGAAAATTCGGATATTTGGATTTTTAGACTGTTTTACTTTTTGACTTTGTGGGTCTCTTGCTTCGCCTTACATGGCTTGGCCGGGGACAACCTTGCGCGGCGGTGATGACGGCGGTTGGGAGGCAGCATCACTGCGAGGAGCTTGTTGTTGCTGCTGCTGTTGCTGTTGCGGCGGTCGCTGCTGCTGTTGCGGTCGTTGTGGCTGTTGCTGCTGCTGTTGTTGTTGCGGTGGTCGCTGTTGAGGGTTGCCGCCCTGAGTGGGAGTCAAGGGACGAGGGTACATGGCACCAGCAATGACCGGAGGTTGCTGCATGTTGGCCGGAGGGTTCGAAGGACGACGCGGGCCACCACCGTTCTGCATGCCAGGGCCCATGGGAGGTCGCTGCTGTGGGCGAGGGCCGTTGTGAGGTCCACCCATTTGCTGTTGCGGTGGGGGACCTTGCGGGCGGGGCTTGACGGGGAGCTTCGAGAGGCAGGTTCGGGGGGCAACACCTTGCTGGCTACGGTCCATGCGAATGCAGAGAGCCTGAATAATTACATGTCAGTGAGTGAACTTTGGTTGCTTGTGCTGAGTGACTGTGAATGCAGAACTTACCCATCCATCATCGTACTCGTGAAGCATGCGAACGAGTTGACCAGAGCGGAGTTCGAGTTCGTCTTCCATTGAGGGCTTGAAGTCGAGTTGGACACGGTGGACATTGTTAGGGCCAGGGGCAGGGCCAGGACCAGCCTGAGCAGATCGAGGAGCACCATTAGCAGCCTGAGCGGCAGCGGCGGCGCCAGCGACCACTGGGGCGGCTTTCGCAGCTCCTGACTGAGAGCCGTCAGCGCTGCCGACGGAAGACTTGGGAGAGTGCTTGGTGGATGATGATGCGGCGGCGGAAGCGGCGGCGCCAGCAGACTTCTCCTCGTTCTCATCGAATGGGTTGGCTTGGGGGCTGGGCGAGCGGGATTTGGCAGCGGAAGCGGAGCCGTCATCGAATGGGTTCGCATTGTTCCCGGAGGCCGGTTTGCGTTCCCAGGCGGATCCCTTAGCACCGGAGCCAGCATTGGCGGCAGCACCTACGGCGAGGAAGCTGTCGGTGGTGTTGCGGTGGTTGGCCTCGTTGCCGCCCAAGTTGGGCAGGAACTGAGTGACAGGACGGAGACTCAAGCGAGGAGCGGTGGTCGCAGTGCGGGAGGAGCGAACGCTGGCGGGGGCCTTTTCGCTCTCGACGGAGGTTCGGTTGCGGGTCTCCATGCTCTTCGCCTTGGCATCGACAAAGCTAGTGTGCTTCTCGTCAACGATCTCCTCGTGCCCATTGGGGTTCTTCTTGCGACGCCAGCAGAAGAAAAGCAGGCCACAGACCAGGGCGATGGCGAAAAGGATACCAAACGCCATACCCGCTTTGGCGCCGCCACTCATACCTGCGTCCTGAGCAGTTCCATCCGAAGAAGCAGCAGCAGTTGGGTTGCTGGTCGCCTGAATAGGTGATCCGACAACGGCGGTCGCAGTCTGTGCATTGTTGTTGTTGATGTTGTTCTGTCCTCCAGTCTTTCCAGCGGCAGAGGTCGATGTAGGGAATGCGGCGGTGGAAGAGGCAGTGCTGCCGGCTTGAGCACCAAACATAGCGACGTTAGCGCCGGTCGCGGCAGCATTGTCAGAACCGGTCATGGTGGAGTAGACCGCTGATCCAGAGAAGGTCTGCGGGAGAGTCACGTAGATGACCGAAACCTGGGTGGTCATTGGCTGGATGGTCGTGGTGACATCGGTAGGAGTCGCATTCGAGTCGAAGCCATCCGGGACGTTCATGACAATGTTGTTGCCATGAGAGTCGCGACGGTGAATAGCCAGCATCTCGCGAGCCTCTTCGCCGACGAAGACGCGACCATGAGTGTGTCGCTTGTGGAGGGTCATTGTGGTTGGCGATCACGTCTCGGCGTGGATGATGAACGAAAGTGATGTGTGACTGGTGTTGAATGAGGCGTTGCTCAGAATGATAAGTCGACTCGCGATCGTCAAGACCGGCGAGCACGTCGAAGAGAATGAATGATAGTCACGCCTCTCGAAAGCGTGTTTGTCGAGAAGCTGCAAAGAATGTCGACGACAGCGACGTGTCCGCCTGGGAGCGATTGGATGAGAAGGCGACAGGACACGCCGAACAAGACGACGATAGCGAATGTGGTTTGTTGTAAAGGAGTCTTCCTCGTTGTGTTGAAGAGGTGAAAAATGAGTGACGGGTTGCCGACGGGCGTGTGGTGATGCGAACAGGCGACGGTCGCGTGCTTGCGTGCGTGCGTGCGCCTCTGCAGGAAATGAAGTTGTCGAGAGAGTGAGACACGAGGGAAGAGAAGAGAGAGAAACGGGCGACAGGTCAGGAGGGAGAGAGTAGAGGGAATAGCGTGTGTCGTGGTCGCGATGGTGGTGGTGGTGGTGGAGGAGATGATCGCGCGGGTGTGGGAGCGAGAGGAGGGAGAGAGAGCTGCGTGTTGTGTGGTGTGTGTGGTCGCTGTGTGTGTGAGAGAAGGCCCCCAGTACAATGGGATTTAATTAGTGACTATTAGCCAGAGAGGGCACACAAGACGGGACGAGTGAAGGTAGAGAGGAAGATAGCGGCAACACCAAGCGCCCCCAAAGACTCTAAATGGATAGGAACCGTCGTACATATGTTGTTCTACTCTTGTTGTTATTCTCGTGCATATCGTTCGTGTGGATGTGTATACACACACCATTATCATCACCAGCAGTTCTACGATCCATCCGACAGGGTGCATCCATGTGCCTGTGTCCCAACTGTGCAATGCTGGCTGCGACTGCACGATGGACCTGACGGGTGGGGAGAAAAAGAGAGGGAGGGAAGATCTACAGGTGTTGATTGAATCGGTCGGCCACCCAATGGCCTACCAGGCTGGCTGGTCAACTCGCTTGCCCCCTATTTCCCTTCTCTCGGCGTCCTCTCACCCTCTCTACCCTCTCTACACTCTCCATGATGAGAACCCTCGACGTTATGGTCCTCCATCGCCTCTTCCATGATGTCTATGAACTACCCTCGTTATGTGGACTGTTAGAACACAGATTCATCTCCGTACGACGATCAAACAGGGAATTCGCGAATGCGATTGGTACTGTATGAGAACAATCACGCCGACCGCAAGCAAGACCCATGGATCCAGCCCGGCCCCCGACCGGACGCCAACAAACGACGCAGGGCCACACACAATTTGCAACGCTTGAATTAGATCGAATTGTTCGTGGGCGCGCAATGCGATGGAGATGAATGGGCGCGGACGTGGGCGAGGACGAAGACGAGGGAGTGAGGAGGATCGGGGTAGCGCCACGGGACACGACTAGCGGCATGGGAGCAATTTCCGCCCTGGCTCGAGTTTGAACTCTGTTTGGCTCCCGCCGCACTACAGCAGTACATCATCTCGTGTGTCCTGCAAGGTACCCGTTGCTGCAGCTCCGCTCATTGGTCAGACGTTCACTTTCTCGACGCGCCCTCTTTTCCTCCTCCTGCACCTCGCGCGCGTGTGTCGTGACTGTGATGTGATGAGTGAGGATTTTCGAGCTTCTGCTACACACCCAATGTTGCGTGCACAACATCCGCAATCAGTGGCCTCTCTCTCGCTGTATGTGATCTGTTCGCCGCCTTCTCATGATCGGGACCCGTCCCGGAGGAGTGCGGTGAAGCACCCGCTGCGTGGTCCCAGGCCAGCGTGACGATCTACCCGGCGCCCACGCAGGCTGAAACTCCACAGCAAAACATGGGACGAACGAATGGCCAGGGTAAGTGAAAATAATCGTGCAAGGATGCCGTGCTCCACTTCTGCCCAGCAGGAATGGGTCGCATGGTGGGTTTCTCATGGGTTTCTCATGACGGAAGTCGGAAGATACAACATCTCGAAATATACATGGAGGATCCGCTTCCCTCAACATGACTACGCATGGCTCGGCCTCCGCGTATGCCTTCTCCGCCACCATCGACCATCATCATGCATTAATTTCACCTTGTACTGCGCCGTAAGACGCCATATGTCCCCCTTGGTGAGCCCAAGAACATTCCACCGCGGTGCCGATCTGGCCGGGATACACACAAGCGGCCGCAGAGGCCAAGGACTGTAGCACTTCTAGGCAAGCCAATGATCGTCCCCTCGTCATCATCGACTTTAGCCCATTGCCCATCCTCATTTTGCGACGTGCATCTCCGCCAACACCGCCCGTTTCGTGCGACGACGAAAGAAAACAATCGATAGATATTCTAGAGCCTAGACTGACGGTGAAGGCACAACCGGTCTGCCGGGTAAGGCAGATGATCAGTCAGAATTCTCATCTCCCGCGCCGTTGAGCAGAAGAAAGAGAAAGAAGGAAGAGAGATTGACATTAAACGTCATTCTTATCGTCTGTCGCGGTGAGTTCATCGTCGCACGTTTGTGATCACTGATGAAATGATCATCAATCAGATGAATCGTTATCGTTGCTCGTCGTTGGTCACTCCGTGCGACTCTCATCTGCCGTCATCGTCGCCTTCCTGTCGCGCAGGACGTCGTTGCGGAAATCATCCCTCGCGAAAATGAAATGTCTTGAACAGTATCTATGTTTCCCGACCACGACAACAACCGCATCAACGACGATCAGCGACGGTATCCAGGTGCTCTGATCAGCAAATCTCTCGGCAACGCGATGCAATTACACTTTCGCTTTGCAGTAAGTACAGTATGACACTGTAGTTTCAGATAGAAACGCGGGAAATGGAGAGAATCAGGCCGAACAGCCACAACACGCCACCAGCCCTGCAAGATTCGTAATTCTTCTCATCTCCGAGACGCCGACTTTCCCGTCCAGCGAGTGCCTCCGCCTACTGTATATGATGGGCCTAGCACGACAGTACATCACATGCAGCACCGCTGTCTGATCGACGGTCACATTTGTCACATTTGTCACTCATCACTCATCATCGATTCTCAGATACCGCCATCCGGGTGTGGTGTCCTGCATGCATATTGTTGAATGTTGCGTGCATCATCATACCCGCCTCGGCACGCACGCGGGAGAGGAACATGAAACACTATATGTCCCGAGGCCTTCGTCATCTCACAGGTGGTCTGACGATCAAGTACGAAAAGCTCCATATCGTGCCTGAAACGCGTAACTCAGATGGCTTTTCCGCGCGTCTTGGACATATGCTGAGCGACGTGCGGGCAGCTTTGAAACACATCCGTAGATTCCGCACTGCACTTGCTTGATCCCTCCTCGACGTCCCATTGTTGTGCCGTCGATAGGGTTGTCGCCTGGGTGAACCGCTAACCCTGGGGTTGACCATCCACTTTCACTTGTTTGTTCGATACCTTCCAAGGTTATTATCGTTGCATGTATATCTAGTTGTGTGGTCTGCGGGATCTTCTGTATGCTTCTGAGTGGCCGAGCCGCGTGTGATCTATCCGGACATTTGTATCTCGCTATTCGTTGGAGATGGAGATGCAAACATGAACATGGCAGAGCGCCTCGGCACTGTGCAAACTTGACTGACCGAGATAAATATGTTGAGAGGGGATCTTACAGGCATTGCTGTGAATTTCGGACATACCAGTACAGTGTACATGACCGGCATGTGTATTGGTTGCGTGTTCTACATCGGTGTTGTGCACAACAAAGACGTCCGACCTTTTTTGTGATATGCCGCTAGAGACATAATCGATCAGGCTTGAATCCGTGAGTTCTCAGACAAGATATGGGGGAATGATATTTATCCACGAGGTAAGACAGCTACTGATGACTATACACAAATTCCCACTTCAGAAAGCATACATCAACTCCCATTTCATCTCATGCGTAATGGTAAAATCCTTTCAAAGGAGACAAACCTCATCCGCCAGCTCCCAGCTCTTCGTGGGACAACCTACAGCCTCGCACCCTCCCACTTCTTCCCACCCTTCAAATCGCCATCACCACCGTACTTCAATCGATAGACAAATGCGACACTAACGCATGCGACCAAACCCGCGCACAGCACCGAGGGTCCCCACTTGTCATGGTAGCTGACGGCACGGCGCTGCTTGATGCGGCTGACACGCCAGAGGTAGATTCCCATGCTGTAGAATAGCGCGATGACGGCGAGTAAGGTGAAACCGATGGCCGCGGTCATGCTGATGAAGTCACCAAAGTTGAGCAAAGTGGCGGCGATGGAGCCGAGGATGATAGAGAACTCGAGCTGTGGGAGAGAAGTGGTGTTAGCATCGTACCACAAAGAGCGAAATGGGGAGAAGTTGCAGTGAGGAACAGGGAGAAATTGTACACTCAGGAGGGAAAACTTACCCAGGCGAGGAATGTCCTCTCAGCAGCAAACGACACCTTGGGCTCCACGCGCACAGGAACGTGGATCTTCTTGCCCTTGGGCGCCTTGAAGCGTTTCTGGGAGAACGTCGCCACCGCAGCGCCAGGAGCAGTGCCAGTGGGTGCGGTCGGGGTGACCGCCGTCGCTGACTTGACAAGATCCAAGGCCTTGTCGGCAACAAGACCGATGTGGCGCTTGGCCAACTTCCACTGATATTGCCAGCCGCCGACGCGCTTCGCCTCGGCGAGAGCCTCCTCTTCCTCGTCGGCGTCGGAATCATAGAGCGGGTAGTCGGCTTCGGTGGTGTCAAGGCCTTTGGGGTGCGCCAAGCGCTCCTCTTCGTCAAGCACGTTCGGGTCACCATTGACATTGCTAAGATGGCGGTCCCGTTCATGTTGTTCCAAGGCATCGCGGGTGGCACGTAGGCGTTGAACGTTCGGGTCCTCGTCATCGGGCAGGTCGCCGTTGTCAAATTCGTCGTCAGAGTCATCATCCAATGCGGCGCTGGTGCTGGCATCAGTGCTATGGCCAGGACGCTCAATCCCGAACTTGTGGCTGACGGGCTTGCGAATATCGACGTCCATCTGCGGCATCCAGAAGGGGAGAAGGTTGATACGTGAAGGGAACATGGTCGCAGTTCCGTGGATGAATTTGGAAAACTTGGGTACAGCCTCCACGAGGTGGGAGGCAACGAGCTCACGAATCCATTCCGGAGGCTCCTGACCCTGGGCAGTCTGGAGCTTCACCTCGAGGACACCGTAGGGGAAAAGCTCAACATCGCCCTTGGGGAGTTGGCTGAAAGGCCAGTCGATGCCGATATCCATGCGACGCCAGTTGTCACCGCAACGGCGTTTGCCATCGAGATTGTCCTCACGGGTCATGGTCAGCTCTGTGTCGAGGGAAATACGAACACGAGCATCTCCGGGTAGCTGGAAAGCGGTACGGTTGTAGAAAGACCGGCAAACAGGGACGAGCTTGCGGTCGATGACACGGAATTGAACCTCCTTGGCAAGTTGTTCGAGGTCGTTGATCTCCGCCTCACTCTTCTTGCCGTCGCGGCGCATCTTCTCAAAGACCTGCTCTGTGGTCATATCTCCGCGGAGGAAGGCGTTGACGTTCTTCTCCTTGAGCGCAAAACGAGCCTTGACGGACTTCTCACCCGTCCAGTCTTCGCGATGAGTCTTGCGTTCCACGAAGATAGTATCACTCTCCATGCCACCATACCAACGGAGACGAATGGCCTCAGCACCCTCAGTCTTCTTGAGACGTCCCTCGTACAACTCCCAGGTGTCTGTGTTGTCGTAATAGATCGAAGAGATGGCCGAGTCCTTGCGTTCAAATTCCTTGCTAGGGTTGAAGACCAAAACGGGCAGATGCTTGAGGATGATGAGCTTCAGCTCGGTGATGTTGTCCTGGTGCACCCAATATTTCGTGGTTTGACGAATGAAGTTCTGTTGTTTTCCACCAGCGGAGGAATCACCCTTGACGGGACTGCCACGCGTGCGGACATTGTCGTAGAGCTTCGAGAGGTTGACCACGGTGCTATCGTAGTCGTCCTTGAAGAACGGACGCGCGTTGAGACGAGCGGCAAAGACCGGTCGCAGGTGCCAGTGTGTTTGCTTGTCGTGCTTTTTGATGATCTTCTGGAAACCAGTGTAGTTCAGCTGCGTGAACTTGGCCAGGTCATGCACATCGGCGATGATGTCGGAAAGGTCCTCCTCGAGGAGCATGTATTCATCCTCAGTGGGCTGATCGGCTCTGGCACGGTCATCGCCTTGCAGAGCCGCTTGGGTGCGCTCAATTGTCTCATTGACCTCCTTCTCACTAGCCTTGATCCGGCGGATAATTTCCGAACTCTTGACTTTCTGGAATGTGTAGACCTTGTCCAGCTCGTCCTCAAGCTGCTTCACGAAGCGCTTCTCGTCCTCTTCCGACCATGGCTTCCGCTTCTTGCCGTTGTTGAACTGCGGGATGTGCTCGAAATCGGTGCGCAGGCTCTTCTTGAGCTCATCGTAGGAGATGTAGTTGTAGTACCAATCTTTGATCAGCGAGCTTCGAAGCTGCTGTCCGAACCTGCGTGTGTAACCTTGTATCAGCGGAGGGCGTTCCGGCGACGAAGTGCATGCTTCAAGCTAGCCAAGCTGATGTGCTTGTGAACATACCTCATATTGCTTGCGATGCGAGTGCAGTGAAGCACTCAGATGATGGTGCAGCTTGAGTAGGTGGTGATGGTATAAGTGGAGGAAGGATGTGCAGCAAGCTGAGCGTCAATGGCCTGCAGGTCAAGCAGCAGTAGCAGATCAACAGACACGAGGGCTGGCCAGCTTGCAGAAGCAGTGCAGCAGACGGTCAAAGAGTGAGGTCAGGTTGCTTCTTCCGGAACGAGTGAGTGTTCCTGCTGTAGAAGCTGCTACCAGATTGTCCAATACTTACAGTGCAACACATTGGAATACAATCTCTTCACCATCGATGGCTCGGTACGGCCGTCACCACCCGCCAAACCATAGTGTTCATCCCACTTTTTCCAACCCGCGAAGCTCGCCTAGCAGTCCCAATGCCAATGCTTTTTGGAGGACGCAGCAGCGCGACCATCATCAATAGCCACTGCCGGGAGCACCCGTCCAGCGCCAGACCAGACGAATCAAACCTTTTCCCACGCCCACGAGACGAAACATTCGGCCTAATGCAGCAGCACAAGACTACTAGCTGGCTCCAGAATACTACATAAGGTGTCTGGACTCACCACGAGGGCGGCAATGCATGGCGACAGACTCTACCTCCAGCGTCATTGGTGTGGAGAGCACCTGCAGCAACAGTCTTTTCTTTTTCTGCTTGTTTGCACGGCCTCCACATGTAGCTTTTGCTTATTCCGACTCTACTCTCTTTTGACCCTTCCAGAGGTTCTCTCAATGGCTGTCCGCATTTGCAGACGGTGATCTACTCCTTCCTTCCACGTCTCCTCATCTGGCTGGCTGGCCGGTAAAGTGTTGCAGTCGATGCCGCGGACCGTTAATTCCGGATACGATGTCACGGCTATCCGACCAGCCACCACGGAAAAGGCCTGGCCATCCGCCCGGCTTGTTTATTACAACTCATAGTCAACGCCCGCTTTGATATTGTACACGGAAAACCATTTCCAAAGTGGTCTTTGCACTGTATAATCTAGTCTGATTTACGTTTCCTTCTACGTAAGCATACAAGCAGAATCGCTCGAAGTACAAAGCCAGATATAGCTTCACAGCTTACTCGTCGTCGAGTCCGTCCGTACCCACGCCTTCCCGTTCCACTCCTTCAGCATCTTTTCAACCTTCGGTTCCAATGCCTGCTTCTCTTGCCTGCTCTTATCTCTCCACCGCCTCATGAAGCCCACTTCCTGTTCCCTCCAAGATGCCACCTGCTCCTCGAGCCACTGCGCCGTCGCGTGAGCCGTTTCAGCAATATTAGTCATTGGCAGGAAATGCCCGCCTTTCAGACTGACGACCTTGACCTTTCCCGCTGACACTCCACCGCTGCCGCCGGGCTCGGTGCCTGTGATGCGTGTCCGCTCTGCAATCTCTTCAGGTGCACAGATCCGGCTGCTTTCTCCTAGCAAGTAGAGCACTGTCGGCCGGAGAGTGGCGAGCAATCGCCAGGCCTGGCAGGTGCCTGGATTATATATGGGCCCTGTCAATGGCGCTTGCGGATCGACATCGGGATGCGTGTAGCGCTGAGCTTCCGAGACTGGCTGGCCGACGGCTACCCATTCTGGGTTTGGGCGCCCCAATGTGAGAGCTTCTGCAGCTGGAGGTGTGTTGAGCTTCACCACTTCTTTTGCCTCTGGATCGAGGACGATATGGAGGGCTGTGTCGATGTACCGCTGCACGGCCTCTGGCTGCCACTTCCTGTAGATGGGATCCTTGCGGATGTATGCCTCCGCTTCAGCACGACTCGAGAAGGTGTCCTTCTTTCGGAGGATAGCTTTCATCATGGCCGGCATGGTCGGTGCCCATGATCGAGATATGGGCGAGTCGATCAGGACCAACGATTCGAAAAGTCGCTCATGCATCGAAGCCGTTGCTACGGCTTGAGAACTACCCATGGAATGTCCAATGGCGAACAGAGGCCGCCTCATGTGCGCTCTGAAAGTGTTGACCATATGTATGACATCGCGGGAGTGATCGAAACAATGCGGATCATTGCCTAGAACTTCATCATTCAGGACCGCACTGGCGCCTTGCGCAGCCTGATCTGCGAACCAAATACTGCCAATCGTGAGGCCATGTTTGTCCTTCAGAACGTGGTATAGCTGCTCGAGGTAAGGCTCATAAGTCTCCTTATGATAGCCATTTGCGTGGAATGCAATGATCGTGAGGTCGCCTTTCACCGCTTGCGATGCGACTTCATGTGGTGTATAGCTCTTGGCATGGAGCAGAACAATATCTTCCTGAGAACCTGCTAGGGCGCTGGGATAACCTCGAATGTGTTGACCTGGAAAGACATGCTCGCCGATCACGAAAGGTGATGATGATGTCATCGGTCGATTTCCCGCCCAAGCGGCGGTGATACTCTCCTTCTCGCACGGGAGTCCTTCTCCTTGGATACGACGTGAATAATAATGGGATTTGATTTACTCTTGGCGATGCAGGATCTCGAGCTCGTGGAACAAGAAAGTGGTGATAGAACATTAAATTACTATACGCCGTAGAAACGTCATCGTGCTACTGTTGAACCAATTTTGGGTCGACTCGTTGAGACCCCCATCGATCTCTCATTGTGAAGCTAAATACCCACGAGTTGCAGAATATCAAAGACTCTCCGGCGACTAGCCCCGAACTAGAAAATACACACTGTAGTGTCGTGGAACATAGCATCATGACGAGAATTTGTGAGAGTTTCATCGAGTTGAGAACGGTTTGCTTGCTGTTGATGCTGCGAGCTGCGCCCGAGAAAAACAATGTCATAGGGCTCATGATTGAGGTGGTCAAGCGATTGGGATTGACGAGTCTGGCCAAGAGAGTGCAAGGGAGTGTAAGGTACCGCGGCAAAGATCCATGTCCATATATCAAACATGCCGCAGCGATCTGCAGTACGTATATGTCGGGCGTGCATGTACATGTACATGATATTCATGAAGTGCCAACATCATTCCAATAAGTCAAAAACATCTAGGGTATCACTATCGTCAACATTGTCATCCTCATTTCATCATCCACTCCCACCAAGGACGATCTCTATCGTCCCCAATGCGAATCCTCCAGCGCATGCCTTTCCTTGCGCAACACTCTCCGCCTCCATTTCGCCTGTGTTTTGCGATAAGATCGCTGTGTGCGCGCCCAAGGATCTATACGTGTCAATGTCAGCAGATATTCTCATATCGGCATATAATCGGTACCGGTACTCACAGTTGATTGGACTTTCACCACCAGTGAAGATTGCGATGTCGTACATGCATGCGCCCACGAAAGCTCCACAAAATGTCCCAACCCAGGGACCATAAAACCAATAGGGATTTGTGAACAATTGCTTGCCATAGCCCAGTGCGAACAGAGCCAGACGTGGTCCCAGATCGCGAGTTGGATTCAACGCTGCGCCACTCTGGTAACCGAAAGCGAAAATCTCCAATGAGATGACGAAGCCGATAATCAAGGAGTTCATGCCAGCGCCAGGCGGTGCATTTTGATCGTCACCGAGGGCGAGAACAGTCGCTGCGAGCATTGCAGTGCCAACAAATTCGTTGAAGAAGGCGGTGGCCGGGTCAATATAATCGAAGCGCTGACTGGTGACAAAGCTGTTGGCAATATCGGTCTGAGCCTGTGCGGAGTAGTTGTTGGTGAGGAGGTAGTTGTTGATCGAAGCTCGGTATAAACCATAGGCAGTGAATGCCGCGGCAAAGGCGCCAAGCAGCTGTGCGAACCAGTACTCCGGCATCTTACGCTTTGGAAAGCCACGGAAGAACCACAGCATGAAGGTGATGGCAGGATTGAGATGGGCGCCGGAAATTCCACCAGAGACGTAGATCCCGACCATTGTAGCGAAGCCCCAACCCCAGGCGGCGTAGTTGGGATTCGAAGATTTCATGACCGTGTGAGCAAGGTCAACGCAGAAGCCCATGGTCAACTGCATGAACACAGCAAGAAACTCGGCCAAGAACTCGCGGTATTGCGTGCGTAACACAGACCAACCAGTGTGGTTGTTGTGGATCTCTTCTCCAAAAACAATCGGGTTCTCGACAGATTTCAATGGTTCCAAGTTCGGCCAGTCATCGGCATCTTCGGCGTCATCAGCTAAGGTCGACAGAGACAAAGAGCGATTATCCTCTTTTGATGCAACCCGACTGACGACCCGACTCTCGGGGATGGTTCTCATGTGCTTTTCAAGACTTTGCGCCGTGAGCTCCAGTGGAGGAGTCAGAGCCTCGGGTATGGCATCTAAATCGAGATCATGGACTGTTTCGTCCGCAATATCAGCCTCTACATGGCTCATAGGCCTGTCGTGCAGGCTGGCACCAGTCGAGGCCCTTGCTCGCCTTGATAGTGAAGTTTGACGAGGGATGACTGAAGATCGGCTTGTATCACGCTCAAAAGTTTCGCCTTGCTGTGCGGCAGCCATATGGTTGATGTAATTGTGCTCGCGCTGAGTTCGAGCATCTCTCAACTGTGCGGCTAGTACAGCAGGATTTGGATGGAACCGCACGCGGCCCTCCTCTAAATCAGTCGGGTCGACGTCCAGACCTAGCTTCTGCGAGTTCTCCATTGGAAGCTCGGCGCTCTGCCGCGATTCAAGAATCTCGTTCTTCGATGGGATCATGCCCGCGCGTACGACTCGCGGCAATGGTTTTGCTAAGCTCCATACAGGCTTGGTGTACGCTGGCTGGTCGTAAGACGGATTGAGGTCAACGTAGCCTGGGCTGACATAATTTTCATATGTCTGTGCAAGTTGTATGGTCGGCTCAGGCCCGGCGAGAGTGGTAAAATGAGTCCTGTCCTCAGCCACGCTGGAACGATCGCGAGCGATGCTGCGACTTTGTCCGGATCGCATGGTACTTCTTCGATGCAACCCTTCATGACCGTCGGGATACAAGGACCCAGCTCGAGTAGCCGTTGTGTCTGCACGACCGCGCCTCACTGAGCGCGTGTCTCGAGTCTGACTACCGGCAATCGAAGCTGCACTTCTTCTGGGAGGCTCGTGCGAACCATCACGAGATCTGCGGTAGATGGAATCATCTCGAGCGCTTGGTGATACCGAACGGTTTTGCTCCTCGGACACTGGACCGGGAGTAAGGTATGAAGTTCTGGTAGCGGAAGGTTCCAATACGAGATTCTGACGCGGGTTATGGTACGGAAGTTCCGACTGGGATACTGTTAGAAAAGGGATGGTAATCGCAAAGCCAACTGTGGATCAAGGCTTACCCGTGAACGACGGCGGCCACCCCCTACCGGGTCACTCATCGCAGGAATTTCGGAATATGATTCGGGTTCTAGAAGGAAGTATCGGGTACTTCAGGAAACGAAAGCAGAATATTCCTGATGCAGTCAAGGGACGAACTCGGACAATTGTGAAAGTGAACACCGTTTCGATTTCCAGAATGACAGACTTCACGATCTATAACTATGTGCCTTCGATCAGACGGACTCGGAGCCCCCCATGAGCCGAATGCCATTTGATCTTGCCACATGAAGTTTAATGCACAGATGCGAACGTAGTCACGGAAGTGCATATCGTTCGCGTGGGTGGCACACCTCCTCGGACAACGATCTGAGGGACGCTTACGAACGACAGAACGGTGTTGTGCAAGAGTTTTGCTAACGTGATCAGTGACATGATCATCTTTTCCCAACATGGCGGGCATGTTGAGGGATTTCCACGCGTCGTTCGCTGCGTGCTGTCCCTGTAGTAGGATGTTGGGGCGGAGCGAAGCCACACCATTGTGGGTCCGTCGTGCTGGTTGGTAGCTCATGTTGAAGCCAATTCTTGATTTCAGAGCGGCAGACCGTTCGGCAGACCAGGAAACAGGCGGATAACCAATGAGAATGACGTGGAGGGTATCTCGGAGCCCACCACGATCCACAAAAAATGATGTCGTGCTGATGAGTTGAGCAGGGTCCGGGCAACCCGAAACATTTTTTAGACGCTACCGAGTCTGCTCATGACGCTTCTTGACAGGAACAGTAGTTGCGAAGGGGACTCGTCACGCTTGTGAGGAATGTGCCTGGCGATTGTGGCGCTAAATATTCCGGTGAGCTCAGGTTTTCGGCCCTTTACCAAGATTGAGTATGATGTTCGTCCAGCGACGGTTGAATTCCAGGGTCGTTGGGCGCCTGTTGTGGATCTCGCGACGACTCACCGCGTTAGCTTGGCTGCGGCTCGTGGAGCTTGTTGATCCATCGTCGCAAAATTCGTTCTGACAAGTTCCAACCACGCCGGTCGGTCAGCACGATAGGCTCGGATCAAGCGACCGCAACAAGTAAATGCATTTTTATGTATTCTGTTGTATCGCATGCTGCTTTCTCTCAGTTACCAGTCATATCGGTCAAGCCGCTCCGAGTGCCCAGGGTTTATGCTTGATAAGTCTCACAGCGATTCAACGAGTTTGCTGGACAGACCAAAAAGCTTGCGAGGCACCTATCTACTGACCACCTCACATGTCTCCCAACCGTTTCCCTCGGGAAATTGTCCTTGATAATAAATTCTGCCCATCGGTGAGCAAGCACTGGCAAGCTCTAGTAATTCGTGCATAGGAAAGTTTTCGCGACTGTCCACGCATGTTTGCATGCCACTGGCATTAAGTTTGATCATTCCGGGAACAAATCATCGGATGCTGTGGCAAGTGGATCGATAGTCTCATCAATTATTGTATTCACGGAATTTGGCTTATCTCCTATTGGCGCACGATAAAACCTTTCAGGCGTGGGGTCGTCGTGGACATACAGAAGACAACGAACCGGAACTTCGTGCTTCCTCGTATGTCTGAGTGTTCAATCATCAGGTAAATTTGCGCGCGAAGATTGATCGTCACGATCGGTCGGAAATATCCCGCGGAATATACATATTGTTTTTTTTGATGGGAAGCCGTCGGACCCTATTCCAAAGCTCTGCTCAGACTTTGCTTCCGCGAGTCATGGTGATGATGATGATGAACCTAAATACAGTGCCTAAATATCTATGAACATCACAACAAGTTCCAAGCTTGATGTCGAGCATCAAGTACGAGCCCGTCATACTACACAGTCAGACGACTCCCGGTCATGAAGGGTTGAACGTGTTACCATCGCCCGCGCAAAACACATGCCCTCGAGCGACACCCGAGGCCACGATGTCTTCCAAAGGTCCTCATTACACCATCATCCAAGCCGATGGACTGTATCCGGCACGTTCCTTGTTTGCTACCCAAAGTGTACTGAAACTCTCCGACTGACGCCTGTGGCGTCCAGGACGATGTCTTGGAACGTAGCGTCTTCGCTCCTTTGCTAGCTCAATCATATACTTTTGATTATACACAGTGCAATCTGTGGCCCAATGGGCTTGAAACGCCCAAGCCATGGTCGACTATAGCGCCCGATCTGCGCGCTCGGATCCAAGGCATCATGGTGTTGAAAATGTCGTTCAGTGCCGAGGATATCAAGCTTTTTCCATCTCTGAAAGTGTTAGTTGATTCTCAATCAGCGATGGTGACCAGCGTAGACTAAAACTGACGCTGGCTGCTGTAGCATTGTCCGAATGGGTGTAGGATACGACCGTTTAGACCGCGAGGCTTTAGCACGAAGACGCATCACTGTGTGTAACGTCCCAGACTATGGCACAGCAGAGGTTGCTGATCATGCTCTTGCCCTGGCTTTGACTCTGCGACGTGGAGTTTTACTGCATCATGATCATCAACGCGCTACACCGCCATCGCCATGGATGCACATCAGCACACCACTGGTTGCGCGGTTGGACGGTCAAACTTTTGGCATCCTTGGCCTGGGTCGAATCGGGACCGCTGCCGCACTCCGTGCAAAGGCATTCGGGTTTCGCGTGCTCTTCTACGATCCATATCTACCGAATGGTGTGGACAGGAGTCTTGGTATCGAGCGGACCAAGAGCATTGAAGACCTCTTCCGTCGGAGCAATGTTCTGAGTTTACATTGTCCTTGCACCCGTGAAACGCGGAATATGGTCGACTATGATCTCCTCTCGCTTGTACCGCACGGCGCTATACTCATAAACACCGCGAGAGGGGAAATCGTCTCTTTGGATGCTGTCATGCGCTGCCTAGAGGAGGACCGCCTTTCTGGAGCAGGGCTTGATGTCTTACCAGAAGAGCCAATCCCCGAGGATCAGGTTCATCCTCTAATTCAAGCTTATCGAAGACAAGAGTCGTGGCTGCGAGGCCGTTTCGTACTAACGTGTCATTCGGCGTTCTATAGTCCCGAAAGTTATGAAGACATCCGAGTCAAGAGTTGTCAAACGATGCGAGAGGTACTAATCGATGGTCTCAGTGTCAATGTTATCCCTCCGGAAGCAGAGTAGCAAAAGAGTGGTGTGGTGGATAAGCAGACTCCTGGCTGATTGGGCTTTGGTTTGTAAGATGACTCCCCGCTATTCATAACTACAATGCTGCGAATGAGAATACTATACTCCACAAGTGCGAAGGAGTACCGCGCGTTGGAGTCCAGTTTCAGTACTGTATCGATTTCTCTTTGACTTGGGACGGAAAACAGGAGACAAATGTGAGAGTCGGATGGCTCAGAGAGCCCCGTACACGATCATATCTTCGTATCTGGAAATGGAACTCTTCGAAATCCGCAAACATCCCTCGGATGGCTACGACAGAAGAGTTCGGTCTTTTTGTGTTGCCCAGTATTTGCCGACAGTTGGTGGGATATGAAATGCACGGACCAACGAAACGCCAGTTTTGCTACCATGGTGATCGACCAAGGAATACACACATTTATTTAAGCATTTATGACATCGGTAGACTTAACTACCAAGTATCATTATACTTGCCAAGAACGAGTAACTTCGTTACATTCCTTCCTCATGTCCTCGGAGTCTATCACCGTGCCGCTGGGCGAGGCGCCCGAATTCACTCCGGGTGTTATCGTTCCACCAGCAGTGGTCCAACAGCTTCCCGTCAACTGGCCTGAGAATATCATGTATATTACTGAACAGACATATTCCTCCAATGTCTCCGCAGAGCTACGCGACGGTCTTAGCAGGAAAACAAGTGAGAGTGAATCTTTCCAACGTATCCCGGCAAATCTTCTTCAATATCCATGCCCACGAGTGGCGATCAAGATAATTGACAAACCAGAACATCCCGCTCATGGGCAACGTGGATTATTTGCAGCCGAGAATCTACCGCCCGACAGCTTCATTATCGTCTACACAGGTCACGTCCACATGAATAGTATGTCAGATACAGACCCGGACAGCGACTACGACTTGACTTTAGATAGAGATCTGGGGCTCTCGATCGACGCTGGCTATCGCGGCAACGAGGCTCGGTCTGCCAACGACTTTCGAGGCGTCGCCGAGAGACCCAATGCGGAGTTTCGCGATTGTTTCATCAAAGTTCCGTCTGATAAGAGAGTGGGAGGCACTAAATGGGAGCGCCGGGTGGGTATCTTCGTGCTATCAGCAGGCAACGCCGGCAAGCGTAAAGCTGGGATTCGCCAAGACGAAGAGATCCTGGTGTCTTACGGGAAAGGCTTTTGGGAAGCTAGAAAGACAATTGCGACGTTTCGGCGAGACGCCGAGATGTTGAAAATCGCAAACGCAGCATTGGACGCATGAAATCGGGGTACAGGTTCGACGGAGCCTTTCTCTTCCGATCTGGGCCCAATTTGTCTCATGTTAAAAGCATCCAAACCCGTCCATGTGGTCGTCATGTCTTATTAATTGCCGCCAGACCTTATCTTCGAGACTGCGCTCGAAAGGATGCCGTTAAGTCGCATCGGAAGGTCCGTCATGTCGCAATTTTCGTTGCTCATCACAGCTTGAAGTACGACACAGTATCTCCTCATTCGCGCCTCCGATGAGTACCCACTGGACTTGGCAGGATTGTCTAAAATAACGATGACAAGGATATCTTTGGCTCGTTCACTTTGTAGAAGCAGTGTGCAAGGCCTGTGACAAATGCCTGCGATGTCGTTCCGCGCTCCCACAAGAGAGACATATGGTGCAAAGCCTGGCGATCAGTCTATCTATCGAAAGACGTGCCGGCGAATTGCCCCTCACTACTTGTTGTTAGACGACGACCGGTGTGCTGCACGTGCATATGCAAGGTATTCTGATATCGAAGCGCGACCTGCATGGCATGGTAAGAAAGTACAAGACAACCATATGCACAATCAAAGTTCTGCGTCGCGAACATTTGATCTCCTGGGCGCACATGGAATGTGAATAACCGACGATTCTGCATCGCAAATTGGCATTCACGCAAAAATACATTTTCATCCGTACATGGGCGATTGCGACGTTTCCGAACGTTGGCTTCAAGCGACTACCAGAGATATCGAGGAGCATTAGGTTCGAAGAAATGCTCGCCGAGCGTGGTACGAAGTCGATCCATCATGAGATGCGGAGAAGTTCCCATGCGCGCGAGACGGACTGGGAAGTCCCGCGGTGGTTCAACCCTTTTCGGCCACAAAATCACGCAACGCACATGTTATCACAATGTTGTTATCACGACGGTCCTCGCATGATCGTTACCACCGCTCTTTATGCGGCGCCATGAGGTTAGGCATTCACCTTTGCTCTACATGCGGTATCGATGGCACCGACGGGTGTCGTATCCCAATATACTGGGTGGGGCCGAGATCGAAGAGATCGCGGACAGTCCAAAGTTTGATGCCATATTCAGATCGACTGGAAAGCTTAAACATTGCACAGCCAAGTTGTCTCAACGGTATCCAACGGCGGTGACGACGACGACGACTCATCAGCGCATATCATTATTATATTATAGCTGGGCCTTGCGTTTGAAACATCCAGATGAAACAGGCTCAAGATGACATTGCGCTGTCTACCCAATTGCTCCAGAAACCCATCTTTGACTGGGCTGATGAAAGATCACGCATGGCATGAGACGCCACAGTATCTTGCCGATTTCCTGGAAGCGCCGCAAATTTCCACTGCACCCTAAGAAACAGAGGCGTGCCCAAATCACCACAATCTGCGCTTGGTCACGCCCCAGCACAACTGATCTGTGCATCGAAAGTCCCGACCGAGAGCTCTTTATTAGCAGCCAATTCCCCTGTCGTATCGGGTGTCGTGCGCTACACCACGAGCTGCCCCAACATCTTATCTGTCAGAGGCGCATCCCACCACGCGGGAGGCTTTTCTATCGTGATCACCAGCTTATTCCTTCGTGCGAATGGTGTGAGGGCTTGCAGCCACGCACCAGGACAAGTAGGACAGGCCCAACACGACTGCATTAGTAGGCTCGCGTTGGATTGACCTCGATGCTGTTCTGATACATATACTCGATGGTGAAATTGTTGCATTTTCGTTTCCAGAGTCAATGAGCACTTTATTTCCAGCCGTAGATACTCCCTAGCATCAATGTCGTTCTCTCTATCACTCGAAGAAATGCTTCGACTATCCACGACTGAGGCCTCGATATCATCAGCAACACCATCAGAAGCCAGTTCAACGACCTCCTCACCCACACTCAACGCTAGTACGGCCAGAAACACCATCTATGCCATGCCGGCCTCTTCAGATTTCACCCTTCCTCGACCCGCAAGACCCGCGAGAAAGCGAACATCGCCCTCCACAACGACGATTTCTCCGATACCAGAAGATGGCGTGCTAGAATGCTCGGGAAACTGCAGCTCGGCATCATCGTCGGACACCGAAAATGCCACATACGACCTCAAGATGACCCTCACTGACCTCCTCAATTGCGAAACCGTACGACAAGACAGCAAGATGCGACTCTGGGTTCAAGCGCGACTCATCGAAGCCGAATTCGAGCTCAAACGGCAACGACGGAGGCGGGTCAGCACGCCCGCGATCGCTGCCTTGCCGACCGGGGATCTCGACCGACGAAGCAGCGCATGAATGCTTGGTGTCTCTGATGCAAGCATTTGAGGATTTCTATTTGATTCCAGCATTTCCAGCGATACACACTTGCACTCGCTGATCACATTATTATTTTTTCGCATTCATGCGCTTCAGCGACACACACCAGGACGGCGTTATCAGGTTGAACTTCACACGCACAGCACTTCCGCCAGGTCGAATCTTTCACACGGCATCTGTGGCACCGCGGGCCTGTCTTTTCTTTCTCATCAAGCATTGTATTTCAGGTTGGGCGCGTTGAGCAGATGACAAGCTTGTTGCGAATGGCTCACCACATATTATTGCGCCATACCATCGCATCGGCATGTGATCCCAACGACACCCACGCCGGATCTTTATTGCAGACTTCAGTCGGGTGCTATCGTTGCGACACCCACACCGCTGCGTGTCGCTTACTTTTTATATCACTATTATTGATTGTAAATATCTGGCAGTAAAGCCATCATCTTTAATGACAACAAGCCTCTTGAGGATGCTTCTAGCGTGTGTTCGTGCCACGGCGCCAAGTGTGCGCAATTTCATGTGATCTTGTTCAGAGCCTCGTTGTGACCTTGAGCCTCCAAACTTATGTCAAATTGCTGTAGAGAAACGCTTATCGCATGTCACTATCGCACCCACCTCTTTTCAGCAGGAACATGATGCATCTGTGTACAGAATATGGCCTGCTATGGAAAGCATTTCATTCGTGACGTGACAAAACTTTGAGTATTTCTCCTCCTCACATCGTTTGTCAAGCAATGTCTTGCTCTTCTCCTTCCATCGCTCAATGCGCTCAAAAGGGCGGCAGCCAGAACGGGTAGCCAGCATTCTTTATCCGGAAAATGCTGATGAGGAACGAATACATGCCGAGGATAATTGCCGCCCAAGCGATGACTGCGATTTGCTGAGCGCGAGGATCGGTCATGCGCGGTACCTTTATGGCCAGGCTGATAGTCGCGAAGGCGAGAACGCCGTCTGTATGCCCAAAGAATGTCAGCTTCTCTTCTGCTCAGAGCTTGCGCTCTTTAGGATAATACTCTGCACTCACACATTGCCGCAACGATCTGCGTCTCTGCTCCGAACTGGTTGGAGAAGCCACCAGCGAAATAGCTGATGCCGCCTTTTCCATCTCCAGCTACGTACGGTACCTTACGGATTTGGTTGAACATGTAGCCGCTGGTGAACAGCAGCACAGAGATAAGGCTGATGGCAGCCCAGAGGTTGCGGTTCTGGATGATCGGGAGGACGAGATGTCCTGCGGTGGCGCCAAAGGTCACCACGCCGAGTACTGCTGTGCCGATGATCGCAAGCTTCACGTAGTCGACAGGACGGACGACTGCAGGGTGTGGTCGGTTCGGAAGATGGTGAGCGATCCATTCGCGCACTGGCTCTGCTTTGTTAATTTGACTGTTCCTCAAGTATCAGTCTCTTGTGCAGTATCGATTTATCCCTGGGGATATGCCTCACCCTCCTCCAAAGTCGAATCGCTCCGGGTTGTTGTTGTTGTCCGCATGTGGTCCGATGGTAGGCTTGAACAGCAGAATGACTGGCGCGCTTTGTAATTGAAGCTACCGGATATGATGATCAGATCTCTTGCCAACATACGATCCCTGATATTGCATATCTCTTACCGCCTGGAAGACAGACTTGCCGTCCAAGAAGTCCAATGTTCCGAATAATAACTTCGACTCGGCCGCCTTGTCGCCCTTAATCCAAGATTTCGCGAGGAGATTCCATTCTGATTGGAAATCCTTGCACAATTGACAGCTGAATCGAGCGTCCAAAGCAGTGAGAAGTACTGCGACGGAGTGGTCACGAGGCGCTTTGGTGAGGGACTCGTAGCTGATGTCGGTCAATTTTGCAGGGCCGGCGGCAGCGACCTGCTTCGCCCAGGCGGCGTCGAATCGCTCGGCAGGTGTTTTTTTCGCGGCGAGCGCTGTGAGCGGCAGCAGAGCTGCGGTCAGAATGTTGAGCAACCGCATTGTTCAGGATGTGATTGTGGGCAGAATGAAGCAGGCTACCTCCCTCAATGGCTTCTCTCAGATCAACGCGCCGCGTAGCCAGTATGGATGTCATAAGTTCAAAGCTCAAGTTGTCCTCTTGGCAGGGTTGGTTGCAGGTGCCCGCTTATTCCCGCTTCGCCTTTGCTGCGGGTAGCACAGCTTCAATCGAATGCTTGATGGAATCTAGCAAAGCATCTGTCCGTTTCATATCATCAACAGTCATCCTGACAGTTCGATCTATAAAAGGAGTATGGTTGGCACACCAGCGTTCGGCAGGTATTGTCAGATGTCAAAGATGCCATTGGCGCTCCTCGAAAGTGCGATTTCACAGCCCGACTATGTTACACTGCGGTACAATCGCCTCAACAAACGTGCTTCGTGAACCAGGTCTGGGATTCCAAAAATTACAATGATGTCCATGTATGCATGGTGGGTATAACAGTAAAAGACAAGAACAACGTTCTTGACAGAATCCAAGCAAGGAATACAATCCAACTTTGGAGGCAGTTCTCTTTTATTCATCGCCCTCTGCGTATGCGCCTGAGAACTTCACCAGACTGCTAAAATCTTCAAACCCTGGTACTCGGCCTTTGCCGTTCGCCGTTAATACTCCCTGTCCATTGCGCGAGCCTGTCAACCAGCTGCGAGGTTGGAGACTGAAACGTCCCTTGTCGTCGCGGATGAGCTGGGTCTTCTCTGGATCGGACGATCGTCCAGTTGTTTGCGTTTTATCCAACGATTGTTCGCGCTCGGCGAGTGCTGTAATCCGGCGCTCGCGATGTTCTAAGATGTCAACATCGATCGTATCCAAGGCCACTAGGCGATGTACCTGGACGTCCCGCTTCTGTCCATGTCGGCGGACTCTCCCAATCGCTTGTGCCATCGTTGCGGCATAGTCGTATTGTGAGCTTTTCAGTAATGGGCTCAGGAAAATGACATGGTTCGCGTTCTGCAGGTTAGATCCGGACGCTGTTCTGTCGGCAGTATTGAGGACTAACGCTACAGCCGTGTCGCTCGAGGATGTCTTGAACTCCTCGATCTTCTGGAACTCGGAATCCGAGTGGACGACTAATGCCGGAATGCCTTCGGCAGTGAGAGCCGCCTCGACTTCGCTCAATTGGTTGGAGAACTGTACGAAAACGATGGCCTGCTCGCATTTTGCTCCAATTTCCTTCAAGAGATCCATAGCTGCACCGAGTTTGGCGCCACCATGCTTCTTCCGCGCTGTTTCCACGCCGCCCATTTTCTGTGCCCATAGAAGATGGTAATCGTAAAGCGAACTTGAGCAACCTTTGGCGGGACAAGCAGTGCTCAGGCTTTGCTCCTGGTGACCGAAACACGATCGGCAAATCACATGGCCACAGAAGGCAGATACTGCCCGATCGTTGCTGGCGAGCAGACGCTGGCACTCGGTGCTGTCGCAAAGTTGTGCTTTACCCTCCAGCGGCGCCTCCTGTATGACCTTCACGTTGGATACAAATCGCTCGGAGCGTTTTGAAATCAGAAGATTCTTGCAAAGGGTGTTGAGTTTCGCTGTATGCACGCGTCCAGTGCCTAAGTCGTCCATCTCGTCGCTGTTAGCTTTCTGACCCCTTTTGACCGCTGTCACTTTACTGTCGGCTTTGGCTTGAGCTGGTGCGAGCTCAATGATCTGGGACGTTGCTTCTGCATCGCCTAAAGAGCCACCTCGAATGTCGGCAAGCCATTTGATGAAGTAGCCCTTCTCTTTAGAGTGTGCGAGGCGCATCACTGCAGGAATTTCGTCAAGAAATGTCTTGACCTCGTTCTCCCGACGTTTGATTATTTCCGCTAGGCCGGTTGCGTCTGAATATGCTGCCTTGCAGGACAAAACGCCTTCAGCCGTCGATGACAAAGAGAAATCTTCCATCAAAGCCTTCTGCCTCTCAAGTTGCGTGCCAGTTTTAGACACCTTGACTTTCTTGATCTGCATATCGAGGGAGTTGAGATGCTGGGACAGTTCCGTGTAAAGTGCACGATGGCTAGAGTCAAGTACTACCGGCACTAGGCACTCCTTGAAAGGGATGTCGAAATCCATGACATTCTGGCGGACGAAAACATCCAGAAATTTTTGCGCATGCTCGTACACCCTTGATTGCTGCACGTCGGATGGCGAGTGTCGCATCATTTCGAAAAGCTGAAAGTCTGTCATGTCTTTCTTGAGTTCATCGCGGTTCCGCTTCTTCATGATGCCGCGTGCTGAGCTACCTGTACGAAGACTAATTCCAAGCAGCCTCGCTATTTGAGCGACGTCGTAAGCATCGTCCATTGCAGGTGTAGCTGAGAGCCCCCAACGTTTGTCGGCTTGTAGACGTACGATGTGGGCCATTTCTTTGACATCGCTTTCGTGAAACTCGTCGACAATGAGACGATTGAAGTAAAACATCTCGAACAACGGTCGACCAACAGAAGATGGGTCGATAGTGGCGGAGTACGAGCTGACAGCTTTCTGGGGTTTCCCTTTTGCTCGCTCTGCGTAGGCCTTGCCTTTCAGACGACGCGACGGGATCGCAGCCTGGAAGATTTCGCTATCAATGTTGTCCTGAAATCGAGTCTTAACCTCCTCCTTCAAACCCGTAGCGCCGTGTGTTTTGAAAACACTCAGGTGCTTAGGTATCTGCTCAGAGGCATATTGCATCCACTTTTGAAACGACCGGCCAGAATTCGTGATCGGAGCAGGGATTGCAGCCAGGGCTGCAAGGCGCGCAAGATAGCTATCGTTCGCAAAGAGCTTTCGATTCACCACAATGATCTTGGCTTGTTTGAAGTCTGCGATGGCGTACTTATCCAAATCCTTGACCGTCTTGATCGCTATGATATTCTTGCTGGAGCCAAGCTTTTCTTTGATCTCCATCTCCCACTGCTGTACGAGATGAGGAGGGGAAACGATAAGAGTCGCTGCTGTAGGCAGCAGTCCAGCTGCAGTGCCCTGCTGGTGGCTGACGATGTCTGCTTCGATTGCCAAGCGTCCGACATCTATATATTGTGACTCAATCAACGCAAGGCTGGTGATTGTTTTCCCAAACCCAGGATGGTCAGCACAAATACCGCCACGGATTCTCACCGAGCATTCGGCTCGAACCTCACTTCGCCAGCCGAGGGCCGGAATTTCGGCGTCGGCCACTTCCTCGAGCACGAAATCAGTACCGGCTTCCTGCGCTTTCATCCAAGCAAGGGCAAGACGTTGTTTGGGAAACAGCTCGACTGCTCCGACAGAGCCGGCGAATGGCGCAATGCCTGTAGTCGCTTGAATCTGGAAAGGTTTACGCGTGGTGTAGCCACCGATTTCTTGCGCATCGACCACCAGTCGCCACTGGAAGCGAACATCAGCGGCAGTGGGGATCAATCTTGCGGCCGCTCGATGGGCTAACGTGGCAGGATTGACGCACAAGCCGAGCGTTGAGTCGCGAATCTCGACAAAGATTGGAAGAATTCTTGCCTTGATAGCCCTCTCATAGATTCCTGCACTTGCAGGGTCATCATACGGTGTCAACTTTTCGTCCGCGTTTAGTCGCCATCGCGTTTCGGGTGTGTCAGGTGCACAGCCGTGCTGACAGGCAGTATCAACACCGTCGACGAAACATAATGGGGTCCATTGAGATCCGGACAGATTGCGTCGCAAGGCTTCGAAAATCCCATTCTGTGAGGCGAAGAATTTGTCGTCGTCTGGTGAGACAGTCTGGTCGTCAATAACGTAAGGCAAGGAGCAACTCCCGACCATGATCGCCTCTGTGCAAGTCGTGTTCTGAAGAAGATTGTTGAGATCGTCGCTTTTGTAAAGCTTCATCTCGAGCTGAACATCATGCGTAGCTGGTCCGCAGTCCAAACTGACCCAGGTATGATCGGTGCCGATGTCAACCGATGCAGCCGATTGCTTGTACGGCCAGGGTCTCCAAGCATAATCGATGTTTGCGACAACGTCACGGACCTCGCTATAGTCAAGCCTAGCCATGTTGTGAGAAAATACGAATGAGTCTTTGATAGGGTCGCCGACTCTCGTTGGGTCGAGGAAGAGGAAGAGCGGTCTTTCATCCCCGCCGTCATTCTCGCTGCTGATGCGCTTGAACAAGCTGTTCGACGCCTTGCCGCAGTTTGGTAGATATTGATAAGTTCCGTTCACAGCTTCAGCAAGAAGTCCCGGCTGGCACACGATACTCAGCCGATCGGGCACGTCATGGCCCTGGAACTCTGGCATTCCTAAGCGGTTCCACCAAGACGAGACATGTTTGCCGCTTGAAGTGACCGTCGCTTTGGTCGACGTGCGATTAGGCAATCGCCATTGCCAATCGTCTCCAAGTGGGGAATTCAGCACCTGCGATCTTGCGATCGGGAGGTCGAACCATTTGCGTAACTTGTCCTTGCTTGACAAATTGACCGGCGCATTGACGTATAGCCACCACTCCGCTTGCTGACCATCAATGACAAAGTCAAGACGACTGTCTCTGTTCACGTAAGTCGCTTTCCAGCAATACGTACGTTGCACGGAATCGAACCAGAAATCATTCACGAGTGCCGCAGAGACAATGTTAAGGTATGCCTGCTCGTGATGGGGTCGAAGGCTATCAACCACTTTCTCGGGCTTGAACTTCAATCGTAACGGCAAGAGAGCTCTTAGCTCATCTTCGAACTGCGTCGCAGATTTTCTTGGAACAAAGCTGTGAGCTTGATAATTGTGCATAGGATTGCCACCACAAGCAGTACACGTAGTGTGGTCGCAATCAGCACACTTCTGAATTGATGACTTTGCAGTGCCCTTCGCGCCTTCACAGTAGCACATTCGAGATGCCTCCGCGGCGCCGCACAAGATACGATTCAGGTCAAACTCCGCCTCGCTTGATTTGAATGACTGTGCTTCAGCTTTGTTGATAACGATCTTCGCTTTCCTTGTTACATTTGTGGATGAAGCAACACACTCCTCATCTGTTCGATAATCACCGAGAAGTCCTGTTCCTGATGCTGCAATAAGCGCTGCCGCGATGGCGCAGCCTACGACAGGAGTGCTCATCGCATTCCCTGCAAGATCCTGGATTTCTTTCGGTGACTCTGTCGTAAAGCTAATCTCGTCGAGTGGGATCCCTTGCAGACTGAGAAGCTCTTCGGCCGTGAGCGCGCGACCAGCGTCCGACACGAAAAATATGCCGCTTGGAGTGATGCATCCAACGATCCCGAATTGACGCGAGTCCTTCTCGCGGTCGACATTCTGTGAAAGGTCCCAGATACGAGTCTTGAAATGCGAATCGTAAGCACCGTTGTCGGGTAACGCATTGCGAATGTGCGCACAATCAATTGTGTCAAGGACGCGCTGCACTTGCCGCTTGAACCAGGCCCGCGAGCTGTTTTCTGGTGGCAACATTGTGTTGCTCTCCTGCCAATGTGTTATCGGTCGCGCATTTCCAAGTTTCATGTCCTGGCGATAGGCCATTTGTCTCACAGCACACTTTTCCCAGTCGACCTCCTTTGTGTTGGGTTCATCGAGGATCACTTCGCCTTCGCTTGATGATTGCAGAAACGATGATGCTGGTGCGCTGGCGAACCTCTGAAATTTGGCCATCAAATGTAACCATCGGGCGCCAACTTCTGATGTCTTCCCTCCCGCTGCCATCAAAGACTGATTGAAGCAAGCCATGTATCCTCGTTGGCGGGTTTGCGGTAGGTAGTAGTCCTTCGAGTTGACATAAGCACCAATCGACTCATACCCAATTTCCTCATAGTCGCCGAGCATTACATTCCATTGAGCGCCCTTCACATTCTCCAGCAGGACAATTGCTGGTTGGAAAACACGGCAAAAGGCCAACACTGCATTCCATGTATCACCGGATTCCCCGCCATCCAGGCCTTTCTGGTGGTTATTCAACCTCGAGAAATCGACACACGAGGTACCGGCTATGACGAAATCGATGTCCTTCGGCACAGGAACTTTGGCACCATAAACAGTGGTTGCGACTGGCTCTGGGTGCTCGAGTGCAGTCGTTAGCTCTGTAATGTCACGAAAGATGATGTTAGGCGCGAAGTTGCGCTCGATATAGGCTTGTTTGTACGGCACGATCTCTGCAGAAAACACATGCTCGATCATTGTTTCATCTACCTTGCGACCGGTCGCGGCAAGGCACTTCTGTATCATTCTAAGGGCGAGTAGTGGCGATTCGGTACCAGAGCACATAGTGGCTACTCTGAATGGCCGCTTACGAACCTGCAGGTCATCAACAGCCTTCTGATAGCCCTCCGTGATTGCTTTCTCTGTAATGTCGGCAAAGATGTCCTCGATCCTATGCAGTGGAGGTAATGATAGGTCCAAGCCCCTTGGCTTTGTGAACAGGTTATTCATCCTAGATGTCGATCTGTCTGTTCTCGTACTCGATTCGCCTGAAGCTGATTTTGGTTTTGCCTTTGACTTCGGCTTTGACTTGCTTGCTGTCTCATCTTCGCTAGGTACTTCCGATGTTTGTGGGGTGGACTCTGCTTCGGAGATGACATCGGAAGATTGGGCATCATCATCATCCTCAGTCTCGCTATGGCCTTCAAAGTCTGAGTCGTGTCTACATTGCGCATCAGCCTTCGCGATCTTCCGGGGCGCGATGATTTTTTCTTCGTTCTCATCCTCGTCATCGTCATCGCCAAGCAGAATCTCAGAATATCGGATTTGTTTCCGGCTTGTTCTTCTGCTGCGGCGTTGTCCGTCTTCAGGAGGAGGAGGAGGAGGAGGAGTGGGCTCTTTTAGTGAAAGCACGGAAAGATCAACACGATCAGGTGTATGGCGCTGCGGAGCCTTGCGGTCTTGTCTTGTTGTGTGTCTGTTCTTTCTACCATCCTCGATTTCAGGCTCGTGAGCCTCCGCCTCGTATGCAGCCAAAAATGTGTTATCGTATGTGGGCAACTGAACCCAGGCTATTGGAACATGATGGGCCTTCGATGTGGAGGTCGTAACGCGTGAAGTTTTCCGAGGTGGCACTTCAACTGAAGCTTCGCTTTCTTCACTCACAGCCCGTTTCCGCTTTGATGTTGGTGCCGCTACTACGATATTAGGTGACTTGGTAAAAAAGTCATTGATCTTGAGACCGCCTTTCTTTGCCTGAGCTCGCGTCATTTTCGATAGGCCAGCTCAAAAATAACTCCAACGAGCAGTCTATGTGACCGATGATATGACAAAAAGAGCGTGAAAATGCAAACCTCAACACATCGCAAACAGGGCGTGAGAGTATCGCTCACATCACAACTATGAAATAGAAATTTGGAGGCGTTGCCAATGGACGTGATAATTCCAGGGAGACGCGACACGCGACTGCTCCGAGGGGTTAGGTTTTGAAAATCAGGGACGAACGTTCAGGGCTCTGCGCGGGCTCACGTGGTGATCCATTCACGTGCCATTTCAAATGGATGCCCTCGGCAATGCCCCCGGGTCATAAACTCAAGCAAACCTTGGAATGCAAAGGTCGATTAACAAGCCACGAGATAGATGTGACAATTGATGGAACAACAAACCTCGGGAACAATTTGTATAGGAGCATGTGTATTGTTTTTTTCCTTTCAGAGAGCGAAGCATCAATCTAGACCTTCTATCCATCTCTTATCTGATTTGAATCAAATTGCATATCCATTCCTAACCATAAACACAAAGACAGGAAACGCCGTCCACTTTACGACGAGAGTGTCGTATTCCCCTTCCAGACAAAGAAATCAACCTGCGTACCTGAACCGTCACCTCTTGTTGCACATCTGATCCACTTTTTTTTGTCCAACAATGCTTCAATTCATTTGTGCCTTCCACATTTCTTGCCTGCGATCAGGGGTCCATCATAGACGCGACTTGGGTACTGTACGACTCATCAACTAGTGAGCTTTTTCCGACGATGAGCGGAAATGCAAGCTGTGGCGAAGGAATTGCGACACGGAACGGATAAGGGGTTTGTGGGTGTTGCCATTAGCCTCCGACTTTGTTGCCGCGGGAGCAGCAGCAGCATCGGCGGGTGTCTCGGCCGCGGTGGTGGTGGTAGCAGCAGCGGCAAGTGCCGGTGTAGGAGCAAAACCATTGGTAGCAGCAACAGGAGCCGGGGGCTTCCTACCGGTCACGTCCTCAATCTCGTGAGCGACCTTCTCGTGCTCGCGGAAAGGGTCATACATCCGTGTACGGATGTACTCGTCAAGCTGCTCATCGGTGATGTTGCGGAGCGCAAGCTCGCGGTCCATCTTATCGGCTTGCGCCGCACGAATGACTTTGCGCGTAACGATGACGCTAACGTCCCGGATGCGGCTGATGTCAGGGTAGAGCCAGTTGTCGGCGATTTCCTGGGGCAACAAGGCATTGCTAAGGGCCTCGCCGGAAGCGTAGATCATGTTTTGAGTAATGTTGACGGCTTTGCTGAGAATGGCGCCAAGGCCGATACCGGGGAACACATAGCTGTATCAGAATGTCAGATTCTGCCCACCATGACAATCGAGATGCTACCGTGCACTTACACATTGTTTCCCTGGCCGGGTGTGAGCTCTTTGCCCTCAAATTCCAGGCTCGGGAAGGGCGATCCGGAAGCGAAGAGGCACTTGCCCTTGGTGTGCTTGATTGCGGCCTCAAAGGTGCACTCGGACTTGCTGGAAGGATTTGACAAAGGAAAGATGACAGGGCGATCGTTGAGCTCGGCCATGCGCTCGAGAATCTTGGGAGTGAAAGCGCCGCCGATGGTGGAGAGACCCATGAGGATGGTTGGCTTGACGTACTCAACAACCTCCTCGAGGGTCTTGAATTGTTGGCCGTTGTTGTCGTCACGCGCAAAGTAGAGCTTGTGCTCTGCGAGCTTGCCAGGTCGGTCGTTGGCTACCATGCCCTGGGAGTCGACGAGCCAGAATCGCTGGCGCGCCTCGTCTTCGGTAAGGCCTTCCTTGATGAAAAACTCGGCGAGCTGCTTGGCAACACCAACACCAGCAGAGCCGGCGCCGAGGAATACAGCACGCTGATCCTTGGGGGCCACGCCAGATTGCTTGACAGCGTTGATGAAGCCACCAAGGATGACAGCACCAGTGCCCTGGATGTCGTCGTTGAACATGGTGTATGTATCCTGGTACCGCTCGAGAGATGGGAATGGATTCTTGAAATCCTCGTATTGGATCACAATGCTTGGCCAGCGCTCCGTCAAAGCAGCCATCATCTCGTCCAGGAATTCCTTCTCTTCCTCAGCGGTGACTTTGGGTCGGCGGCTTCCCAAGTAGAGAGGATCGTTGCGGAAGGTCTCGTTTCCAGTTCCGAGATCTAAGCAAATCGGGAGGGTTCGTAGAGGGTGAATGCCAGCGCAGGCTGTGTAGAGGGACAATTTGCCAACGGGGATGCCCATTCCATTGATGCCGAGGTCACCAAGACCCAGGATGCGGGAACCGTCAGTAACGACGGCGATCTCGGCGGTGTGGGGCCAGTTTTGAATCACAGAATGGAGGTGTCCCTTGTCCTCGAAAGAGAGGTATAGACCTATGTTCAAGATTAGACGCGTTTGTGAACCGGATCATCGAGCTGCTTACCCTCTGGCTGAGTGTAGAGTTCCGACCATCGCTGACATGCCTCACCAACGGTGGGTGTGTAGATGAGGGGCGTGATGTCCTGCACGGCGTGTCAGCTTTCGAGCACGATTCATGCAAATGATCGCCTGCATACCTTGATGTTCTCGGTGATCAAGCGGTAGAAGAGGTGGACGTTGGTGGTGCGGAGGACGGAGAGGTATTGGTACTTCTCGATGGGTGTCTTTCGTGAGTTGAGGATTGCAAGAGCTAGCAAGCGCTGCATTAGCTTCGAATTCCGTGGGCGCTCGTCAGTTCACAAGAAGCTGATCCCACCTCGGTCATTCTGCGTCTTGAAGGTGTCCACGCCTGGCGGCGTGAGGCCATACGTTCTTAGGTATTTGCGAGTCTCAATGCTGTGGGTTGTATCGTAATCTTGCCTGCTCACGAGTCACACTGGGTCAGCTCGGCTGCTTTCATGCACGAATACTCGAAGACTTTGCACGACTTACGGCGCAGGCAGGGCGACATGTCTCTCATGGTGATGATTGTCGGCAGGGTTCTTGAGGTTTGCCAATGGCAGGCTTCCGCGCTTGGTAGTGGAAGCCATTGTCCGTCTTGACGAAGCGTGCAGCTGGGAGTGGACGGTTCTGTCGATTGGCTTGATTATTGAAGAGGCGACTCTATTCGTATGGACAGAACGGACAGCAAGAGCTGAGGGGAGAGAAGGAGGAGGGAGAGGGAGGATGGAGGCAGCAGCACAAGAGGTTCGCTGGGCTCTTCTCAGGGTAATATGGGGAGAGGGACGTATCAATGGCATGAGGATGGATGAGGGAGAAACCGGGTCCTGCCGCGGTTAATAGGATGAAAGGATAGCGGCAGTGAGGGACACAGGTAATGAGCGGAGAAGTGTTGCAAGTGATGACCCAAAAGGCTCGAGAAGGGAAGGATATTCGCTCGCACAGCTCTGTGTGTACCTGTGACGGCCGAACAAAAAGTATGCTCCAAATCGCCGCGGTTGTTATTTCCGGCCGAACTTTTGTTCTCGGGGGGGCAAGATTTCTGGGGAAGTGAGGAATGCGCGCGCACACAAACTCGGGGCTAAAACAGAAACGGTCGAACTTGGGCTTCCCAGCTTGCGGTAGGGAACTCCGCCGCCCGGACGGCCATCGGAAACACGAGGGGAAAAGGGCTGCTCGCTCTCTCGGCCTCACTGGCCTGTATGCAACGACGGACATGGCGGAACTGGCGGATTACTGGCGCTCCAATTGTGATCAGTGCATTGTGGATGAAGTACAGAAATAGTATAGCCAAACGTTTCACCCGCATTTCTCAGATCACAGGGCGAAAGCATCGCATGTGTTCATCATTCCGAGGCGAAACCATTTAAGGGGAGTCATGGTGACAATTGGAAATTGGACTCCTGGTATTGGATAGACTGATCATGGAGGCGTACGAACTCATCATCTCCCATCAGTGTTGATCAGAACTCGAAGCGGTGCGAGGATGACATCCGGAAAACCTCGAATGCGGGACGCGGGTGCGGTGTTATCGGACGGAGAATGGGGCGTTCGATCTCTTTGTCAGGCATAACGTTGAGCATCAGATGTCATCCACCAGTACCAGTTTATTATTATGGTGATATCGTTGCACGCAGAGTCCCATTTGTCAAAACCGCAAACAGAGTTCCTCAGCGGATACGCAGACGGCATACATCAGCATGGAAAGAGAATGAACGTCTTCACTGAAAAAGAGGGAGCGCCATCGCATGATGTCCATGAGCTTGTGTGCGGAAACGAGCACACCCGCCTTGAGGACTAGTATGTATTCAGCGATCGAAGGATGCACATTATGAACTGCGTCGACATTGCCTCCGGTAGGAGATGTCGCGAATGTTTACGAGAACGTTCTACATTGCGGACTGGTGGAAGTAGGACCAGTCATACTGCGGTACGAGTTTCAGACCGTTCAACAGTCGGAAGGATCGAGGTTGAGCCTTGCGAGCGTGCGAGTCTTCACCATTGCCCGAACAGACGCAACCTTGGAAATATTGCATTCTTGGAGCCCCCCTGTCACAATCCTCCCATCACGGCACTATTCTGCATCATTGCTACGGCACTACAGTATGTTGATACGTGGTCGCAATGCTGCTTATGCAGGCTTGCGCACACCAGGAGTCATGCTCGCGGTGTCGACTGTCTCGGCCGCTCTTCATATTGATCCCATGTGTACATGCAAAGGGCATAATCCATCGCAGACTTCAAGATTTCGTGGCTGACTTGCATGGTAAGCAAGAGACTCATCAGAGAACCGAGGGAATGCCCGTTCCATCCGACATCTTCCGTAGTCTCCAAACACGCATCACTCCGCTGGGCGCAACATGCCAGCGACGCCATATGCAATATCTAACCCGACAAGGGAGCACATGCATGATGTGGCCATTATACCAGGAAAGAGAGTTCTGGGTAGACTGCAAGTAGCCTTTGATGAGCGTGGCTGATAAATCTCCCATTCATTGCAGTCCACGGTTGTTCGTCAAGTTCACAGCTCGGCAAGTCCATTGACAGTCACCTCGGCATCGCAAATTCGCGCGTGAATGTCCCAGACCTCTTCTGCTCCTGCCTGGAACAGCGCAATACTGGGCTTTGACTATACACGCATAACATTTAAAAGGGGAGCGAAACATTTGAGCGCATCATCGGAGATTGAAGCATATTGGAAAAGGTATCCCGCGGATACAGATTCGTAGTGATAGGTAAGTCATGACGTTGGTGTTGAGCGGGCCGAAGTCTTGTTTACAACTTTACAACTACGGAGGGTACGATGGTCTCAGAATTCAGGCTTGTCTCACAATCGTCAACTTTCCAATGGTGCCCAGGTGGTCCGTGGTCTGCAGAACAAGACCAGCTTGTTTGGTGTATCTTGATCACACGAGCACTTACTATATTGAGGTCTCAGTCATCGACGCTCAGTAAGCGCGTCGGGATGGCGCGGCCCGAAGCGAGCCACGAAGAGCATTATCAGCGGCTGATTGGCCAATGGCCCAGCCCTATGTCATCATCGCTGGGTTCTTGGACGCAAGTGACGCCCGTGGTGAACGCGCCTGTCGAAGTGGGAAGCTACACATCGTCCGTAGCTACACCTACGTATGCTACTGCTTTCCCTCATCATCACTGCCAACTTCTGACTCTCTCTTCCTTTATAATCTTCGGAGTGACAGCCTGCCCCGTCTCTGATCACGCTTTGCTCACTTTCTGACGGATCAGTTCTCGACGAAAGACCGGCGGCTCGTTATCTCCTCGATTATTGTCGCAGAGCCAATCGCTTCCACCGCAAGAAGCATTCGCCATGTCGTCCTGCCTCGGTTTCCGCAAGAAGTCCGACGAAGCTGAGCGTGAGCCGCTTCTGCCGCGCTATAATGACGATACAGCCCTCCAGAGGCGTCTGCACGCAAAGCTACACAGCTACCAGATGGTGAAGGCTTTGACAGAAGGTTTCATGCCCAGCACAGAACAAGCAATTGTCGCTTTGCGCACGGTCTTAGCTTCTGATGTGCTCCATCCTACCAACACCGACCTTTCCGAAAGTGGACGCCGTTTGACCAAATTCGTGCGTCAATGGCTAGTCGAGTTCATGGACTTGCTCGAACACAAGAATAGCCGGGACCAGATTCAAGACACGATTTGGTTCCTTTCCAAGAGCAAGATCGATGTGGACACCGATGATCTCTCAAGGAGACTGAACAAGAGTAGAGCAAAAGCGGACACTGCGGCAGCTTATGAGAGTCTCCGCACAGTCGGCTCTTTGCTGCTCACCAACTCTGACTTTCGTGTCTTCCTTAGTGACCTCAACGTGGTTGGGCGCGAGGTCTTCAGAGATTCCGCTTTCACACTCTCCAATGTCGCGGAAGAGGCTGCCAAGCAGATCGATCCGTCTGAAGCCGACAAGAAAGCTGTCGCTGAGCCTGGCGCGGATGACTCGAAGCAAGCTCCCACTAAAGAAGACCTTGGCAACGAGGTCGCAGAAGTAAGCAAGATTGTAGCCAACGGTACATCAGAAGTAGCCAAGACCGCTGCGGACAGCGCACACGACAAGCTGGCTGGCGACGAAGGCCGGACTCTCATCAACCGGCTCAAACAGGCAATTCTGAACCTGCGTCAGCGCAAGGACTATTCCGAATCAGTGTCGGTGATATCGCTGTTGATCAAACGCTATGCCATGGTCTACTCGCGTGCTGCCGGAGAGATCACGGAAGTAGCTCAACGCGATGTCCAAGAGAACGAAGCCTTTGACCGAGCCATTCACAACCTGTGGATCTTCGTCACTAGTTTCGGTGACGAGAAAGAATGGGAGGAGTCTGAGCGCTTGTTCAAGAAGCTCATGGTTCACAAAGAGAGCGACCCACAATTTGAGGACTTGATGGAAGATGCTGGTGACTCGCTCGAGAAGCTCCTGACAGATCCCGACTTCATCGAAAATGCCCAAGAAAAGTTCACGGAGCTCAGAGAGAAGAACGAGAAGTCCGGAAATGGAAGCAATCTAAGCAAGGACATTCAAGCTCTTCTCAATCAAGTCGAGAAGACATGGAACAGTGTGACTCAGGACAGCGACATCCAGAAACTGATCAACACTACCCTACGCATCGTCAGCATCCTCTCTCCTAAGAATCGCGCCGCCAATCCCGAGCTCTTCCACGACAGTATCAACGTCTTTGTGCCTCTCTTAATCTCGGCGATCCAGCACATCCCCATCCCACGCCTCGAAATCAGTACCCCTGAGATTGACCTTCTTTTGGAGAATCTCATCATTGAGCCAGGAAAGACTGTTAACCATACATCTTTCCTGCCGTACAAGTTGAAGGTGGAGGCATACAATGACGTCGAAATCCGTAAGGCCAAGTTCCGTACCACAACCAGCATGAAAAACCTCGTCACCATCAAGATCGACGGCATCTCTGCCAAGGCTGAGGAGCTTGGATTTTGGCTGCGTGCCCACAAGGGCTTCCTCCGCTTGGCTGACGAAGGTATTGCAAGCTTCGCGCTCGATGATCGCGGTGTTGATGTACACATCGACGTTGAAATTGGCCGCGAGAAGCTTGAACAAATTCTTACTCTGCGAGATGTCCGCGTCAACATCCACAAGCTCAACTATGAATTCCGCAAGAGCAAGTTCAGCATTCTTGGCTGGCTATTCAAGCCCCTACTCCGACCCATCATCAAGAAGGTCTTGGAGAAACAGATGGCCAAGGGCCTCGCGGAGTTCTTCCACGCTGCAAATCGCGAATTGCTTTTTGCTCGCGAGCGTCTCCGCGCCACTCGCATCGCCGATCCAAACGATCTACTGACTTTCGTCAAGGCTGTCGCTGCCCGTCTGAAGCCTGAGGATGATCCCGATCTCTACACTCGTGTCGGTGTCGCACAGCCTGGTAAGGGAGTGTTCAAAGGCGTGTATGCGCCCGGCAGCATCGTCAAGGTGTGGAACGAGCAAGCGGTTCAGGCTCGTGAAAGGATTGAAGATTTCGAGGTCGAGGGCTGGAGAAACGACATTTTCGAGACGCACGTGTCGACAATGTCGTGAGCACAATCACAGAGCCAGTCTTGGCTTGATCGAGGTGCCACTGAAAATGATCGCTTTCTCTATCAATCACGAGCAACAGCAGACATTGCTCGCTGCATTCTGCAACTTTAATTGAGGCATGAAGTATATTTCGGCGTTCGGGGTCAATGGGAAACAAAATGGGCATGATACCTACGCCGTGAAATTTGACGAAATAGTACCGTATACGAACATTACTTTCACTTTTGGACACAACGTGATTCATTAACCTGCATCGATCCACTGTGTACACGTTCGAAGTTTCGGCCAGCCGACCTCCGAATCCAGCCTCACATGTGATGATGTAGCGGCTATCGCTTCAGCTTATTCTTGCGAGACAATTGGTGGACATCGCGTGATGGTCAAAAAGGCGGAAGGATGTATTTCTGTATGTACTTCAATGAGCTGAGCTGAGCTGGAGGACGTCACTGTTCGGGTTCTGTGGCTAAGCTAGCGTGCGGGAGCACCCGCCCAAATCGATTTTGCCCGGACAAGTAATTGAAGTCATTGAGTGCAAGCTTGCTGTATCTATCGCGTGTACATATTGTTCACTCCATCTCCCCATCTACGATCAACTCATCCGTCGCCTCCCACACACATTCGCCATCATGTTCCGAACAGCTCTCCTCCAATCGACGCGGTGTTTCGCTCAGGCTGGCGTCCGCGCTGCGCAACCCGTCGTGCGATCTGCTGCCATCCGCAGCCCCTTCATCACATCCCAGATCGCCACACCTGCGACTTCTCTCTCGGCTGTGCGATGCTATGCTTCCGGCTCCGGACTCGGCAAGGAGGAGGTCACAGGGCGCATCGTTGATTTGTTGAAGAACTTTGACAAGGTACGCGGAGGAGGAAGCATGGTTGTCGAAGTGCTGGACAGAGGCTGATGAACCATGTTATTATAGGTCCAGGACGTCTCAAAGGTAGACTCTTGCTCGCGACCTAGTCGCTGTATACCGCTGTGTGGATGGTTTTAACAATGAAGACAGATTCAGGAGAATGCCCATTTTTCCAACGACCTGGGACTTGACAGCTTGGACACCGTTGAAGTCGTTATGGCGATAGAGGAGGTTTGTGTATAGAACACCTTTCATGGTGGTCTATGGATGTTAACAACTCTGCAGGAGTTCAGCATCGAGATCCCCGACAAGCAGGCAGATGCCATTCACAGTGGTACGCAACTCATAAGGCTGTATAAATGGGCGCACGACCCAAGACTAACTCAGAACAGTCAACCAAGCCGTCGAGTACATCCTCTCACAGCCTGATGGTACGTAGTATCGACATGCGTCGTTGCTCCATCACTGCTGACAATTGCATAGCTCACTAGATTATCACCGGCGCATATTGATGGTGGTTTGAGATGTGTGAGATCACTTTCACAACTTCTGTGGCAGACTGTGTTCGAGGTCCGAGGAGTTCCAGCTTCTGCGCTCCAGAAACGAGGGTTTGGCATGCTTTACATCCATGTACTCTTAGATTTGTATTCGACGCCCGTCTCTGTCTTCGCGCTATCTGCATTGGTGATCATACGTACGTTTTGCCTGGGCAGGTCATCTGCCAAAGCGCCTGCGTCCATTGGTTTGTGCCGTGCCAGGCTGGAATTTAAGCTCCGCGGGTTAGTCCGCGCTACATTGTTGTGGCCGCAGCGCGAAGCCATGTGGTAGGCCCTGAAAGTCAATCCATGTCCACATCGCATTCCGATCATTGTTGATCTATTGTAATTCTACGCATCAGTGCGGTCCAGGTTCAAGACGCCGCATTCGCCGTAGAAGTGCAGCGCAAATATAGCGCACAGAAATCGCCTCAGCGCAATCCAGAACACTCGCTCTATCCTCGAAGGTTCGCCAGCGACTTCAACCTCACCCTTGATCGGTCGAATTCACGCAAGAACTCTTTTCGAACGAACAACGCATTACATCTTTCGCTATGGCCTCGGGCCTTACTCGTCGCCGTGGTGCGGGTGGCGCAGGATCCGGCGAGAACGGCGGAGGCAGTGATGATGTCGGCCGCGTCTCATCTCCTGCTCCACGAAACAACAACTCAGATGTGAGGTCGCCCGAGACATCCTACGAGAGCGGCGAGAACGGCCATCGGATCGCCTTCGACCCTCGCGACATTTCAGAGAGTGCTGAGCGCTCCAAGCAACCCAAATTGACGTTGATGGAGGAGGTTCTGCTCATGGGATTGAAGGATAAGCAAGGATATCTAAGCTTCTGGAACGACAATATTAGTTATGCGCTACGAGGATGTATCGTCATCGAGCTGGCCTTCCGGGGAAGAATCGCCATGGAAAAAGACAGCAACAGGAGGCGCTTCCCACTTGCGGATCGCACAATTGAGGTTGTGGACGATAGCCTGACGGGCGAAGTATTGCTGGACGAGGCGCTGAAGATGATGAAGAGCTCGGAGAAGATGAGTGTGGCTTCATGGATTGACCTCATGTCCGGTGAGTACAATCTTGGACAAAATAAGGCCGCGCAATCGCTAGGCTTGTCATTTTCACTTCCAACGATCTAACGTGTAGCTATGCAGGCGAGACATGGAACCTCATGAAGATCGGTTACCAGCTCAAGCAAGTTCGTGAGCGACTCGCGAAGGGTCTTGTCGACAAGGGCATCCTTCGCACCGAGAAGCGCAACTTCCTCCTCTTCGACATGGCTACACACCCCGTCGCCGATGGCGGTCCTAAGGACGAGATCCGCCGACGAGTGCGCGCCGTGCTAACCAACCGCACCGTTGTCCTCCCTGCGACTCCATTCTTCCCCGACGAGATGGAGTTCCGATACACGCGCACCATCGCAATGCTCTGCGCAGCCTATGCAGCAAATGTGTTGGAAAATGCGCTGACAACCCTCTCACATGAGGCGCGCGAGCGCGCCTTTGCTCAGGTCGATGAACTTCTCGCCGAGTACTCGCAATGGCCCTTCGCCAAGCGAACAGGTGGTTCGAATGCAGTTGGTGCCAATCTGGAGCAGGTCATTCGTGACGAGATCAATGGCTCTGACAAGGAGTTGTCCCTCGAGGTTCGTAATTGCGTTCTCGTTAGAAAGCTTCGGTACTGCTCTGTCGTGTTCGCATTACTGATATTTATTCTCCCTCGAACAGGTTGTTGCTGCTTGTCTCAGCGTCTTCACCCGTCTCGATTCGCTGATCTAATTCACTTTCAAGAGGCGCCCTTGCTTGGGCAGTCTACACTGGGATATTTTCACCCGGGCGAAGTATAAGGACGATCAATGATGGATGTCTTGATGCGAGTTGTTTTTAATCATCACCTGCGAGGTCGTCCCTTTCTCACGAATCCGCTTTTGTTCTGACGCCGGTCCTCACTACAAAGCCATCTGAGCGGGCCCACACCGTTCTTGCTACGATGGGACGATCACAATGCGACCAGCACTATTCAATATACCTAGGGATGTGTCCGTTGGCGCATGAAGGCGTTCGGCGCACCTCACGTGGTAGTATCTCTCCATTGTGCGGCTTTTCCCTTGCACGCGTTCGATATTCTAACTTGATGAAAGATAACTATCGTTGGCTGTAATTGCATCGTCTCTCGTTCCACGTAGATCAGCTGTGTTGAAATACTGTCTCAGCTCGTTTGTAATTTGGTTTCAGCGGCACTCACGCGATTACACTCACATAAAATTTGTCTTGCAGTGAAGAGGCTTGTTCTTGGACTTCAACCGGTCACTCGGAGAAGCGCCTGACACTTGTATAGTAGAAAATTCGGTTAGGCAGTACAAACCGCACACATACGCCGTATCATATTGTCAACATCCAGAACAATCAGAAGACATTGACCAGCCAGCATATCTTTGTAGGATGACCTCAGTCTCCATGGGCCTGGTGGGTGTGTTGCCCCAATAAAACCCTATTCTGACCCTAAAGAGCAAACTCCCGAACTAGGAAATTTGAAGTATTTGGAGCCGAGGTGTACATGGGTGGAGATACATGATCAACAGAGCTCTATGATCAGTATACGATAGACATGCTACGAAGCAGACCCGTGCAGTGAGTCACTGGTGAATACTTGCTGTCAAATCGCGGAAGCTGCTACCAAGGTCACAAAATGACGCTTGTGATCGGACCTCGTCCGATCACTCGTCTACTCGTTGCAAACAGGTGATCATTTCCAATGCTTAAACGAGCCGGCAAGGTTCGTACGATTTACTCCATCCTGACAGTGGTGCAGAGGCGAGATTGCTACTCGGATCATCTCTGCTGCTCGTGAACTCGACATTGAGACATTTGCTGTCTACACCGAAAACGACGTCAGCCACACATACAACGCAGGTCGAGCAGTTCGCCTTGAGTCACCCGCATCCTACATGAAGATTGATGAGATCTTAAGAGTTGCTCAGAAGCATAATATCGATGCGATCCATCCTGGCTATGGCTTTCTGTCCGAGTCCGATGACTTTGCTCTACGAGCTGCGCAAATAGGTGTCATGGTCGTTGGTCCTGGAGCGTTGAATTTGAAACGTACTGGCGACAAGCTACAAGCACGCCAACTTGCTCAAGAATGTGCAGTTCCTGTCCTACCTGCATTTACGACGCCAACTGGCAGCGTGGATGGAGTTGCAAGGTTTGCGAAAACGAATGGACTGCCGATCATGGTCAAAGCTGTCGACGGCGGTGGTGGACGGGGTATTCGTCTGATTCGCACAATCGAAGATATTCCGAGTCTGACGACACGTGCAATTGAGGAGAGTCCTTCCAAGCAAGTGTTTGCGGAGAAAGCTGCGGTCGATGGCTTTCGTCACGTCGAAATCCAGATTCTTGGCAACGGACAAGGTCAAGCGATGCATTTATGGGAGCGCGAATGCAGCATACAGCGGCGCTATCAAAAGATCGTTGAACTAGCTCCCAGCACGATACAAGGTCGGGCGATCGTTGCACCCTTGATCGAAGCTGCATTGAGGATCGCCACAAAGGTACGTCGCTTGCTTTAACGAGAATCCCGATCAAGCTAATTGATTATTTCAGATTCGTTACGCATCTCTCGGCACGTTCGAGTTCTTGCTCAATCCTCAGACGAAAGAGTTCTACTTCCTAGAGATCAATCCACGGCTGCAAGTTGAGCATACTATCTCCGAATCAATATGCTCCACCGACATAGTGAAGGCCCAATTAAGATTGGCTCAAGGTGCATCGTTTGAGGAAGCTGGTCTCATTGGAATTTCGCAAGACCCTCTCTCCCCACCGCAACAGCATGCTATCCAGCTGCGGCTTACGGCAGAAGATCCTCACAAAGGCTACTCCTTGAGCATTGGAAAGATCCAATCTTTTCGATTTCCCACAGGTGCTGGTGTTCGGGTTGATACGGCCCTCATAGCTGGTGCGCCCGCGGTCGTCACATCTGATTTCGATAGTGTCATTGCGAAAATCATTGTCACCGCGCGGACATGGTCAGATGTCGTCAAGAAAGCTAGACGAGCCATTGATGACACCACCGTCACTGGAATTACCACCAACTTGGCATTGCTGAGTGCAATTGTATCTCACCACGACTTCGAAACCGGAAATTGTGACACGCGATGGCTGGAGAGTAACCACGAATCGCTGCTTGAGCAGAGTGGAGGTCTCGCCCGCGATCAAGACCCGTTCCATGGCCTTGTCAATCAGCAGGCACTGTCCGGCACAGGTTTTACTGGTGCGACGACAGCCAGCAGCACTTTATTCCGCAAAGATGATGCTTGGACTGTCAGCCTCAAGCCGCAGGGCAGCAAGGATGCAAAAGTTCATCACCTTCAACTTACCAAGGTGCTGCGAAACGACTTTCCTGACAGCTTCGCAGCAGATATGCTGTACACCTCGCCTGGCGAACAGTCTGTGGTGTATACAATGGACCTCAAAAGCACGTCTGCGTCCGGATCGGCGATCAGTGCACAGCATCGACAGGGCTCGCGATCGAATCCGAACCACGTCATTGTACCGCTTTCTGGGAAATTGGTTGAGGTCCTGGTTGACGTCGGCGACATCATTGTGAAGGATCAAGCCGTCTGTGTTATCAAGCAGATGAAGATGGAAGTAGAAATCCGGTCGCACAAGGCGGGTAGGGTGACATGGGTCACTGAAGCAGAGGACGACGAAGATGTGGCAGAGGGCATACTCGCCGCCATCGTAGAGGACGAGCTAACGCAAGCTAAACTCTGAGCCTGCTAGAGACGCCCTTGATCGTCAGCGCACGACCTCACTAAATAGGACAGGAAGCAACTGGAAATATCGCAATCATGAACTGATTCAAGTTCTATATTCACTATGACAATGTTACATATCGCGCCTTTGGCAAACATAGGTTTGCTTTTATCCCGTCAGAACATCGAAGGTCATTTCCATAAAGGCATTGTGAAAACGAGTGGTGAAAAATGTTGAAAATGCGTGATGATGAGACGTTCCCGCGGGACCTGCCATCCGAACTCATCTCGAACTGCTCGCGGAGCTCTCTCCTGGCTTCACTTTCATCATTTCATGCGGTTGACTTGGATCTTGTGGGTCCATGAATCGTAAAAGGACATGCTTGAGCTCCTTGAAATCGACCGGCTTTGTCATGTAATCGTTGAAACCAGCCGCCACGCATTTCTCATAGACGTCGTCTAGAACATTCGCTGATAGGGCGATGATTGGAATGGCTCTGTGCTTGTTCCTCTTCTCCCATTTGCGGATCTCCCTACAGGTCTGGTATCCATCTTTATTGGGCATGTGTAAATCGCACAAGATCATGGAGAAGTAACCCGGAGGCATGGCGAAGACTTTATCGGTGCACTGAACGCCATCAAAGACCGTGTCGACTTTGATGGCAGACTTTGAGAAAAACTTTAGAATGACGAGCAGGTTCGTTCTGTTGTCCTCGACAATCAGAACACGTTTGTCACGATTTCCGAGGCGTAATGTGAGCTCTTCAAATACTTGTTTTTGGTTTGTGGCGACCTGCTTTGCGCTGTCTTGGTTGCGATCGTTGCTCATTTCGCGTTCCTTCTGAGGATCAAAAATCAAACCAAGACGGGAAGGCTTCAAGGGTTTGAAAATAAATAGTAATCTCCGCAACACGGTGAGCTGGTCATAATTGAGAGTTGGTGCCTGCTCAATGATTTGCTTGCGTTGTGCTAGATCTGAGATGAGTACCACTGACGTGGACGAGCTCGATTGTAGGATTTGCGTCATTAATGCTATAATCTCCCCGATATCCTGCAGGTTGATTACGACATGAGAGAAAGTGATCGGTTCGACACCACCAAGGAGATTACGGCATTGGTCGAGACTCTCACGCGCCGTGATCTGGTGTGGGACATTCTTCGGTAATGTCTTTATTATGTGCTGCACGGTGGCTTGTCGACTGTATTCCAGTGATGCTATCACAAGGATCGAGAACATTGGAGGCGAGGATAGCGCGGGGGTGTTGGAGGCGGACTGCTTCGCAGTGTCGTCCGACGCGTCCGACATTTGTGACTGGGAATTAGACAGACGTCGCGTGTCCAGCGGGAGAGATAGCTTCATTGTACCGGCTTGAGGAAGCAACTCTGGCACGAATGACGACGCGGAAGATCGAGCAGAAGGGAGACTTCCGCTGCGAGCTATTGAATGCACAGATGGATCTGAACTCGCGGACGACACAGATGGCGAAGATTGCTTGGCGACATCTGGAGACGATGGCAAATACGGAGGTGTTTCGGTCACATCGTGCGCAAATCTTGGTGAAGGCCGGGACCTGGAATCTGAAGAAGACGAAGAGGTCTTGGCCAGGCTCGGCAAGGCCTTGATCGTAGGTCTCTCGAGGGTGGAAGCAGAGCTATCAGATGTCATTGCGTCATTCGGGGCAAGCGAAGGTAGATGATCATGTTCAGACATGAGTCCAGCTTGGATGACGAATGTAAAGGTTGATCCCTTATTTGGAACTCCTGTAGCGGTCATGTCGCCACCATGGAGCTGTGCAAGTTGCCTCGAGATCACCAAGCCTAGACCTGAGCCTCCATGTTGACGCGTGCTACTGCCATCAATCTGACTGAAGCGCTTGAACAAGAACTTGGCTTCTTGATCAGTAAACCCTCTACCAGTATCAATGACGTCGAATTTGATGAAGCTCTCGTCTGCCCCGAGCAAACCTTCGTCATCGGGTAGCTGGGAGCACCTCACAAAAACTTCACCTTTCTGTGTGAACTTGATGGCGTTGCCGACAGTGTTGAGCAGGATCTGACGAATCCGGAATTTGTCTCCCTTTATGATTGGCGGTACGTCTTCATCCACAAGGTAATTCAGTTCGAGGCCCTTGTCAATCGCCATTGTCGATGTCAGATCGTTCACTTCCTCAATGAGAGCACGGGGATAAAGCCAGTCTTTCTTCAGCGTAATCATGCCTGCTTCGGCCTTTGAAAGATCAAGGATGTCGTTGATCAAGCCTCGCAAGCCTTCTGTGCTGGTACGGATGATATTCACGTGTTCCATCTGCTCCGCGGTGAGATTACTATCCATGAGGAAATTGACCATGCCCGTAATGCCGTTGAGCGGAGTTCGAATCTCGTGAGACATGTTGCTCAGGAATCTCGACTTCTCGTCCATCGTCTCTTTAAGGTCTCTTTCGAGTGTCTTGTGGTCATTAATGTCCGTGCAGGTTCCATACCAAGTGCCTTCATCGTTGTCCTGCGAGTCCGCCTCCGCTAGTAATACGCGAACGAGATGCCAGCGGTACTTTCCATCCTTCGATTTCAATCGAACTTCGGTTGAGTACGAAGGTCGGCCATCTGCGTCTCGGCTTACCTTGAGGATACCGATACTCGCAAGTTCCGAAAGCTTCCGTTGTGGCATGATTGCCGTAGTTTGAGACGTAGGCGATGCAGTAGAGTCAGAGCTTGAGGGTGGCTTTTCGGTCTCTGAAGACGCAGTTGAGGATAAGGCCGATGCAGAAATTGTCCGTCTCGGTTCCGCAGGCATGGACGTAGGAACGTTTACAGGCTCGGCTGATCCATCTTCGAATATTGGAAACCGGCATTTGACAAGGTCGTCTGGATGTACATGCTCCAGGAAACCCTGCCCTAAAGCTTCTCGCTCGGATTGACCGGAGTATTGTAGCCATTGTGTGTTGCAGAAGGTTATCCCTTTTGCCTTTTGTGCCGAGAAGACTATCTGCGGGCTAGAATTTGCAAGGGCCTTGTACTTGGCTTGAGAAGCCTCGGTTTCCTTCTGGAACGCAATCTTGATTTCTGCCATGTGCTGCTCATGGAAGTCCATCATCGTGCCAATCCAATGCACAACCTTGTGCTCTTGCGTTTTGAGCGGTAGACATTTCACATAGAACCAGCGATATTTGCCATCTTTGTTACGCATTCGGACTTTTTGCGACAATTGCTGATTAGTCCTCAGCGAGCGATGCCATACGGAAAGGAACTCAGCGTGATCATCCGGATGTATTGCCTGCCAAGGATCCTTGAGCACCTGGCGGCTATCTTGTCCGCGATAATTCAACAGCTTCGCGTTCACCCAGCTGAGCTGTCCTGTTTCTGGCTGCGCAGTGAATATTTGAACGGGCACCGAATCTATAATCAATCTCAGAAGACGCTCAGATGGAGGAGGCATCTCATCTGAATGCGATGCTCTTCGAGTATGGCCCGCTTCACCTGGCGTCGTAGTTGAGAGACCGCCAAATGATGAGTCGAAATCTGCTCCATATGAATGCAGCAAGGTGTGATGCTTCTTCTGATGTGCGATGTAGTCGGGTAGATGGGCCATGGACGGCCGCGCGCTTCGAGAGGGCGAAGGAGTCTGTTCCTCATGCACAAGTCCGACCACTTGCTGCAACTTGTCGTCTCTGACATTTGACGCTTGTTTGTTCTGCAGATTCTTCTCCGCAGTAGCTGAGGGGCCCTCGGTAGCAGCTCGTTGCAGACCATGCTCTGTGTCTGTCTGCTGTCGCGTCACTCTGGTCGTGCTCACTGGCGCGCTGTTAGCCACGTGACTCCCTCTCTTTAAACGCTTCTGCGCCTCAAAATAGTCATTGCTTCTTTCGTTCCCGGCCGAGGGTGTTCCAGCAGTGGACCGAGGATGAGATGTCCCGGAGGTGTTCGTCTCCCAACCCGGCGTGCCCGAGAACGACCCTAGCGGACTGTTCTTTGAGCGCCCAGAATATTCGGATGGGCTTGTTACCGTGTCAGACACCATGTCAGATGTCCTCCTGAAGCCTGTGTTGACCACATCTTCGATGGACATAAGTTCAACAGTCATCGGCGCCGTCATGATGGTCTCCCCTTCTTCAGGTATTCGCTGTCGAATCCTTACGGCTTGACCCCGTAAAGCACTAAACTGTTGTGCAATGGAAAACGAGGTAGCGAGATGAGGCCCAAGAAGTTTGAGAGAATGTACGAGATTGTCGGGATATGGCACGATGGATGTGAGGACCGAAAGTATAGCGATCGGTGCCATTCTTTGCAGATCGATGGTATTGCTTCGTTGGAGATTGCCGGCTCTGTGTTTTGATTGAGGCGTCATTCTGAGAGACTGCATGGGTTGAGAAATAGTGGGATGAATGAGCGGAATGTGTATGACTGTACTGGCACAGTCGATGCCTATGGCTTCGACCTGGAGCTCTTGAGAATAGTCTCGTGGACTGATGGCAGGATTGAAAGAGTCCTCTACTTGCTGCTCGTCAGACGCGAAGAAAGGGTTCCTCTCCTCATCTACCTGTATCGCGGGCGATGGTGCTGGTGACTGCGCCCATGGAGATGAAGGATGCTGTTCGTACTCTTCATAGTCCTTGCGTATGGAGGGAATATTATCAGCAGCGAAGGCACTGCGGTAATTCCCGAACAGCATTTCCTGCTTCGATGCGACTGAAGGGACAGATGTTGCGTCTGCTGATGGCTCTGAGGAATCGGAAGAGTAGTCTCGGATGACAGTAACGACTCTACCCCTTTGCAGTACACGATTAACGCCGCTCGTTTCAATAAGTGGCCGATTCTCTCGATCTAGGGCTCGTAAAGCCGAGTAAACATCAGCGTAGGGCCCAGCGTCAACCCCTCCGGCAACGCTGCTGAAGTCTGGGTCGCTCAGTGAAGTATGCCGCAAGTTTGCTGGTGTCTGCGTCGATTGAGAGGGTGTTCGTGACATTTTCGTCTGTCCTGTCGCATCGGCATTATATGTGACAAACCTCTGAGGGCCAGCGGGGCGCTGAGTGGTCTTGCCAGGCATTTCTGTTCCAGTAGCGTTGAGACTTGGACGTGCATCGCGGCCAAGTCCGGGGCTTCTCTGACCGTGGCCGGCATACGAGTGCCGTGCCTCCAGACGGGGACGAAGTCGCTCGGGATGCAATATCTGTGGACGTGCGTCGGAAGACGTTTCTGTAGATGGTTCGCGGAGCGTAAATTCAGGCCGGCCTAGTCCGCCAGCCTGAACATGTGCAGTCTGGGCTTCGACGATACTGTGAGACACGAACTCTTCGGGTCCGTTCATACTGAAGGTCGCCTTCAGCCCCCATGGTGTATTCTCTATGTCAGATGAGTCCGTTGGCATGATTAAAGTAGCACGATCTGCCTTGAAATGATCATGTAAGAGATTTGTCAAATTTGTCCACCATTCCTCGAGACCAGGCTCAGCATGTAATTTGAGACTCAAATTATACAGATTCGGCGAGGGATATTGGGATTCTTCGACGCCGGCAGGATGTTCGTCCGGAGGAGAGAAAGCGTCCATTACACTCGGAGTGGTGGCCGAAGACGTGAGCCCACTGTTGGTCCTCTGCGATTTGAACCTCTCGTGTATTTGGGTTCCTGACATCGTCGGTGAAAGGGCCGTAAACGGCTGATGAAGCCCACCGGACCATGCTCTGGGCGTTCCGGGAACATACGGGAATGGATATGAAGGTGTGCGAAGTGGAGTTTCTGCGCCAGTGGACCCACCACCTCGCACTGTTCGCTGAGATTCAGTCGACGTTGTGGAGACAGTAGACGCAGCACGAGCAGTCAAATGGTGCGCATTTGCCTGCTCCGCGCCGGCTTCTGATATTCTCGGAGGAGTCGGAGTCTCCTCTTTGATGGGCGACACGCGTGATACGCCGATAAGTGCTCCAGAACTTGAGCTTTGCCGGGCTCGCAGACGTGTCTGTTGGGAGAGCCTGGCGTTGACTGCAGCACGCAATTTGCTCAAATCTTCCACCTCCGATGCTTGCGACATATCCGGGCCATCAGGACCATCCTTTCCCATTGCCCATTCCGTGTCTTTCTGGCCGATATTGCCCAGATGAGATTGACCCGAACCGACACTGCGCGCTGAATTGTCTAGTCTCTTGTGCAGCTCTGATGCCTCCTGTACCTCCTGCTGACGCTGCCACGATCGCGTCGATGCCGATTCGTGCGTCGCTTGAGACTGTGATATATCGCTTTCCTCACTGTCCGACTCTCCCTTTGAAGACTCCTTTGATGATGAATCTGAGTTCATCGCAGCGGCAAGTGCATGGCCTGTTGTCTTGCTCGAGCAAGACGATCTCTCGAAGCGCAGGTAATGGTGGCGTTCGCGCTGCGATAACTCGTTATGCGAGGAGGATGATAAGGACAATGGGTCATGCAGCGACGGCTGCTGATCAATTCGCCCAACGGTCGTCGAGACGCTGTCGGCCGCCCAGGTGTTCGGTACTCAGTGTGCGCAGACTGCAAGCGTGGTGACTGATGACGTAGTGGTAGCAGACCACTTTGAATCTGCATGTTTGACGCAAACGGGCATCTGGCCAACTCCCCGACGCCAGCTTTGTCACCCTTTCTACTATTTTTTGGAATTGTCCTGGGACACGATCACGAACAGAATCTATTTCCATCGGACGAGACGATGCGATGCGGGTGTGGTACAGTAACACGAACAATCACTCTGCGCTCGTTTACACTTTTTAAAGACCCGTGCGCATTCTTAGCCCACCACCTCCAGGGTACGCACAATACACGTCGCAGGGAGGGTTGGGATTTCTGGTTACGCTTGGCGCTTACCGATATAGACTCCAGTAACGTACCCTATAGGCTTGTGGGCCACTATAGGCCTGTGGGCCACTCTTCGACACCAGCTGCATTGAATACTCAATATTTCTACTAATAATTGAAATGAAGCTATATGATTAGGAATTCTATGGGACAGGATGTCTATACTACAGTAGGACACGTCTTACACGTATGTCCTTCCAAATTGCAAGTGCTACACCGTGGTTTACGACGTGTCTGCTGGCTAGAGCCTGCTTCAGCTTGGCCTTGTTCTTCCGATAACAACGTGTTTACAGCCTTTGCAATAAGAAGAGCCTCGAATCCTTCTTTGTCAACACTTCCTTGAACCTTATAACGCGTTCTTGGACGTTGTTTACGCGCGCTCAGCGTCTGTACAGTCTGGCGGAGGTCGGACACTTCAGCTTGCAGAAGGGCCAGCTGAGCAGCTGCTTTATGATAGCCCTTAGCATTCTGTCGCAAAGCAGCAACTATTTCTGACAGTGAAATGCTTGAACGCTGCAGCTTGTTCTCAATATATGCTGTCTGAGAATCAACCTCTCGAGGGTTTGACGGCGTAACTGTAGTCCATTGTACTAGTGTTTGTAATGGAGGTGTTACTGTTCTTAATGTCAGCTTCTCTAGTACTGCTTCAGGATTGAATGGCACAAGGCCAGCACCGCGGAAGCCAGCTTGTATATTTGAAGCTGTAAATGCAGCAGCTATCGCGTGTGGGATCTCGGCAAGGAAGTCGTCCTTTGTTATGATATAATAAGACGCTCGGAAGAGCCGTTCAAGCCTTGCTGTATATGCTGTCTTCAAAGGACCGAAACAGCTAACATCGAGAGGCTGTAGACGATGCGAAGAATGAGGTGGTAAGCAGAGAGTGACAATGTTATGATCTTTGCAGTATTGATCGAATTCAGGCGTTAAATGGCTACCATGTCCATCAAGGACAAGAAGCCTTTTAACACCCTTTGTCGCTTGCTGCGTATGTCCATGGAAGTGCTCTATCCAACGCAGACCAAGAGCATTGCTTGTCCAGCCATTCTCGCTGCAGGCTAGAGTCCAGCGTGGTGGTAGTCCTTCAAAATAAGTCTTATTTAGCGTTACGCCTTTGAAGATCACGAATGGAGGGACCTGCCAGCCTCGAGCGTTGACGCAGGCAATAATGGTTACCCATTCAGAAGAATCCGATCCAATCAATGTTGGTCTTCCTTTCCGATCAGCTGTAGTTACAACATGGTGGTTGCCAGCTTGCCCAAGGCGGAATCCAGTCTCATCAAAGTTGTAGATATCGTCTTCAAGGATACCATGGAAATTGATCATGTTCTTCACCAATTCAAACCATTGAATATACGCGTCTTTCTGCTCGTTACGTGCACGCTGCCAATCCAGCCTTCGCGACAACTTTGTCTTAAGCCGTGGTGTCCTTTTAATAAAGTTATGTCGCCATAATTTACCAACAGGTTCAAGGCCCTTCTGCGTTGCAAGGATGTTCGCAATTTCCTCAACATGAGCAAGCGTTGGTGGCCATCCACGCGAGTCCATATCCAATATCCTTTCAATTATAACCTCCTCTTCAGCGACAGTGAATTTCCTTGAATTGACACCTTGCTGTTGTCTGGAAGGTCTGCTGTCAAGGCGGCGTTGGAGGGTGGTCCTTGAGACGTTATACGCGCGCGCAGTTGCTCGGATCGACTTGAATTGACCGGATCTGAATGCAGCGATAGCAGGAGCGTAGGAATCACGCGTCAATCGCGTATCCATTGTATGACGTGGATAATTATCGCGTGTTGAAGGAAAGAATACGTAGTGAGAATAGGAAGTGGCCCACAAGCCTATAGTGGCCCACAAGCCTATAGGGTACGTTAGAAGAAACCACCTGGTGAATCATCCTGCATTTGTTGATTTCATTCTGCACCTGGCACTTTGATCTACGACTCATCTACGATGAATTCTTTTTGCAATCCGCTATGTATGGATGTCGATCTCAAGAAATGTCAAAATTCAGTTGAAATTGAATGGATTTCGACACAGCGGACACGTGCTGGCGTTGCTCGTCTTAAACCATTTAAACAGGCAGCTCGCATGGAAAAGGTTCTTGCAGGTCGGGCAACGCTTGGTCGGCAGTTGTTTGTCGCCACTGATGATCGAGTAGCAGATGGCGCACTCGGTTTGACCTTTGAGTGCTCCAGTGACGTTTTTCCTCCAGGCCGACAAGCCGTCGATGATGCTGCCGTTCTGTACAGAATGAGGTTAGCCATGACTACACGCGCAGGCCGTGCACTTGAATCCTTACCGAAAATGTGATGACTCCCTGACAGTTGCGCAGCCAGCTTTGCCACTTCTCCTCCTTCACAGCTACGCGACTGACGCTGAGCACCTTCGCCGACTCCAGGGGATATGACTCCGGAAGGACGACCTTGATCGCCATGGTTTGTTCGTCGACCAGATAGCTCACGTTGACTTCTTTGCTTTGCATACTGGGCTTTACCGTCATGCTTTCGTACTCAGGGTCCTCCTTCACACTCTTCTCAGCCCAAATCGCCACCTCTTGGAGACTAGCATTGATGATACTTGGGCTGACGTATTTTGCCGTCCACGTCTCAATCGCTAGAGAGGTCTGTCTTGATCGCACATCGCGTACGTAGCTTTGGACTAAACTCGGTATGTGAAGCATTGAAAGGTAGAACAAATGAGCAAGTAGCCATTGCGCATCTTTCTCAGGGTTCGAAGCATTGTCAGGCTTGTAGTCCTGGATGTCAAACTTAGTTGCGTCAATAGGTTTGCCGTCTGTGTGCCCAAGCAGGTCGAATGTCAATGTCAGCAGGTGAGGGAGCACACCATTTCGTTTAATCTGATCAGTGTAGTCCGCTCTTACGCGGTAGCTTGAACTGATAAAGTGATCGAAAACCAGCCGCCAGCTATACAAGTAGCTTCTCAGCTCGATGGGCATTGTTCTCTCAAAAGAAGCATCTCCAAGCGTGTCGGCCGTTGGACTTTGCAGGAGAAGCGACAACAACTCGTCCGAGAGTCGAGCTGTCTTGTTATCAAGTGCAGCATCAAGAGAAATCTGCTCTTGAGAGGCAAGAATGTGCTTCTGGATTAATCCGAAAGCAGCGATCTGCAGTGAAGGTGACGACGAGAACATCACTGGGTACAGCTCTCCGATATCATCCATGACTGTCACGTTCAGACCGGTGATCTGGCGACATAGCAGTTCGTTTGTGGCCATGAGCGGTGCGTGGTCAGCGTCAGAGGCGGCCGAAAACGCTTTCAACAGATTCACGAGGCCACCCGTCACAGCGCCGCCATCGCCAAGAGCAGCGGAAAGATCATCGTTGACGTCTTCGGTAGTATTGTTGAGACGTGTTAGGCCCGCATACAACCTCAGCGACACATTGCCAAGCAAAATATGTTGCTCTGAGATCATTGCTCCTTCTGTGGCATTTGCGATTGATTTCCAGAGATTGAGAGAAGATTTCAAAATCTTGTCCCAATGCTCGCCATACATATCGGCCATGCTTGGCAAGAGGTGTGTCAAAGTCTTGTAAGTCTCTACTCTGGTGAAGGCTGATGTTTCGACGGAGATCCATGGTATGATGTGTTTGACAAAGAGGACGAGACGTGTTTTTGCTATTCCGGCTATCGCGTCCTCTTGAGTAGCAAGAATGACGTTCAGAATCACTAAGGCTTCAAGCGTACGCGATCCGGTAGCATCCAGTTCCGATGCTGTGAGCTCAGCAAGAAGTTCGTTGCACATGCGGCCGACAAGCTGACTCCCTGCCAGTGGCTTTGCCAGGCCCACCAGGCATTCTAGCACCGACAGTGGTTGCTTCTCCGCTCGTCGTGATCGAAGGATGTCTTCGCTAGTCTTGGCTTGAGTGCTGTGATAACCGGTAGCCTCGGAAGTGCTTTCGTTGACCTTGGAAATTGCTAATGCTGCGTAGTACGCCATTGGAGATAACAATGATGAGCCTGCCTTGATCTCTGTCAAGCATGCAACCAGCCCAGTCTCGAAGGAAGCGCCGTCAGCATTTGTTGTAGCGCTATTGTGATGAAACCTCTGTTGGACGACATTGGCGTCTGAAATGAACTGCAGCACATCGTTCTCTACTGATGTGTTCATTCTCGGATTCCAGAGCCCGTTTGTGCCAAGGATGCTCACATTGTCTTCAGCCAAGATTGTCGTGATGGCCAGCAATGCAACAAGAAAATCTAAGCGGTCGCGGCCGCCGACATTTATCGATGGTCGACTGAAAACCTTAGTCACATACATCGCAATTCTCAGGGCCGCAGAAAGCCCTTCGCCATCAAAGTTGACAACGGCACCTGGTGTTTGAGAGACGTTTTGTACCAAATATAATGCACCACCGAATGGGCTCAAAATGCTGAGCGAGCTTTTCGGTGGACTCAGCACAGCAAGCAGGGCTTCCTGCCAGACATTGATATCTGGTAGCATTGCGTCAATCTCCATCTGCTCTTGGCCATCACCTTCTATTCTATCGACCAATTCCGTGATCACCTGAATTGGTAGAGATTGTGCGGACACGTTGACGAGGTTCTGAAGCACTGCGCCATATTTGACATCAGAACCCGCATCGCTGATCGCAGAGCTCAAACGAGAGGACAATGCGTTAGCTCGGCCCGAAAGATCTCCCGTAGTAGACTGTTCGACAAGGAGTATGTTGGGCAATAGCTGGGTACCACTGCCATTGGCCTGCGTGATGAATTTCCGCATTGTATCATGATTGTTCTTCGCGAGCTGCTCAAAAGCTGCTATACCCGAGGGAAGTCCCTCGTTAGAGATGCTTAAAGAGGTGGTCATCTGGGTCAAGATCACGTCGGAAGTATCTTGAGGTATTGCGCCAATTTTCAAGAGATTCGAGAAGATAGTGGAAGCAGCGCTATCTTGCATTAGAGGAATGTTCGTAGCGAGGAAAGTCTGAAGCGGAACTGCGGTTCTCGCTACACGGACGGCCGTGGTGGGTGAGTCAAAGGGAAGAAGGGCGTTAATAGCGTTCAACATGACGATTGAAGTATCGCTGTCATTGCTCAACACTTGGTCGAGCGTTTTTGCGAACGCAGACTCGAAGAAGGGCTCTGCTTCAAGGGACAACAGACATTTGGCGAGCTCAGTCTGCGAAGGGCTTTGAAAGAGCCGCGGAATGTCGTTCTGAGCGATTTCAGATATTTGTGTGTGATAAATTGGCTCCTGGAGCAAATGCTTCCCACACGCTTGAAGTTGCTCTCTGACGATGGCTGCCGCTCCGTATGGTTTGCTGTTCCTAGATTTCAGTAGTTCTATGCAGCGCTCGATAAGATTTGCGCTTGATTGGGCTATAGTCGTGTGCATTGATGCGCCAGCTCCTAGATCGCTCCTCAGAATCTCTCTCTGGAGATCTGCCAACCGCTGCCCGGTTGAAGCAACAAGCTTTTGTGATTTATCGAAATTGCTGGACTGCTCAGGCTGGGACAGTCTTGCGAGCTCGATGACCCGGTTGCATATCGATGGCCATTCTTGCCGCAGAATAGTGCCAAACTGTGGAATTAGACAAACTTTCGCGACCAGCCCAGCTGGCTTCGCCCCTGCCACGTTCCATTTCTGCGCATCATCTGTTGGTAGCACGAATTGCTCAACTAATGGGAGAGCATAAGTTGCAAGGAGACTCTGAACAGCAGTCGCTTCTGCTCGCGGGACTAGGACATTCAGCAACTCCACGTACGCTGTCCATGCGGCCTGAGAAGCGAGGCGCTCTTCTTTTCTTGAAGCGCCCTCTCTGTTGGCCTCAAGAAGCTCAGCGATTCCATCAGGCGATGTTGGCAGGATGTCAGGAGGCAGAGCCTTGATGACATCTGATAGCGACGTCCAGAATGAGGCTACACCGGAGTGTGATCCATGCTTCAAGCATGAGCGGAGACGAGACGCAGCCGGTCGCTTGGCTGTGTATGCATGGGTCCATACGCCAGCAAATCGCGTGGTGAGGAACTCCACTGTCATCACATATTCCAAGGAAGATGCAGTCTGATCAGATGGAAGTCCTTTGTATATGTAAGCTGTGCTAACATTCTGGAGGTTTCTTTCAATCAACGAAGGTTGCTTCTTTCCACAGATCCTCACAAATCTATGCAGTGCGCGACGCACTCCAGCATCAGTATGGTATGCGAAATCCCAAAACTTGGCATCATCGAGAATGTTTCCATAACCCTCAGATTGCTTCGAAAGTTCGTCTTCCGACAGAGTCTCGATCAAGTTTGAGACCACTGCAATGGAAGCAGACACCACGCGGGCATATGTTGCTTCGGCGTCGTCAGCGCTCACCATGCGCTCATCACTCAGACTTTCAGGAGATTCTCTGAGTATCGCGTCCTCACAGTATTTCAATATTGACCCTTGGAACTTTTCACGGAGATTCTGCACTTTTTCCGGGCTGGGGAAGACGGCGTGAAGAGATTCGTGTGCAGCTTTCGCCGCCGCACGATCTGAATCGTAAAGCCCAGCAAGCCATGGCCCGGATATATTTGAAATGTGCTTGATAATCCTTTTACCGCATTTGGAACAGAGTTGCCCATTCAGGTTGAAAGTAAGTTGACGCACTCGACGAGAATTGTCGATTGTGAGCCTCGGGAAAAGTTTAAACTAGAAAAGAAGTAAATGAGTTAGATAGCTGTAAAATCAGCATACTGTAGTAGCTCGATGGACTCACCCATGCCTCCAGAACGCCTTCTTCAATATCGCTCGCTGACGTGCTGTACGTGTTAAGGAGATCTTCCAACGCTTTAGCTTTCGTTGTGCTGTCTTTCTTGAGGACATTTTTGAATGCGACTACGATGTTCGAATCACCGATAATTGAAAAGTCCGGCGGCTCCTGTACATAAGAGAGGGTGGAAGAGGGGGTTGAGCCAAACGCTGAAGTGCCAAACCCAGCAAGTCCGCCCACACGGCCGCTGCTGGCCTGCGATTTAAACTGACGCCTACTCATCTGAACGAGTTAGAGTTGATGTCCAGGTATTCAGGTGCGCTTCAATTGCTATCGCGAGTCCATCAGTAGCAGGACGAGGTTGTTTGACGTCCACTTTATCTTAACCGAACGTCACCAGCTGTAATTTCGTGCATGTGCAAGTATGACGCGGGTTCAGCCCCGCGACTCTGATGACGATTATGTGAATCTTGCGATGGCACGTGCGACCGTGAGGACATCGCGCTTCACCCATCGCATCGTGAAGCTTACGACAGTACGAAATCGACGTGTATCATTGGTCCTCATTTGCAACTTCTGCGCCAATTTGTGCATTCAAAACCTCCCTCATATCAACCTGTCATGTGCATATTGTGGGTGCCGGGACGACAAACCTGACTAACCATCGGAGCAGGGCATCAACGTTGATCTCCGACACGTCGAAGTGGCAACCCGGTAGACCTCAAAGCTTCATCAGCGTAGAAGACAAAATGAAGTTCTTCATCGAGGATCTGCCAATTCTGTTCCCGTATCCTCGTATTTATCCTGAACAATATGCATACATGTGCGATCTCAAACGTACACTGGACAATGGAGGTCATTGTGTTCTTGAAATGCCTTCAGGAACGGGCAAAACGGTGTCACTGCTGTCGTTGATCGTCGCATACCAACAATTCTACCCGGAGCATCGGAAATTAATTTACTGTTCGCGTACTATGTCGGAGATTGAGAAAGCATTGGCGGAGTTGAAGGCGTTGATGAACTACCGCGCCGAACAGCTTGGTGTAGTGGAAGATTTCAGAGGTTTGGGTTTGACCAGTCGAAAGAACCTCTGTCTTCATCCTTCCGTCAAACGCGAAAAGGCGGGCAATGTCGTCGATGCTCGATGTCGGAGCCTCACTGCAGGCTTCGTGAAGGAAAGAAAAGAGCGCGGCGAGGATGTTGAATTATGCATTTACCACGACAACCTCGATCTATTGGAGCCTCACAATCTAATACCACCCGGAGTTTGGACTCTTGATGGCATGCTTCGTTACGGAGAAGAACAAAAGCAATGCCCCTATTTTACTGCTCGGAGAATGATGCCGTTCTGCAACGTCATCATTTATTCGTACCACTATCTCTTGGACCCAAAAATCGCAGAACGTGTATCGAGAGAACTATCCAAAGACTGTATTGTCGTTTTCGACGAAGCCCACAATATTGACAACGTCTGCATCGAATCACTCAGTATTGACCTGACCGAGGATTCTCTCAGAAAAGCTGCCAGAGGAGCGAATAACCTGGAAAGGAAAATCGCGGAGATGAAAGAGACTGATGCCGCAAAGCTTCAAAACGAATATGCTAAATTGGTCGAAGGTCTTCGAGAGGCCGATGAAGCACGGGACGAAGGAGCGTTCATGTCAAATCCTGCTCTGCCAGATGATTTACTCAAGGAGGCTGTGCCTGGTAACATCCGTAGAGCCGAGCATTTCACGGCATTCTTGAAACGATTCATCGAATATCTGAAGACACGAATGAAAGTGCTCCATGTCATTTCAGAAACACCCCCATCCTTTCTTCAGCATCTTAAAGAGCTGACCTTTATCGAGAAGAAGCCTCTCCGGTTCTGCGCTGAAAGACTGACCTCACTAGTCCGAACGCTTGAACTAACCAACATCGAAGATTATCAGCCTCTGCAAGAAGTTGCCACATTCGCGACGCTTGCTGCAACATACGAGACAGGCTTTCTCCTCATATTGGAGCCCTTCGAATCAGAGACTGCTACCGTCCCCAATCCTGTCCTGCACTTTACCTGTCTAGATGCAGCCATTGCAATCAAACCGGTGTTCGATCGTTTCAGCTCAGTGATCATCACCTCCGGAACCATCTCGCCTCTTGAGATGTATCCCAAAATGCTCGGGTTTACGGCCGTCGTTCAAGAGTCTTACAGCATGACGCTTGCTAGGAAATCATTCTTGCCGATGATAGTGACCCGCGGATCAGATCAAGGGCAGATGTCTTCCGGCTTTCAGACTCGAAACGATCCTGGAAACATTCGCAATTACGGCAATCTCTTGATCGAGTTTTCGAAACTGACCCCCGATGGGCTGGTCGTGTTCTTTCCGTCATATTTGTACATGGAAAGTGTCATCTCCATGTGGCAGAAGATGGAAATTCTAGACCAAGTCTGGAAGAGCAAGATCATCTTGGTGGAGACGCCAGATAGTCAAGAAACCTCTCTAGCTCTCGAGACATATCGCACTTCTTGTAGCAATGGCCGTGGCGCAGTCTTGATGTGTGTCGCTCGAGGAAAGGTCTCTGAAGGTATCGATTTCGACCATCACTATGGCCGGACAGTGTTGTGCATCGGTGTTCCATTCCAATACACCGAATCTCGAATTTTGAAGGCGCGCCTAGAGTTCCTTCGTGAGAATTATCGCATTCGAGAAAACGATTTCTTGTCATTCGACGCCATGCGACACTGCGCGCAGTGTCTGGGTCGTGTCTTGCGAGGGAAGGACGACTACGGTGTCATGGTCATGGCAGACAAGCGCTTCGCAAAGAAGCGCAATCAGCTTCCCAAGTGGATTTCAACCGCCTTGATGGAAAGCGATGCAAACATGTCGGTGGACCAGGCCGTTTCAGCTGCAAAGAAATTTCTCAAAAATATGAGTAAGCCTTTCCCGATGAACCTTCAAGAAGGCGTCAGTACCTGGAGCTATTCGGATCTCATGGCGCATAAAGCGAAAATGGAAGCGCAGTATGAGCAGCTCGATGCCAACGATCAGCAGAATGGCAATGGACAGCACACCGCGAACGCGGATATCGACATGGATGCGGATATGGAAGCCGCAATGATGGAGCTCGACGCGTAATTGAGCGCCTACGCGACGAGCTTGCTCCGGAGCGGATCAGGTCTACGCCATATGCCTAGGCGTGACTCACAACGTGATTGCGAACATATTCATCAAGACATGCTTCTATATGCACAGGCAACATTGCCACCTAAAATACAAGCGCTGAAATAAAAACTTTGGAAGCATATCAGTCCACCTTGATTGAGGCGTAGATACGGTGCACAAACATCCAGCAGGCAAAGAAGCCGATCGTACCTGTAAGTTTTGGTTAGTCAATCGTTCCAACCTATGAAAAGCAAATGTGGGGAGCACATACCACTGAGCAAAAACCAAAGTGCGCTGAGCACAATGGAATAGCCGATGTACAAGCAGGCACCGGTGAAGGTGTTGAAGCTGAGCATACGAATCCAATAGAGGAGAGAATATGCGAACACCCATCCTGCACTGGCGCCACTGCTCGCAAATGCTCGCCATTGCCAGTGGTAATTTTCTGCGCAGAGTAGGAAATAGATCATGAGGATAGTCACGGCGGCAGAAGTCGCCACCAGTAGGCCAAAGCTCAAGAATAGAAAGCCGAACATGTAATATATGCGACCACTCCATAGTGAGCTCATGATGAAATAGAGCTCGACGAAAATGGCACCAAACGGTAATACACCGACAAGGAGCATGCTTGGCAAAGGCCGCAGATAGCCTACCGCCGGAGGGATTTGTCTGGGAATCTGGTTTGTTCGGACAGGTGGCTCGGGCAAGGACTGCTGGAATCCAAGCCAGGAGCCTCCGATTGAAAGTGGCACTGAAATGACAAACCAAATGCCAACCAGCACGAGCATTGTTGTGAATGGGACCGCGCCAGAAGATTGTCGTATCCAGACGAGCAGGTTGAGGATGAAGAACACAGCGAAGACAACTGTAGGGACAGCAGCTGGCGTGAGAATAAAAAGCTGCTTCCACTTCGTGCCCTGAAATGACTTGTAGACACGGGAGCTGACGTACCCTCCCACGAAGCCGAACGTCGTGTAAAGGAGAATCATCACCGTGGCAAGGCTACCACGATTGCTCGGGGATAAGAAGCCAATGACAGCAAATATAATGGTAAACCCGACCATCATAAACAGCTGGGCGCCGTTGCCGATGCAGACAGCCAATGCCAGCGAGGCCTTTGGAGGGCGAAACACGTCGCCATGAACCAGTTTCCACCCTGAATCTTCTTGAATACCATCTTCGGCGCTGCCTCCACTTAGATCATCCAGACCAAGTTGATCGAGCCGGTTGTATCGGGCGATGTCTTTCCTCAAAGCTCGCAGTAAAATCGTGCTCACCATGCCGATAAGCACCATTACGATGATGGTGCTGTTGACCAGCGAGAACCAATGAATTCTCGGGTCGAACACATGCAAGTATTTATCCCATCGCGTTGCAAATGTGGTTGGTGATTCCCGCCAATAAACAGCGTATGTCCATAATACCTGGGTATCTTCCGCCTCGGAAAGAACCTGTGGTGCCGATCCAAATCCACAATCCTCGCTGTTTAACCTGTCCAAGTCCTCCCGTGAGTCGGGTTCGACTTGGATTCCGACCACGCGATATTCGTCCTTTCCAACTTTGTGATAGTCCACGACGATATCGTAGTGGTTGTTGAGCTCCGCTACGTCGCCCTGCACTCTGCCCAGAGCAAATCCGGGTTGGAAAAACCAAGTGCCAGTGGTTTCATCCGAGTAATTCTGTCCAGCTGGTAGTCCATCCACCAGCCAATTCACATCATAGGCTTGGTCGATCTTGCGGTTGACGTGTTGCGCATCGGACGCGGGAAAATCGACTGGTTCGCACACTGCTTTGCAGATCTCATTCTTTGCCATATGCAGCTCAAAGGGCGAGGTTTGAATGCGATCCCCGAATAGAATGCTGCCTAGAGATTCTGAGACATGCCGAGGACCTTCTTTTGGTGCGCAAAAGTGCATCGCCGGGTGGTAGTAGTCATAAGAAAGGATAGATCTCAGCCGAGTATCGTGCTCAGAATGTGAAGGCGTCAGATGGTTGACATGAAGCGGTACAATGTCCCCGCGCTTGTAGTTGGTGGGTGTGATACCTGCCAGCCGTGTCAGTCAACACAGCTTGATGTGAGCTTCCATTCGAGCACTCATGGGCGCAAGAAGCTCCTTTCGGGATTTCCACAAACCAGGAAGATAGAACGCATGTGCGAAAGGCACTGCGGACACCAATAGGAGCAGCAAGGTCTCCGTGAGATGACCGAACACCATTTTGGTGATGCTGCCGACGATGCGACACAACGAGGAGAAGTGAGGAAGAATAAATGGTGAAGTCCGCCGCGAACTTGCTTGAAACGTCCACTCATTGCTCACCTGCAAGCTGACGATGCCACGCAGCCCAGTGGTCCGTGCTGAACTACAGCAGCTTCGGAATAACCCTGAAATTTTTGGAGATCATTATTTGTTGGACTGTTTCAAGAACGGCAAAGAGGCATTGTGACAAGCTCTCTCTCCTTACAGCAACGAGATGCCTGCACCGAAACGTCCTCTCAATGAGGATTCAATAGATCTCGACGAGCAAGTTCATCCTTCTCGCAGACGAAAGGTCGAGGACGATGAGGGCCGGGTCGAACTCGCGAAGATTTTCAACAATTTACGCGATGAAATCCCTAGCGTGCGCTTGGAAGCAACGAAAGCATTGCTGAAGAATCTCTCATCGCAATCGCCCGATCAATCCTCGCGAATTGATTATGCCACAACACGGCTGATCAAAGGTGTCTGCAGCGGTGCCAAAGCCTCTCGTCCCGGATTCTCCATTGCTTTGGCAGAGACTCTGCGCCTGACGTTCGACAAAAAATCAGAATCTTCTACCACTATCACCTCGCTCGTGGAAAAGATCATAGCGCTGACCAATCCTGAAAGCAAGGCGAAGGGCGAAGAGGCTAGAAACTATCTACTTGGTCGCCAGTTTGCGTACCAAGCTGTCTTGCGTAGCCAGATTCTTCACTACATCTCCGAAGACGACACCAAAATCTTTTTCGATGCAGTCGCTGATCTTGCGGTCCACAAGCAATGGCTACGGACCGAGTGTGCAGCCGGTCTGTGTAACTACCTTGAGAGCGAGACTGCAATCGCGCAGACGGGCAAGGAAGCACATATACTGCTTACATCTTGGTCGCAAAAAGGCCTGATGAAGTCACCCGAGGGAGTCGCATTATTCTTGACATGCAAGAAAAAGTTCCCTGATAGCAAACTGCCCAAGAACTGCTGGCATCACAATGATCCATTTTCGCCGCAAGAAAGATCTGTCCTAACTAAAATCCTCCTTCAAAATTCTATCGACGACGACGATGGTGTCAACAGTGGAGCTAAGTCATCCGGCGCTCGTCAGAGCACGCCGAACTTTGCATGGACCGTAGTGCTCGCTCATCTTTTTGAGGAGGGAGATGTCAAGCAGTTCTCTCAATTTTGGTCCGAGTGTGTCGCGAAACCAATGTTCTCACCATCTTCATCGACCGAAAGGAAAGCACTCGGCTTGCAAATATTCACAAAGGCCGTGGCCGCAGCCCCCGCAAGCTTGCTCTCGAACATTGTACATGCAAATATCATGCAATGCATCGTTGACCAACGGGCCAAGTCCGAGCGATATCTCTTCGAGGCCACGAAGCAGCCGCTAAACCAAATCGTCGCTCGTGCAAAGCGAGACAGCGCCGCTGCTGTCGAACTGCTCGATCAAATGCTGACGGTTGTCCCTACCACACCTGACAAGCAGATCAAGACCACTTTTGAGGCTTTGCTGGCCGCTGCAGACCCGCAAGGCTTAACGAGAATTGTAAAGCGTATCAGCGACACCTGTTGGCAGCCAGGAACGCAGGACGCGGGCGAGGCGGAAAAGCGGCGTCGGACCCAAGCCGATCTACTCCTAGCCCTAGTTCGCACCCGAAGAAGTGAGCCTACCCATTACCTGAAAGATCCTGAAGGAAAGTCTAAAGCTTCCAATGTCGCCGAATGGCTGCAGGCCTTGTTCGGGAACTTGGCCGAGTTGGCGTACGGGTCGGAACGACAAGCCACGTCGCCTCGGCTTTCAGATTCGATTCGCGAGGTGTTCCGAGAGAGGCTGACGTCCGCGCTGGGTCACATCGTCACCTTGCCGCTTAAACAAGCCATCTGGCCGCCGCGGGTCGTGACAGAAAAATTGTACGACATGCGAGACAGCTTATCAGTCGATATTTCCAAGGATTCGACAAAGCTCCTCAAGCAGGCCCGTAAGGTTCAAAAGGAGACCACAGAAAAAGCCAAGGATTCTTCCGAAGCATCACCTGTTGTTATGCATGCACTCCATTTGCTCCTTTCATTGGGAATGCTCCAAGTATATAAACAAGAAGCCGATAGCGAGGGAGTCCTCGAAGATATCATTGCCTGCTATCAAAACGCCGGTGAAAGTGATGATTCTTCAACGATGCTGGTCGAACTACTGTTGAGTTTTGTTTCGAAACCCTCGGCGCTTTTCCGAAAACTTGCCGAGCAGGTTTTCACTGCATTCTCGCCTGACGTGACGAGCGAAGCACTCGAGTCGATGATCGACATTCTGGGCCAAAAAGAAAGCATTGCTGGTCAGCAAGAACTGTTTGACCAACATGATGACCACGACCATGCTGGTGAAGGTTCGGACAAGTCCAGCGACAGTGATGAGGATTTGGAGGACGCATCTGATGTTGAGCTGGTTAACGGAGAGGTCAACGGCGGCGGAAAGGGCGCGGATTCCGACAACAGTGAGGACGAGGCCGATGACGAAACCAACGACAACGACGAAGAACAAGCAGCCTTCGACCGCAAGCTCGCCGACGCTTTGGGCACTGCCGGCATGGAACAAGATTCTGAAGATGACGGATCCGACATGGACGACGACCAGATGATGGCACTCGACTCGCACCTGACCACGATTTTTCAGGAACGCAAAAAGACCGCCAACCGCAAACAAGAGAACAAGGACGCCAAAGAGAACATTGTCAACTTCAAAAATCGCGTCCTCGACCTCCTCGAGATCTATGTCAAAGGGCAATACTCCAAACCAACCGCAATAGATCTAATTCTGCCTCTGACCCAATTGACCCGCACGACGAGCGGTGGTCCGACGGCAACCAAGGCCTGCAGCGTGTTGGCGCAATATTTCGACGCGTGTAAGAAACACCGGAGCCTGCCAGACGGACCTGACGACGACGTTTGCTTCGAATTGGTCGAGGCACTCATCGCCGATGCCCGGCTCGGGGGCTCGAAAACACACGCTAGCGCATGCTCGCGATCGCTCCAATTCCTGGCCAAGCTACTGGTTGCGAGAGATCCGGCACATTGGTTGAAGATTGCGCAGCTGTATATCGAGCTTCAGGCCGAATGGCGGACTGACGCAAAGACCAAGATTCACAGCAGCGTGCTTAACGATTGGCATAGCTGGTCTATGCAACGATAGATGTGAAGTGGACCAAGGCTTGTAAAACAATATGAAGATGTGGAATGAGCATAGCTTGCATAAAATTCATGTTCGCGTACAATTCGTGGAAATCTATGTGCTGATGGACGACCTTTTTTCTCTATTTCCGCCTCCCGAATCTCCCTTTGCCTTTGGCTTTGGAGTTCTTGTTCTTGATATTCAGTCGCCGGAAATTAGGATTGGCCTGGGCGCTGACCATCCGCTTCTTCGACTTCTTCCCATCGTCCTGTGCCTTTCCGGCAACGTCTCCGCTTTCCTCGTTATTTGCATCATGATCCCGTTCATCGTCTGCAGCACCAGCACCAGCATCGGCATCAGCACCTGCAACTTGTGTTTCTTCAACAGCTTCTCCATCGTCTTCATCGATGGTGTGTAGATCATCCGTCTTTTGAGCTTTATGCATTACTGGTCTCATGATGACCCGCCGCGTCTGCCTCTTGAGGCCCTTCTTCTTCCAAGGCTTGCGAATAAACCCGGAGGCATTGTCGTCCGACGACGACTCGTCCGTCACATCTGCTTGATCGGGGCCTAGTGGCATCTCTATCGCTTGGCTGTCTTCGACCAACACCGCTGCCGCAGGCTTTGCTCTGACAACACCCATCGCCTCGTCCTCCATCTCGTTTAGCATGTCCAGCTCCTCGTCCATGCGTTCCTCTTCTTGCTCCCGTAGGCCCTGGATGATGCTACTCAGACTCCGTATAAACCCGCGCTTTTTGAAAGGTGTAGTGTTGGAATTGTCCGGACTAGAAGCATTCTCATTGATCGCTGTCAGAGGAAATGACCTTCGGAGGAAAGCAGGCGTTGCGAATCTCCGCTTCGTCACACTCCCAATTTCCACGTTCTCCAAATCCAGATCCGCATCGTCTGATTTGCGCTTAAGTGGTGTTCCGGCGAAGGCATCGAATAGGAATCGACGACTTGACGATTGTGGTGTCCTTGTCAGTATCAATTCGTTGTTCATCGATCCAGATTTACTCGGGGTTCTCGTGAGATTTTGCGAGCGGAGCTTGCTGGGAGACTCCCTCGTATGTGCGGGTGTTGCAGATAGAGCAACGTCGAAGATGCCGAGCACTTGCCCATCCTTCTGAGGAGTTGGTCCCAAGGCACGCCGAATGAAAGCTGGAGTGGCTTCGATCAGGGGCGCAGGAGAGTGCACCCCCGTCAGGACGTTCTCGGCCTGGGCTCGTTTCGAAGGTGTTCGTTTTGGAGTGGATGCAAAGATCTTGCTCTGCTCCGTTGGCTGTGATACATCTTGTCGCCGGACTTTTCGAGGTGTCTCTAATTTGGGCAGTTGCGGTCCCCTCTGCAGTTGATTGTACAATTTGTACTTGGCACCTAGTGAAATCATGAGCAACCGCCTCGAAGATTTGGAACCGCGATCACCGTACCTATTTCCGGATTCTTCTTGATGTCTTCCCGGCCAGGTTTGCGACCATGGTGACTGTCCACGAAATCTTTCTCCCACCGCTTGAGCTCCAATCTCAGCGTATGCAGATCCGTCCCGCTCTCTTTGTAATCTAACGACATTGTGGTGTTGAGAAGTGTTGTCCTTCGAACATCCGATCAATTGTCACCTGGCACATTTCGACATTATCACTCTGGCGCGTACGCGACGCGCGAGCGCCTTAATTCCGCGCCGACGCGTTCGGCTTTCGCTTTCGGAACCCCACAGTCCTTTGAAATGGTCCCCTCCAGCCCTTGACGTCACAGCTTTCTGAATACACTTTTTCCCTTTGCACAGTACGGACACACTTGAAGAACATGTAGGTGCATATCTAGGTAGTCATGAGTTATCATCCAGACATTTCAGGAGTTCTACGATACGGCGAGTCATATAAATGATCACGCGCGTACAAAATGGTTACCTCTCACTGCTCGATACACCGTTGCTGTCTCGGCTTTGACCGTTTCGTCCAACTCGTGCCAACGATCCCAAGCGCACTGTTCCGCGATGATCATCCAATGCTTAGAAATGAGGCTATCAGACGACCACATGTCGAACTCACCCGCATGCAAAGCCCTTCACCTCTAGAACCCCTAGATATATATTTGTGTGTTCCTGTTCTTGTACAAACCTGCTCCTGAATGACATCTCGGAACTTGGTTCACCCAAGCACAGTCAACAATGGATCCACACAGCTACACTCACCCCAAACCTCTAGAAGGTTATGAGAACCTCGAACCACTTCCCACGTCAGTCGGCCTTGACGGGACCGATCTCAACTTTCATGCATGCTGATGATTAATGACGACAGTGAAAAAGCAGCCGATGGAAAGTCGCTCATTAATCCACCAACCAAGAGCTTAAGTAATGCCTACGAGGCATTCGTCGATCCCATCGCCCGGGACGAGCGCGGCGGATTCGATGTGCACATCTACTTCCTCCAAACCGACGCGGTCGAGAAGAAATATGCCGAAGAGCTCCACGAACGCGTGCGACGGGAATGTAGGCTATGTCCAGTCACCAAACTCAACAAACTCTGTTGTTGTCAATCGTATATATAGCTAATGGCCCAATGTCTTCATTAGTCCCTGAGCTCCGAGTATACCAGGTCTGGGATCGTCCCATCGGTCCACATCCGGTGGGAATGTTCGAAGTGAATCTCTTCACGCCAGCACAATTCGGAGCGTTCGTGGCTTGGCTGGTCATCCATAGGGGCCCGCTGAGTGCGTTGATACACCCGAACACTGGGGATGATATGAGAGACCACACACAGCTTGCGACATGGTGAGTTCGGGAACCTTCTCGAATTTGCGATTTTATCTGCTGACGCGGCTTCTCTCTAGGATGGGCACACCATATCCATTGCAAACGCGGCCCTTGAGGGGTGCCCATTGAAGTCGGAGATGTAGCAGTTTGTTCTCTGTGGAGTTGGGTACAAAAGATCATGCATGATTCATCCCCCACCTATTATTCTGTCACGTTGACGAGATGCTCTTGAATAAAACATCGATTACATATTAACATCCAAAGCGCTCAAAAGTCGAGTCACCAATACAGTCATGCAAATCCAAACAACATAGCCTAATTATCCTCACTGGGGGTATAACATCTCCTGCTTGCTTCTCGTGAGCACCAAATATTTCTGAACCTTGCTCTGGAGGTTAGATCGATCGTCTTTCTGGCGCACGATCACAAAACACCGCACCTCGAAAGGGCATTCCTCCCAATGTTTAAATACACACACAATAGTAATCGTATCAAATCACCTCATAACCTCGAACCGAAAGAATTTTGGGACAAAGAAATGACCACAAAAATCCATGGGAAAGGGAGAAAAGAGAATCCGTCCACCTTCCCACTTCCTGTGGACGGATAGACAAGAGAATGGCAGAAAGAATTGCTGTCCATTCACTCACATGCAAGGTCATACGGCATTCGCAGGGACCAGCCCCGCGATGACCACAACACAAAGCGCGTATGACGCACTGCACACCGCCCAGTCGCGAGGGGCGAGGCCGGCGCCGAGAGGCGTTGTCGCGGCGAGACTGCCCGCTGCTATGGCCATGACGATGCTGACGGCCAAGCGCGCGGAGAAAGTGGGAATGCTGGCGAAGAGGAGGAGCGGGGTGATGAGGAGGGAAAAGGGGATGAGCCATGGGACGGTATTGGCGGGAAGCGCAGTCGTCGAAGCCATGTTAGTCGTGGCTGGAGAGAAAACCTCATCGCCTTTGTCTTCCTTCTTTGATGCGGGCGCGATGGGCTGCACGAGATCATCCTCTTTTTGGAGGAAGGTCGTCTCGGCGGGATGGATGGCGCCGTGGTTCTGCATCCACTCGCGATAATTAGCGATCTGCGTCGGCGATGCTGGACGCGAGCCCGAGTTCAGCTTGGAATAGGCTGCCATGGCGCGACTGTACTGTTCCGTCTTGACGAAGATCCTGCCGAGTAGTGCGGTGCGCCGGTGGTGCATCTCGTTACCGAAATAAGCGTCGCCGCGACGTGATGCAGGAGGTCCGCTGTGTCGTCGAGGGGTGCCATCGGGGAGGGCAAGGGGGGTCGTGCCGTTAGCGGAGTATTGAGCAATAGATTCGTCGAGGACGCGAAGGTGTTCTTCAAGTTCGCTGAGCTCGTCTTGAAGGTGGAGGAGGATGCGGTGGTTGATGTAATCGAATTTTCGGTAGAGAGGTTGGATAGTAGTGTCAGCGGAGGTCAGCTCCGTAGCGAGAAGCTCATAGCCAGTCAGAGTGACTTGGTCGAGACTTGGAGCTTCTGGGACATGCGGAACATCTTCCGGTACTTGAAGGGATTTATCGTCTGATTGTGGGAAAGGATTGTAGCCTATGGCTTGTTGAGGGGGATATGATGCTTGATAATGCCGCAGCGATGCTTGCTGTTCGTCCTCCCAGTGTGAACGGGCTGTGTGGTCGTGTGAATCGTGACGGGATGGCGGCCCGTGAAGGGTATAATAGTCATGTTGGGGATGATGTGATGCTGGAGGTGGTGGTGGCGGTGGGTAGTGAACACCAGCCGGGTATCTGTTCGTAGCACTAGGACTATAGGTGGAGCCATTCGATGCTCGCGATGATGGGCGCGCCTCATGTTGATCGACTTGGTTAGTGTGTGCTTGGAGGGGCACGCCTTGGTTTGAAAGCGAAGCCTGCCGTTGCGCAGCCAAGAGTATTGGCTCATACTTTCGCCGTAGATCGCTTACGTTGGGCGCTATTACGCTACCTGCCCGCGTATTTGCGGGCGATGGTAAGGTAGATCGCGACGATGGCGTTCCAGGGAGGTCGTATGAGTCCGCGTCCGACGCCGTGTACTGTGATGATGGAGAAGAAGAAAGATCACGGAGGTCCTCATGTGCTCGCTGGTCCGCTGGAGGATCCATGTAATCGAAGACATTTGGACTATTGTCCGGCACTACGGGGAGGTCGTCTGCGTGCGACATCTTTTCGGGCGAAGAGGCTCTCCTTGAGGATTCTTTCTGCGCTTGGTCGTATGATTGCTGTGTCACGGTTTTTGTGCTACTGGTTGATTGGTCGGACACGCCGGTCAGGGTGGACAAGACGGATAGCAAAGAGGGGTTGACGTTGAAAGCCGCTTCGGCGCGAAGGTCCAGGCTTCTGGAGCGGTGTCTATGGACTCGACGATGCGACGAACCGATATCGTTCACGCTGTTACCATTGCTCCCAGAGCGATATCCAGCTGAACTACGCGTCGAAGTCTGCCGATGGATCGAACGTGATGCGGCCTTTCCTCCGTCGCCCTCGGGTATTTGCGCGAGATTGGTCTGGTAAGCGAACACACTTGCAGGCGACTCTCTCCGCTTCGCACGTTCTCTTGACGATGATGAGTGTCCGCTAGTGGTCGAGTGTCTCCTGGCGAGCGTCTGCCCTGAAGATCGCTTTCGTGGTCGAGGTTGTTCGTTGATATCAATCCACTCCGAGGTCCGCCTGCTTCCAGCTGATGCGACCGAGCTGTCGGTCTTGCTTCGATTGCGTGACGCCAGGATCGCGGTGGTGATTTGAGGAGGGGTTGGAAGTCGCAAGAAGTGGGCTGCGCATGGCTGATAAAAGGGTGTACATTCCAACAACGAGGAAGGAGTCGCTGCGGGTACACGTTGGGTAGCAGTATGTATACATGTGATAAAGGAGCAAATGAGGACTGACGTAGCGCGATGCCCCGACTGCGGGAGGAACGCTCAGTCGTGCCGATAATAGGTCGGGGGCGCCTCACTAAGATTGATGGCGCCAACCTCCTGAAGAGGTCACTTTCCCACTGTCCCCTCCCGCAGGGTCTTTTTTAGTTTTTGCGCAATCCTGGAATACACTCCGACAAGGTGATGTGCAGGTGATTCCGACCATCGACAATGTCTCGGATGTGTTTCCGACCCGCGGTTCCACCCCTCCAAACACTTTAGCGTGCGGAATGGGTGATTCGCCGCATCATCTATCACTAGGCGGCGTGGCCTGGCCAGTGGATCATACTACTTTAGTCCCAGGCGGCATCAAAATCCGTCAGCGGCCCTGAGGATTCTCATCGCTAGGACAAAACCAGAGCCGTGCTTCATCGCGTCGCGCGGCATCGGCCAGCTGTGTATCCCGATATCTCGTCGAGTATTGGAGTCGTTATGAGAGTTCCGTTGGTACGCCCTGCCAACAGGTGTACAGCCCACTGGAACACGCTCAGGAAATGTATCGCCAGGTCTCTTGCCTGCATGCGGCGTTACCGTGCCACCACGACGGCAAGCTACCTCGTTGCCTTTCTATGCCGCAAACTTTTCTGCAAAATACTAGTCGTCATGCACAGGCTACCACATTTACACCATGTCTGTCAAGAGCGGGCATTTGAATTGTGTACAATGCAACCGGCCAGCGGAGCTAATTGTTCAGCTACATACATCATGAAAGTCATGCGTCATGAAAAAAAAGTCTCGTACAATGAACAAAAGAAATATTTCCGGGTTCTCCGGTGGTACCAGGTTGTGTGCTTTGCCTTCCCATACGTTGCCACTCACCGGCTTGCTGCCCGCACCAAGCCAGCAGCACATGAGTTGTCCGACCATGATAGCTGCAAGTCATCAACAAAGAACATCTTCGGGTCGTCATGGACAAAAGCCTGGATCTGTAAGCCGCTGAGACTTCCGAAATCAGAGGGCAGTCTAATTTCTTGGAGACGGCACCCCTCAAATCCTGTGCAAGGCCGAAGAATGACAGTGTGATTGACCATTGGAATCTCTTCCCGTGTGACTGGATCCCATGCATAGCCTGTCAGCACCAACATGCAATCACCAGAACCGTCATGATCACATCCAGCGTAGACATTGAAAGCATCAAACCAATAGGCGGACAATGCTGCCCGAGGTCCGCCACCGATCTCGCCTGATGTCAGAAGGTCATTGGGCGAAGAGCAGCACAATATGGTAGAAACACTGCGACATGAGGAGGCGAGATAGGTTTGAATGGATGAAAAGACTGTCCTGCATATGCGTAACCATCGCTGACACCGAGATGGTGTTAAGGGCTGAATATTGGCGGCTGTTGCGTAATATCGGTGTCATTGGTAGGGTAAAAGCGAGGCAGGTCGTCAAAAGTCAAGGTGAAAGCGCCTTGCTCCCCACATGAGGTCGGAGGGCTTTCGAATGATGGTACGGAAGTAGAATTATCAATGCGGATTGTTGACGTACTGAAGAGGCTCGTTGCTGTTGCTTCCATGCTGCTAGTCACATCGCCAGACGATGAAACATGCTAGGTTTCAGAGTTGTACTGCGGTGGAGAGTTGTAGTTGTGTGGGGGCTGAATGACTGGAGCTGTATGAGCTGCTTGAGATGACGCCGGCGCGGCGAGCTTGGTAGCGTCATGAGTACGATAGGCTGCGAGAGAAGTTGGCTGAATAGCATCTGCTTTGGTCTGGGCTGAGGAGCTCACGACATTTATGCTTCCAGTGTAATAGGGAGCAGGAGATGGAGCCTGAGCAGCACCTGCTGTAACATGGTCCGATGAGCTGACGACTTGGGTGCTTCGAGTCTGATAGGCCACAAGGGAAGTCGGTTGAATGGCATCTGCTCTTGTTGGACCCGAGGGGCTGGCAACGTTCACACTCTGAGTGTGATAGGCAGCAGGGGGCGGAGCCTGAGCAGTACCTGCTGTCGTATGGGCCGAGGAGCTGACGACTTGGGTGCGTCGAGTCTGATAGGCTACAAGGGAGGTTGGCTGCACGGCATCTGCTGTACTCAGGGCTGGGGAGCCGATCATATTGGAACCCTGGGTGCCGTAAGTCGCGAGAGAAGGAGGCTGGACAGCATCTGCTTTAGTCTGACTTGATGGGCCGATTGGATTGGTGACCTTTGCACTCTCGCTGCATGACGAAGTCGATGCGACACTGAACTTCGCGGCTGATAACGCAAATGTGTTCGGTGGTGGTGGGGCATTGTAAGTCGGCACGCCGTAAGCGTGAGCCAAGGGGCTAGTCGTCGGCGTCTCAATGAGCTTCGAAGCTGATAAGGCGAAGGTGTTTGGCTTCCCGAGGCTGTGTGGGCTGGGTGAGCCGTACACGGGAATAATGGGCGCGACTGATGAAGTGCGAGCGGGAGAGGCAAAAGTGGTATTGCTCGGCACCACGCTCACGAACGTAAAGGGGGCGACGGCGGCGGTTAGCGGTACGGAAATCGGGGCAGTTGTGTGCGTGGCATTGTAACGAGGAGCGTATTCAACTTCCGAATAAATTGCCGGCATTGATGGTGCCACATGCTTGTCTGTCGTGCTAGCTGCGTTGGCCAAAGTCACGGGCGATGTCGATGCGACTGCGACTGTGGTGGAGCATGTCGTGTCCGGCATGACCACAGACGTTGGTGCGGCTCTGGTGAACGTGATCTGAGTTGTCTTGAGAGTTGTAGAAGTGATGCTCTTAGTGGTTGTCAATAACATGTCAGGACCAGCAGATGATGGGCCATTGCTCACAGAGTTTTCATTTAGGGCAGGTGGGTTGCTGGCAGCAGGAGAGGCAAAGGCAACAGAAATTGTACTGTATCGAGTGGTTGTTCGAGTCGAGAGGATTGTCTCATTGACGGCAATTCCTGCAGATGTGCGTGGTAGAAATACCGTTGTTGTCAGACGGATATTCGAAGTGCTGGTCACCCGGATATGTGTAATTTGGTCCTGCGTATTTGCAGGCGAGCCGGAGGACCCGGAGTATACCGGCGGAGCGCTATTGAAGACAGAAGCCGCAGATGAAACATCGGTAGCTGGCAATGGAACGACTGTGACTGTGCTCAAGACGACGTTCGGCGACTGCTCTGGGTTCGGCAGGTAATTGGATGGAAATGGAAGGTATGTCGTGGAGGTGGTGGTAACAAACTCTGGGGAGACTGCGTTTGCGGCGTTTGTTGTTGGGGAGCAAGGTTGAACGGGAGACGCAGTCACAGTGGAGGTGATGGTCTCCGTCACAATCACTGTTTTAGCAGAGCAAATATCCGTCCTATGACCAGCAGTAAGCATTTGATCATGTACCAAGGCACGCCGAAAATAAGCAAAAGCGCCACAGCAACGATTCTGATTGTGCCAATGTCGACGAGCTGATGGTGATAATGTCGTCAACAGAATCGCAACGTTTTAAAGTCGCCGTCGTACTTGTCGCAGCCTCCAAACTCGCAGAGAGATTGCCTCCAAGGAATCGACGGCTGTTGTCTGGGTTGGGTGTAAACCCACATGGGGAGCCTTTCTCATTCTTGTCGTATCGAGGGAGCGTACGTTCCTTGGTCGTGGGATCGAACGGCGGAAATCCATCACGATTTGATACATTGAAAGTAAATGATCGCGTGCTTACCCTCTTTGATATCCCACGGGCGAAGTTGCCATGATTGCCGGCGCGAACATGGCTGCTGCCAAAGTAGTGAGGTACCACATCTCGGCAACGACGAAGTGTCGATAGTGAAGTTGATTGATTTTCTGATAATGTCAAGTGTCTCCAGGTATCCAATGTTGAATTCGCTCGTTCAAGGGCAAGAGCAGTAGCGTAGCGATCGAAGCGAGAAAGGAGTGTCGAGTGATGCGATCAAGTAGTGACAGACAGTTCAAGGGGAATCAAGCCGTATTGATTGATTTTAGAAGTCGGGAACGAACGTAATTTCGGCGCAGTCAATTATAGATAATAAGAACAAACTTGGAATAAAGAAGGCGATGAGCCACCTTGCAGGATGAGGTGGTGCGAATTTCCAACAGTCGAAAACGGCATCGCCCACTACAAGGTGTTGCTTGTCGTGATGGTGTGTGTGGCTGGCTGACGATGGGATGAGGATACCGCGTGTCGTGATGATAACAATAATTGGCGTTCCGGTACCTTCTCGAATACACATGACGGCACAGGCACAGGCACAAGGTACGCGTTCGCTTATTATTGATATCATCCTTGCCTTTCACATCAATGGATCGTGACCGGATCCGAGATTTTGCCTGGCACAGTCCGGGTGAAACCAACAAAGAAGATCATTTATGCTGCGTCGAAATCCCGGAACAGCCAGGGACAGCCCGGTATTGGATTTTGTTTGATTACTCCCGTGAGTAGCACGCGGGATGACTTGCAGGAGATGATTTCACCCACTGTACCTACCTAGCACGCCAGCATCCTAGACACCAGCGAGCTGCTCAGGCTTTAGGCTAGAGATTGTATGTTCCGACGTTGGGAAAGGAAGTATCGAGCTGCAGGTGTCACGAGAGGCGGGGCGTATTTCGATGAAGACAACGACCGGATAAAACGCCGTCAGCCGCAACGCCATTGCTCAAGCACCTGGCACGCCGTGTAATCAGGGGCAGTCATCATGATACGACGTATGGCGGGAAAAGAGTTTCCTCTGCCACGTAGATTCTGAAACCGTTCGGCTCATCGACCGCGAAGCCATGGATGTTCGGAGGGTTGGAAGCTGGTTCGCCAGGTACCCGCGCTGGACCCGCTAAAATAGCATCAACGCTGTACCATCAACATCGTTCGTGAAAATCTCGATGGCATAAATCACCCTGAATCATTGAGCATCGTACAGCCATTTTCTTCAAGATGAAGCCCGAACAGCAGTTGAAAGAGAATTTGAAGTGGTCAAGTTCACGCCGACGTGACGATTAGTTTTCTCAAGAACGTGCGGTATGCAGCCTAACCAGATCGGGTTGGTTACGCACTGGGACGAGCTTCAAGACCTGATCCACTTGCAGACACACATACTGTCCTGGCTGAATTATTTCCTTACCTAGGTATTTACTGTAGTAAGCACACATAGGTACATCTAATCCGATTTCAGAATGCGCGAACCGATTGACCCTGCTCATTTTCACCCACTCCGAGTCCCCTGAACTTACTGCAATGATCGCGAGATCTTCTTCCGATGCGTCATCATGCGAGTTCGTGGGAGTTCTCCTGCGTCACAGGTGCCAACGGACGTCACAGTAGAGCAGACGGGCCTTGACGAAGGCGATATGAGATCGCAGCAGATTGCATAACTTCATACAAGATGATATGCCCAAATACAATCGTCGTGATTCGTATGTGGAAGTACTCGAATGCTTGCGTTCCCGATCTCCATGGCCGACTTGAATGCTCCTTTGCACCACAGCTCGATGCACTAAGATTTCCAAGAGTTTCGAAACGCAAGCATGTCTCAAGAGCAGCGAGTCCTGTTATAGATCCTACCACGGGAGACAGGCTTGGATGAGACTAAGGCTGGTTTCCCAATTCTTGTTGATGTCCTTGTGCAAAGCTTCAACAAATTCCAATGCTGCTTCTGCTGAGCCAGAGTCCACTGTAGATTGCGAAGCTTGCGCTAACCACTCTCTCCAGGCAGCTAGAAGCAGGTCGGACTCCATCGTGGAGTTTGGGAACATCAATTGTCCTGCATGTCGCGGAGGGGTTGAGCGAGTGATATATCCGGCCAGTCCCAATTTTGGACTGCTGGTGAGACACAAGGACTCATGAATATCGATTTCAGACTCTCCCGGGAGTTGGTGACAGACGATCACAGGGCGTATCTTGTTCCACGCCATAGCTGGCGCGGCGTCCATCGCTTTTTGCAGGTAAATCATTGGCAATACACAGAACTCCTTTTCATTGCGCCAGCAGGAGTCGCAATAGCGTCGGCAAGTAAAGAGATAGAAGGATGTCCCAGCTGCGCCGCAAGTAGAGCAATCCGGTTTCGAGATCGCATCGAATAGTGCCGCAAATGAATGCCATTCCAACACTCCTGTTTTGTCGAGGCTCGCAATGATATCCGGATATCGCTGGCAAAGTTTCATCAATCCCGGCAAAGCCCAGACAATTTCACGGGCACGTCGACACGTGGTTGCAAAGAGGCCAAGGGGTCTCAGATCCAGCAGTGCGGTGCATTTCTGAATCAATTCGATGGGAAGCACATCGAGGGTGCCGAGTGATGATCTCGATGACTTAGCGATAGCCAGCGAGTGAGGTGGTGACGAAGACATGGTTATCGATCGAGGAAAGATCTCGTCTCGATTCGATTTTCTAAGACAATGAGATGATTGGTTGCCGTGCCGTCTAATCAAGAGCAACTTTGTTTACAAGATCGAAGCTTTCTTCGAAGTTGCAGTAATATGTTGATGTTGATGAATGCGGAGAAGTTCAGGTCGTGGATGGCTCTAAATTCTACAAGTGACGGCTGTCAAATCTGAAATATGACTAGCTTTCGCTTGATGGCGCCGGAGATCAATGAAAGCGCCCATGTGAAATGCCATTCAGCCCACTTGCCACCCCTTCCTTGGTAGTATCGAATATAACATTTCCAACTGCTCATTCCGCTCTCCACTGCTGCCTCACAGGTCTATGGATGCGTTTTCACACTCTGTATATGCTCACGAGGGATCTGTCCATGAGTAACTTCATATTGATCGATAGTTCGCCACCTATTACGTACATCGCACTTCTGGGCAAACATAAACGCAAATTTTGGGGATATACAGTCACAGGATGGGCCATGTCGTTAAAGAGGGCGCTAGTGTTTCAGCAAAAAGGCTGTGAGCATTGGGTGTAAGCACCGGAGCTCTGGTGTTTTGCCAGTGGATCGCGTAGCATGACGCGTCCGTGTATCATTTCCCCTACATGCACTATCGTAAATCATCCTGACAGCCATGCTTCTACTTCTCGCCGCTTGAGAATCATCTGCTGCTTCACGCAATGGGTCCATGGAAGAGTGACCGGCGTCATAGCAATTCATTCCACTTGTACAGACAACCTACCATCTCAATCTTCTACGATTCCAAAGGAGTGGTTGGAAAGGGCTGTCGAAAGGACCAACTGGAAGAAGGACGTCAGCAAGAACAGCAACGAGAGGACCTTCAGCGGGAGAACACTCACAATAGAAAGACAGCTCAACATCGAGTCAGTCATGAGCAAGATCTGAATCACCCGAAGCCTTACCACGAAAAGCCTGCCGAGACGACAAGACACGATCTCTACAGCAGACACGAGGACAACGAGACCATAACGAAGTTCATGAAGAAGAGAGTCGAGCTTTGGGAGCAGCAGTCTGATCTGGTGACAAAGCAAAGCCAACTATTACAGCAGCAAGCCGACCTTTGCCAACTGCAAATGGAAATCTCACAGCAGCAAGCACATCTTTCACAGCAGCTGTCGGAACTGACACAGCGTCAAACGGATATTGTCCCACGACGAAACGAGCTGGCGGCACAAATCTCAGAGCTGTCTTTGCTCATAGACGACGGCACAATGAAGCAGCTCTTCTTGTACAAGTCATGTGTAGATGCAAAGCACAACGCACATTCGGGTATCGTTTCGACTACAGAGACAGCCGTGCCTGCAGTGAAATCAACACCTCTTGCGACACTACGATCGGCATCGCTTACACAGCCCTCGAGAATGAAATCGGAACCGAAGTGGCACACCGGGCTTGACGATGATAGCGATTCTTCCTGCACTTCTTTCCCAAACAGAGACAAGCGGGCTTGATGGCCGAACAGTTTTGACCAACCGATCAAGGTCTTTGAATTATTCCGGCCATTTTGGGTGGCCTTCAAAGTTGAATGACATGATTCGGATCCGCGCGCGGTGTTTGGACTAGCTCTCAAAATTAGAATCCCACTAAACAAGCTTCAGAACCTTCTCCTTTGAGTTCTTGAACCTCTTTTCCCGATTTTCCCATTATCCAAGCTGGCCTCTTCCAAGATTCACCTGTAGGATTATATTCAGGCGATGTTGCAAGATCCTGCGGAGGGTTCATACCACACCACACCCCGATTCTCAATCGCTCGTACTCACATCCCAAAATATGGAGAGCGGGCGCAGAATCAAAACGCAAACATGAATAGCTCCTTGGCCTTGAACGGTGTACAAGAGAAGATATGTGCTTTGCCCCTGATCCTCACGTCGAATTGGGGTTGGAGTTCGGTAGCTCTGTTGTCAAGACCGACCTACCGTGAACTACGTTTGTTCCATCTGCGCCACGCCCTTCGCCCTTCTGTATGTTTTCGTTCGTATGTTAAGAGACAGCCCGAAATAACTAAATACGGCGTCAAGCCTCGTCTGCTTTCGGATGCGACGCCACGTTCATCGCCCTCCTAACTTACCTCCACAACACGTCCTTGTACTTGAAGGTAAGCACCAAGCAATATAGCCCGAACACTTTGACAGCCGCAAGAGGATAATGTACCTACAGAAGCGTTACGCGGCTCTGAATGGGATACGTCTCGCCATTCTTCACGTTTTTGATGGGAGTGCAGTATTCTGCCCATGCGACTTCCCAGGGATCGAATCCCAAGTCCGAGAAGGAATCCTGTTGAGAAACGTCTTCTTTGATAATGATTTCAAATGTCTCGTAAGCAATCGACTGTCAATTTCGCGTTGATTCTCATTCATGTTCGGAACACGGAACCAACCCAAAGCGTGATGAATCTGGTCCAAACACAAACTAGATACTACTCAGCCAAGTTCTTTTGACGAAGTAGTCATGCGGGACATAGCATTGAAGAGATAAGCTCGATCTCGGTGCGGTACGACTTGTGTCGACCGGTGAGTAGGTCCAATCCTGTGAAAGCTTCATCTTGTGCCTTGTTCTTCGTTGATTGTCTCCACCAAAACGGTATTATGATTGGCAATCAGACCAAGCCTAAGCTGAACAAACACACTGTCATAGACGATGGCATCATCAAGGCAAAGATTCCCGAGAGACCCGCGTCTCGTGCTCCTGGGAATGCTCGATAGAACCTTGGAAAACTCCGTCGGATCTCAGAATATGCATTCCATTAGCGCTTAGTCAGCGTGCCACGCAACCCGTGGACCTCCACGTTGAAGCAAGCAACATGCATACAATCGATATCAACAACCATATCGGTCAATTCTACAAAGATTATCAATCTCATAGTGATGTGATAGATTATGCCTCGGAGATTAAAGTGGTGTGCCCCAATTACGACCTCGAAAGCGCACATCTCACAGATATCGTCGAAAGCCCAGCCGAACTTTCCAACCTCCCTAGCCTCCCAAGAAATCGTGTCGCAACGTAGAGAACAATACAAAAGGAATCAAGTCGTCTCACCAGATCATACATCACATGGCCTCCTAATGTCTCAAGAAGAGAAGAAATATAGATGTCAATTTCGATTTTCGACATACGTCGACGGCTCTTCTGTCCCCCTCTCTCCTCACCCGGCATTTTGAGAACAGAAAGAGGTCGTGGTAGATAGGTAGATAGGTGAATTTTCATATATATAATAACAAAATGAAAGATCATTCATAAGGGAATCGCAAGTTTTGCAGCACGCGAGAGAAAAAAGACAAAGCAAAAACAAGATCGGAAAAGCAAAACAAGATCATGAAAAGGAAAAGGAAAAAACGCAAGAAAGGAGAGAGTACGTGAGTCGTGTGGTGGTTGGAAAGCGCAAAGGAAAGTGTTTTGTGTGTGTGATGTTTTTGAAAGTGCATTTCTTCGTGCAAGAGACCCGAGCCGTTGGTATGCAGGGGAGCGGAGAACAACTGGATGGCTCTTTCTCGACGATGATACTGATCATCACCGTCAACCTGTATTGATGCTGAAACCCAACCCCCCATTTTCCCTGATCATCCCCGAAACCCCCCTATTGCCCATGGTATATCTTGAGTCATTTGTGCTCCCTGGCATTCATTATGAAAACCGTGACCGTCCGCTGGAGGAAGCAAAGGAGGATAAAGGTATTTCGTTGTGTTTTCATCAAAAAGGCGTAAAAGAGATAGAAAGTTGCCGGCGGGCGCAAGTCATCAATAGATCATGAGTAATCGTCATCATAATCATCAAATCCAAACCCGTTGGTGTATCTTCCCCATCCCGTTCGTCTTCGTTCAAGTCATATTCGCGAAAAAATAAAATGCCGCTTTTCGCACCAGAGTTCCCGCTAATCTCCCAAAGTTTGTGTCAAGAAGATTCCAAATAAAAAAGGTGCACCACGCTCACAAACACGCACGCTTAGCGCCAGCAAGAACACCACAGATCGTAAGGCCAGCTATGCAATGGCCAAGAGCGGAAGTCGCTCCTCGTCAACAGTACTTTCGCCGCAATTTTTATCGTCGTGCTCCACCAGCTTTGACAGGCTGGCTGAGCGGCCTGGCAACAGGGTCCATGCGTTGTCGCTTCAGTGATGAGGCAGCATCGTCTTGATGGTAAGACGACGAGTCATCATCCCGTCCGCGCTTGTTATTGTTGTTGATCACTGTACCGTTGGCGGAAGCATAGGTCGGAGCTGGCTGTTGCTGTGGCGGTGGTGCCGGTTGGTAGTGCTGTTGTTGGTGGTGAGGGTGGTGATGGGCAGCTGAGGGATACTCGCCAGAGGCAGGTGTTCCACCATTGGCACGAATGTCATTGCTCATGACATAGTTGAGGTTGCTGGAGGGCAAAGTAGCAGCGCGCTGTGGTGTCGACGCGTTATACGCGCCAGTGTACGTGGATGTGGTGCGCGGAGTTGCGCGGCCGCTTCCAGCTACGGCAGTGGAGGTGCCATTGACACCCGGAGAGTGTGTCATATCATTGGGCGAGAGGTGATGCGCAGACGCAGGGTCAGAGTGTACATGTCCTGAGTAAAGATTGTTAGTAAGAGATTGAGAAGGACGGCGCTGTGCTGCAGCGCCAGGGAACGCACTGTGAGTGGCGGTGTGGATATATTCACCATCGTGTTCGCCATCAGCGTCCTGCTGACCGCCATAGCCGTCATGGGCTTTGCCATCTGCGTGATCGTCCACACCCGCGCGACCTGGTGGGCCCATGTCGGACTTCATCTGTCCGCCGTTCGGGCTGGATTGGAGAGTGGTGAAGCGGTTCATGTTTTGCTGTTGGCCGTAGTATCCACCATGTTGCGATGGTGTCGAGTACATCTGTCGCTGATTGTCGTAGGCGGACTGACTGGTCTGGTATTGAATTCCTTGTTGATCCGGAGGGGTCGTCGCTGGTGTGGTAGGTACTGAGCGAGCGGTCATGTTGCCATCAACACCGAGTGGCGTACCTTGGTGCACATTGCCGTAATCATAAGATCCAGTTGCACTAACCATGCCCATCATGCCAGAAGTGCTAGTTGGCGGCGTGGGAAATGTGTGCGCGCGGTCAATGCTGGGTCTACCACCGGTTGGCTGCGGCGCGATTGAGTGCGGTGGCTGTGATACAGGAGCGTTCATCGAGTGATGGTGACCGATTGCCGGAGGAAGCGCGGGCATACCAGGGCGGCCGAAGTTGGGATCATCCTCGGGACGACGGCCAGCCATGCTGGCATTGCCGACACTGGCACGACCACCCTGGCTGTTGTTCGGGTGATACAGCAGCGCGCCGATGTTGTGGACGAATAGCGGGTACAGCATTTCAGTGATTTTCTCCTTGTTGGCAAAGTCCAGAGCGCGTTCGTAGGGAATCCTATTTCGTGTTAGTAAATCGAGAACACGACTTCAGAAGAATGCTAATAAACCTACCACACGCCCTTCAAGTGCATTGGACCGATCTTTACGACGTGGCGAGTTTTCTCGCTCTTGAGAATTCCGTCACGTCTACCTCTCGTCATACCAGCAACATTGAGCAGCTTGGTGCCGTTGATCATGTGATTGTCCTCTCGTCTGGCAACACAGACACCATTTGCTTCGACCTGGAAGCACAGGCTACCTTCGTCTTCCCACAGAGTTGCTGTGACTCTGGGTTTCATGCCATGAGGTGCTAATTGTCCAGATTGATCAAAAGATTGCGGCTGTTGGTAGGGAGGGCCGGAAGGGTTCTGTGGCGCGCCTGGGCCGAGAGCCAGTGCAGGCAAGGATTGAGGTTGTCCGACCATCTGTGCTGACGTAACCTGGTGATTGGGAGCCATGGGAGCCATGCTGGCGGCATATGGGTACGGTGCGTAGCCTTGAGGCTGATAAGGCTGCGCAGCGGGCTGCAATGCCTGCGGTTGTCCGTAGCTCGAGTATGGAATTCCTTGCGGCGGCGCTGCGCCAGGCCCGTGGTTGTCCATGTACGGGTGAGGCTGGTTCATGGTGGAGTACAGCTGGGGTTGTCCGTAGAGATGCGAAGAAGGAACAAGAGACGGTGGCGACGGCGTTTGGCTGTCGAGGTTGCGATGCCCGTTGATAGATGAAGCGTACGAAGTGTTGGAGTCGTATGCAGATTGGTTTGCGATTGATGCAGTACTGAATGATCCAGCCCGATGCGGCGAGGATCCTACAGGTGAATCGGACTCAGTCGGATGGGCAGTGGAATGATCGTGAGGATATGCCTGGCGTTGGTCAAAGGAGCCTTGAGGCGTGAACGATGCCGATGGCCACTGGCTATCGTTGACTCGGGCTTGAAAGTGGGACAAAGATGGCAGCGCCAGCTTTACGGTTGGAGGGACCCAAAAAGAAGCTCGACTTGTCGGTCGAGCTCTATGGACTGGAAGGGTTTGGGAATTTGTCTTTTTGACGTTGAAGAAGCGGTCGAAGAGTTGATCACGGTGGTGATCAGGCTCGGGAGAATATCGCGAAGGGGTGCTTCGTGAATGCGGAAAGATGCGAGAAGAGCGAACAAAGGAAGCAAATGTCAGAGACGTTCGTTGCAATGGTCTTGGATCGCGTTACTCGTGGCCGTGAGATTCGTTAATGGGTGCTTTCGTCTATGATTGTTGATGATGGGGGATTCGTAAGGTCGTTAATAGTAGAAACAGTGTCGTGATATCGTACTTCATAAGATTGAATGCGAAGGTGCGTTGGTCATTCAGCTACACATAATCCAAACAAGCAGTCATTAAAGAGGTGGCCGTGATCGTGGTTGGAAGAGTGTTGGGCAGGCCGATGAAACACACGACGAGTCCGGTCGTGGTCGTTATGGTTGGTCGTTTGTCTTCCTCCTCTTCGTCGTCGTCGTCGTCCTCGAGTAGAGGTCAATTGAAAGATGGTAGACGATGTGGTTTGACGGTGGTAAGAAATGGCAGGCGCAGGAAATCGTGCAGCAAAGTGGAGGCGGGAAGCGGCAGGTCTAAAGATCTCGCTGTAGGCGCGGCAGGCAGGGAGAGATATTTTGGGTCGATGGGGAGGGAAGGAAGTGCGGATGGAATGGGAATAGGGTGGATGGGTGCAGGTGGTGGTGGTGGTGGAGGTAATAGTGATGGTGAGGATGGGCGAGATGGAAAAATGTGGCACCAGCTCCAAAACCGACAACCACAGAAGAAGCAGAAAAAGGTGGTGGCAGTACCGGAGGAGACTGGATTTGCCCTGGGTGGAGGATGCACAGGACAGTAGTACTGTAGTGGTGGTAGAGAAAAAACATCAGACGCAATGGCCAGCAAGCAGTATGAGCGACCCGCGGCACGAACAAGAGAGGATCCCAGGATTGCAACAAGCACACGCAAGCACCACCACGGCCGATACTCGACACCGACCGTGCTTTTTCCTATTCCTTGCGTAAGAGCGGCGATGGACCGTAGAATGATTGGAAGACAAACACGCAAATCGACTCGGTCTGTGTGTTGTGATAAGGGCAAAAAGAAGGCTGGGACGACGGATACGGTGGTGGTCATCGGTGGACAGGCAGGCAGAGCGCGCGCGCTGAGAGAGGGAAGAAACGGGTGTGAATGTGTGTGTGTGTCTGTGTGTCCGTGTCTGTTGAGTGACGGGCGGGCGATGATTGTGCGCGAGTCTCGAGAGGTGTGGGCGACGTTGGTGTGCGCGCCAATTGATGATTCGGTGTGTGATGGTGGGTGTGTGTGGTGGGTGTGTGGGTGTGGGACGTTGGCTCGTCGTTTTGGGTTTGGGCGCAATGCGCTGGCTGCGGCGTTTCCGTTAAGCTGCAGCACCCGCCGGAGATCTGTGCGCAACGCATCACCTCGCCCTGGGGCTGGGCTACTGCCATTCCTCTCCTGGCCCTGCCCGTCCCATTGATCATCATCTCTGGTCAGAGGCTGCTCGCCCGTGATGATGATGTGACGCCGATTGATACCGAATCAATTCTCCGATGCATTCATGATTCATCATCGCTTGACTACCAAGATCTTCGACCCATGGTCTCTACTGATCGCTATGGCCTCGAGAAGGGACGGCTATGTAACTGTGCAGAATGTGTCCGCTTCCCGACCAGGCAGGCCATTTGCGGAAGGCAGGATCAATGTCTACATAATATTGAAAATTGGCATGGTGGGTCGGCACCAGGGTTCGTGGAGTGTTCTCAAAAGATCAGGAGGAAGGCGAGCAGCTCGCGCCCGAAGACAGCAGGATCACCGAAGAGGGAGGACAACGGCCGACGCCCCCTTGGCCACGGCAAGGCGATATCAAATGGCGGTGGTACAGTTGGAGTGATATGAAGTTATCGGGGTGGTTGGCGTCGGTACGACTAGCTTGACGGTGTGGCTGGTACTGTCGAGGGTGGAGCTCACAGCAAGGCATCCATGGATGATAATAATTCCAACATCTTTCCAGAAGAACGGACATTCGGAAAAAGTCCCTTGATTCGCTTTCTTTTATCATCATCTTCACATTGAGTGGGTATCTTCACACATCACTATTGCTGCATTCATAAATAACGGCCTGAGGAAACATTGGCGGCTTGAAATGATGACTCGTGTCTGCCCGGGATTTCCGCTTCCTTGTCGTGAGAGAGTGCAAAATGAGGGGTAGCGATGTTCGGCACTGGCAGAACGGTGTTGCTCGGTCTTGCGTGCTACAACGTCTTTTCGCCGTTGTGTGAGGCTGGGAAGCGCCCCAGGGAACGTTTCGTCTCGGCCGATCTTTCACCGCATTGACCTCGTGGTGCCGTTGGGCCTGCCTGAGAGTGCTGTCGTCGTGGTCGTCGTTTACTACAGGACTACCAGTGTCATTCGCACAAATCCAGATCTTATCATGGACCACGAGAGACACCAAGTCGAAATTGGCAAAGGAACAGGATGGCGCCGAGCTGAGCACTCGTCGGGCACGTGTATAGGTAACAGCGTGACCCGACAATTCCTCATGAGTGCACCGCGATAGTGACGAAGGTTGGACAAGGGACACAGGGCGGCGGTCGCTCTTCATCACACGCTCAAGGTGGTTGGCGAAGCGGAAGGGATCACGGAAGGGCCCGGTCTCCCGGACTTAGTCCAGTCCCGTAGTGCGTTCACCCCGACCATTCAACCAGGAAAACTCCCAGCTGAACATCCAATCGGCGAATTCAAATTGCCCATGATCACATCTCGAACCGCCCGAGGCTCGCCTAGACGCGTGATGGGCTTGAAGAGGAGGAGTGCCAGACAACGAGTCAACAGCCATGATCAGATCAGGGATCATGATAAATCTTCGGGGAGCAAGGAACATGGCAGACACAACGTGCCGTAAAGGTAACGGCCGGAAGAGAAATTCCGCTGCCCGCTGCCCGCTGTCGGGCACGCTGACGAGTTCCGAAGAATCACGCCTTGAATCGTTGATACACATCTCAGATAACATGCAAATCAGCGATCCCGCGATTGCGCTTGAATAATGACAAGAACAAGGATGACATGTGAGATGTGCGCGCGCCCGGCCACGGTTGCAACCCGCATTAGGATGGTGTTCATCATGATGTGCGTTGCATAAAAGCCGATCCGGAGGAGAAACACCGCATATGCAATCTTCCCTGCATTTTATTCAACTCTCACGTTGTGGTTCAGATAATTCCCCGTCCAGAATCGACCTCCGGAGATTTCCAAGGCTTGCCAAACAGTTGCCGCGGAGAATTGCTCACGCGAAGTCTCAGGTGATGTCGTCGATTTGATTCAGAACAATGTATCCATGGGCGACCAGTGTCATTGGGAGCACCACACACGGAGATTTTTTGATGCTGCCGTAAATTATTCGCATGAATGCGCCCGCGCTGCATCGAAGGGTGCAGGAGTGCGCTTGCTTATGCACATTCCCTGATCTACATCATTCTCGAACAGCTAAGCCTATGCAGAATATGCCAGAGGAGCGGATATTGTACTGTCATGCCTCCATCACCCGGCGGATTTTGTCTGGTGAGGTTGCAAATTTGCATCACACAGTGTCTGTGTCCACACAGCGCCCACCGTGAGGAGCAGCACAATGCGCGATAGGCTGAGCAGTGGGAATGAGGATCGGGAGAGGGCATCATCAGCAGGCTTCGGCGTACGCTCGCACCACCCTGCCACCGCTGCCGGCATTTGCGCTGCGATGCTGACCAGGGTAGAGCAGAACCTCAGCGAGGCTGGGAGCTTCCTTCGTCCACCGAGGAGACATTTATGCTAGACTCGGCACGATGTTGATCTCTGCTTCAGATGTCGACACATTTGTCAAGCTATCGTCGCACCATGAAACCGATCTTTACCGCCCGTCGTCGCGCCCGTAAACTGCCTCACGGCCATCAGACTGGAGGAAAGGGCATTCTGAGAGAGAGATTATCAACGGCCTTCTCGCTTAGATCGATGCCGGCAAGCAGCCACGTTGATCATTGGTCGGTGACAGTTCTAGGTTTCTAGCGCATGTTCTTCCTGCCCGTCATCAGTAGCGCCGAGGAGCTCGGACCTCAAGCCCCGCTTGGAGCCGTTTTGTGAGGAACGTTGCAAACGTCCGAGTCGTGGAACACGCACGTGCCGGAGAGGAAGCTCCCAACCACATTCAAGCAATCTATGACTTTCTGCCCTCCTCGCGTTCTGCCGTCACGCCCGGGTCAACGCGTTGACGCAGACATAGAGGCCGATAGGCGATGGCAAAGCATTACCGACGAAATCAGACTGCCGCCGTCCTGCGTTGAGCTACTGCAGATTCTCCTTCCGTAGCGCGACGCTGTCAGACGTCGATCGTAAGGACTATCCAGCAACGCATAAGACTGCATTGGAACAGGCCAGAGCAGTTTGTGTTTGCCTGCACCATATCCCACGATGGGATCGTCCTGCACATCGGGACCGACGCCATCTTCCCGCGGTGTACCGTGTGCATAAGTCCCGTAGACCGTCTCAAGCACCTAATGCGGGAAATGCAGCGCAAAGTCTCCACATCCTTGTCTGCTGAGTGAAAAGTCACAGAGGGAGGTAAGAACCGAAGAGATACCCATGTGAGACAACGGGCTTTCCCTGGCAATGATCACGGGCAAGGTTTTGGGTGTGGGTTTGCCGCCGCGGGATGAGCCAGCGCAACAAGGACTCTGCTCTACGATTATCCGACAGACGGGACGCTGCATGTGCCTGCGACGGGTTTCTGTGACCACGGCAGGAACCATTGCTTGCACAATCGATACACGTCGGAAACTTGCACGGGATCCGTCGTGGGTCGGCGAAAAATCGATGCATGTGTGCTTGTCCACATGAACCATCAATCCACAAGAATGTCGACGACAAGGACCAAAAGCACTGTGCAGTCAACAGAACCGCCCTCATCCCAAGACCTTCAGTCACATGTTTTGTTCGCAGCCTTACCACTGCCATGTTACAGTACCAAAATTTCCGTGCTCCAATGAGGCCGAGCAGGCGTTTTTGCCAGCGCATAGATGATCCACACACCCGTTCCTTTCTATCCATCATTTCGAAAGTCATCTGATTGACCCAATCCGGTCAGATTTCTGTGTGCCAAAGGACTCTCTCCAATCGACGATGTCCGCGACATCCGATGTTGAACAAGCCGAATGATCGATAGAGCGTGGTAGAATAGACCCGGCATGGGCGAAAGAGCCCACCGATTCGTGATGGACAAAGCGTACGGCCCTTCGTTCAATAGCAAGCTGACACGTCGCCGCCGCAAAGCGTCTAGGCTGAACCATAATTGCGCCACCGCGCTGTGGAGTGCTAGGTACAGTACATAGTCATGAACTTCTCATCCAGCGAAAGTGCGAAGCTCTGCCCTATTTGTCCTCGTATCTTTTGTCACACCATTGCATGGCACTCTGCTATCTGGTGATGGTATTGATAACGTTGTGGAAGAGATTTGTCCCCCTCAATTCTCCACAGCATAACGTTACCCGTCAAAGTGAACAAGCATACTGTATGGACGTTTACTGCTCCGAAAAGGTCGTACAGAACATGCTTTCCAATGGTTCAGGCGCAAGGAGGGATTCGAATTAGACAGACTCCAATCAAGGTTACCTTGCATGTGCAGATATGCAGGCTATCGACTCACTACTCTCGTCGAAAGGCTGAGATACTGGTCCTGCTGTGCTCGATGCACTATGGAGCACTATCCGCCAGCAGCCAGGAATCGCCTCGTGAGGATCAAATAACGCAGCGGATTTCGTCAAGTGACTGACTTCATTCCTAATCCCAATCCTCAGATCAGCTCTTGTGACTCTAGTCCAATTTTTATCGGGCAATATAGATTGCTCGTGAATTCACCGGTCAACACTTGGCGGTGATACCGAGAACGACAGTTGCATGTCACGTCCGCTGACGTTCAGCTCAAACCGGAAAACCTTGCGGTCGTGTAAGCGATGCATGGACAGTAGATGGAGAGCACTGTTCTCTCTATTCTCATCAGTCCCAGAAACTCGGCGAACATGTACGCCAATGCCGGATGGCCTTCCGCGGGGTGGATAAGTGAGGCGCGGACAGAAACTTTCACCGCTCATTGAGCCGAGCGAATATTGAATGGGACGACTTCCGCAAGTGGGGTGCCGGCGAGGATCCGTGATGCTAGTTGATGTCCTCACGATCTTTACTTGCCTGAGGCAACACTCAACCGATCTTCGCGACCTTTATGCCATCCATTCTTCTTGTGTGCATCGAAATGTGTTTGTACTGACCACGGGAGCGGTGATGTGGTTAAACGAGAGACACTGCACACGAGGATTACAGCAATGAAGGACAACTCGTGGTGGAGCTGTGGGTCTGCTGTGTTGTACTCCTCCCATTGCTCTGTTGCACCATCGTCTGGCCGCTTCTTTCTCCTCAATAGAAACTACGTGGCACAGGTGAGTTGATTCTGCTGCTCCGAATCTACACGGCGGTCAGCTTCGTCGAGTTTTGCCGAGTCTTCGTCCTTCGAGCACGTGCTTTTCCAAAAAACGGTCGGTGGGAGAGCTCCGTGCCAGATACACAGATCAATATGAGCAAGAATACTGTCCTTGTAAATGTGACGCCATGGACCTGGGTCGAAGAGATCGGACTGGGTAGTGATAGCCATTCTGTGCTTAGGGTTAGTGGACTTGTGATGTTGGATATCATCGTGTTCTGTAACCATTTTTAGGATTACATCTGGCCATGCACGGCTCAAGAATTATCGCGATCACTGATTATGATGTATCGGTGTTCATACTTCAGAATGAGCAAGGTCTCGTTCATCAACTTCGCATAGCCGGTTGTTTGGCGACCTCTGCAGTTCGCGTGACACATCTTCATCGGTCAAGCCGTGCAGTTCTTTGGTGGGTACGGTTCCCAACGCCGTTCCTCAAGGTATCGCGGCATGTTCACATAGCTTTGCTCGAACAACTCCCTTTGTTCGGTTCATGACGAAGACGGCGTTGCCGATCAACCAGTGTTTTGATCTGACAGACCAACCACGTGCCTCCGTGGAGATTTCCGCACAAAATTTGTGAGACACTCTCCACCTTCGGAGAAGATGATTTCGGGCACAAACCCACGCGACGTTTCCACCACGAGTTCAGAATCTGCACGATGTGATTTGATACTCCGAGACACGCGTGCAGGGCTGAGACCTAGTACCCTCATGGACGCAAAGTAGCGTCCGCCATGCGCATGCGAAACACCCACAATCTGTGGTAGCAAAGTAGCGGTCTCATCGTGAAGTGCGGTCGAGCGCCTTGACAACGCATATTTCTGCATGTATCAGGAAGCGCCCTTGGTCGTTCTGATCTTATCCATGCATATTATTACATGGTCAAGGCGGAAATGCTGGTCGCTTGTGCATCATGTCGTGTGCCCTTCTGGCGCGTCGCTGTGTAGCGGTTCCATGTTCTCTACGCGCTTGGGAACCATTCGATGTGAGCCTGGAGACTGCACATGTGCGTCATATGCGCAGTTCGCGGCGCTTCGCAGTGCCTCTTTTCAGACAACCGATACCGCGAGCCACAGATTGGCATTATTCAATCTACGATGCGTTGTTCCAACGACGATCACTACCAGCGACCGAAATCTGATATTTGACATCACTGAACGAATACCTATGGAGGTCTGGTCGACATTCGGGACCACCTGATCACAGCTAGAGGACAAGCCGGGGCGCCAAATCCCGTATAATGCTTGGACGGTGCTTCCAAGCTCCGAACGCCCATCTTCGTATGCTCAAGTACAGGTCAGGCATACGATATCGTGACGCCCGGCATGAACTCCGTCGTCTTCTGTCGAGTATTTATTGAGTAGTGAAGGCTAATCACATGCTTTCGCCACTACCGCTGTGGAACTGTTTGCCTGGGTTGACTAATCTTCCCTTCACAAGATGTTCAATATCATCTGACCCCCGAGTCTGTCGAAATGACTCAAAATGTCGCCAAGAACGCAATCTCACCATGCCAAACCCTATAATATCTCAGCGTGTTGAAATGGTAGCCTTCCTGACACGGACTTGTTCTGTTTACGATAACGCAAGCGTGACGAGGTCACTCTCGTCAAGAACTCCTCGGGAAGCTCGGGTCCAAGTAAACACGAAGATACTGTCAGAAAAAGATCTCGGACATGTTCAAAGGTGCGCACGGTCTCGATCATGATCATGACATTGAGATGAACGCTTGCAGAGAGTACCTCAACGTTCAGGGATGAATACTTTGAGCTTCGACCTGCGCCGGAGAATGCCCTTTACGAGCCTCGACGCCATCTCGACATCGTATGTCAGGAGAGCTCGCAGGGAGTGAGGTCGGATCCGTTCACGCTTGAGCCATTTTCTGAGTTGGTCACATCCCGATTCGTGCAGACTATGAGAATTCTTTCGAGCTACATCAGCATCTCCAGCCACTTGGAGAGAGAGACTCCTTTTCTTTTTGACAATTTAGGAATTTGAACATCTCTATCGGGCGAAATCATGAAAAATACCCCTGCAGTGGCTCCGGTCGCGGGTTTGAAACGCGAACGGTGATGCATGGCGCGGGCAGATCTCGAGCCACGAACCTGGCGTTCGGCAGAGCTATATCCGAATTTCAGATGCAATGCGAGGCGATGCGAACTCTCCGAGAAATGAAATACGACCTTGCCTAGCAAGACAAACGACTTTTCTGCTGCGATAGGACGCGCCAGCGCAGCGCAGCGCAGCCAAGAGACGTGGTCTGCGTTTGTCTGTCCTCAGACTTTCGTCGTGAAAGCAAGGGATCCTCGAGCGCCGTCGCTATGCAAACGGCGACAATGACGACGTCGAATCCAACACGACCTGCGTCAGGAGACAGAGTTACGCGCCATCATGTCTGTTTTGAGAGTCAGGAAAAAGCACGAATCCTCGCGACGAGGCTCGTACCTTGCAGAAATCACATCGTTGTTTGACTGTTTTAGACCGTACATGATGCATTGGTGCCGCGCGCTACGGGCGACTGCATGGGGACAGATGGACGATGCCGACCAACTTCCACCAGCGCGGAGCCGGGCAAGGGAGGCATGCATGATTCCGCTCCGCCGCTCGCCCGATTTGGGCGATACAATATGATCAAAAGAGTAATGACTTCCTGATGCAGAGCGGTGTGAATAGTCCCGCAGTAGTTTCGCGGGCGGGAAGGCTGTTTTTCGCATCATCATGCAACTCGGCGCACTGCCTCTTGCGCCAGTGCCCGCGGCGGCGCTGGCCAGAAAACTTGTCAAGCACGTCGCTGCCTCGGAACATGTGCCATGGGACCATCTATCTCCCAACATGTGCTTTTGTCCACCGCCTAATAATTACTGCGCTGTAGTCTCGTCCTCCGCCGTCTGCCTGCATACGCAATAAGAAAAAAAAGCATGGGGCGATAATAAATTCCATCGCATACATTTGTCAGTGCTCCGCTGGGATTCTCCCGCGTCAGCCAGCTCGCAGCGTCACGAGTCCCAGCCTCCTGCCACCTGCATACGACCAAACACTGGCGGCGGCGCCTTTCGCTCTTCCCACCTATTTCCCCTCAGCACGGGGCGTACGAGGATCGAGAAAAATCTGCTCGGCGAAAAGAGATCTCGGTTTCTTCTGACGATGCATTGTCCGTCTCGATCAGAACCCGACGTTCGTTTGTGCAAGCGCGCTGCGTACGTATTTACATAAGGCATGCATAAGGCATGCATACCCGCGCATTGCATAGATGCAGGAACCGGGCAGCGAGAATATACCACAGCGTGGGCGTAGGTGCGAGGGAGATTAACAATGCATTACATTGCCTTGCACTGGCGGCGGCTGTATAGAGGCCGCCGACTTTTGGTTGCAGATGTCGTGAACGACCTCGCAGCAACTCGGTCCTTGGTACTGCCAGTGGTAATGAAGATTGTTCGGTCGCCTTCATAGCTACGTCACTTTGTGTGAGATTTCGACCATTAACTTGTTTTTGGGCAAGGCTCGATGGCTTGATGACATGAACGAGACGAAGCCAGATTAGAAACAATATGCGAATTGATGAGAGTACTTCATCAAGACAGTGCTTGAAGAGCAGAGTAAACCCACGCTTGTCAGCGCTTCAAGACACACAGCAGCCTGATGAGATCAAAGAGAGAGGTAGGCCTAAGTTCGACAACACAACTGCATCGAAAACCGCAAGTTCCCATACATGTCTACCCCATACACCGGCATTATCCCTCTCTCGTCTTATCCCGCGTTGTCTTCCTAACCCTGCGTCGACGATGTAGAAGTGTAATTTGCTGGTTGTCGAAATACAGAGGCGAGACCCCAACGGCCTTCGTACTCAAGCAGGGGCAGAGGTTTTGGTCGACGATACGTGTACCCAAAGAAAGCATTTTTCTTGCGCACGTCGAGAACGATGTGCGCGGTGTTGGGATCGCGGAGGACTTTGTCACGGGCACGTTTCAGAAGTTTCTTTGGCCGGTAGCGATCTAGAGGTGGTGATGCTGATTTATTCGGTTGCCCTCGAGCACGAGGGCGCGTCTCATCTTTGTCAACGGGAACTTGTCTCGTGGGTTGGAAAGTGGTCTTCGGAGGCGTTGCATTCGAACGCTGCTGCGCATCACATCGGATTTCGTCTTTTTTGTTTGGCGATTGGTCAGCCAATGCGAGATTGCGTTCTTGATCCCTGCCATCATTGTGACCAGTAGAAGCACATTCGTCGTCGTCTAGATCGCTATCAGATCCAGCTGCGTCGTCAGCAATGCTGGAGGAATCATTTGCATCACGCAATATGTCCTGCTCATTCTCAAAGTATTTCGTGATTGACTGATGCTCCCGCACGCGTGGCACGAATGGTGGCGTTTGGAGATGCAGTTGCTCCCAATCAATGCCATCAAAGAACGGGTGGGCCTTGATCTCAGCTGCGTCGTTAGCATAGACGTGGCACACAGAGGGATGGTTACACAGTGCTCGGCTGAGGTTTGCAGAAGTTGACGCTGTCGCTGACAGTCGTTGCGCGAGCCGTGCTTCTGTATGCCGATACTGTCGTGAACTCAGGCGCATCTCCTTATCCGTCAGGATGGAGCGCAGCAGGTCGACGGCATCATCGCTCGGAGGAGGTAGACACCTACGTGCCAGCGGGTTCGTCGCAGTTGGACGCGAAATACGTGGCGGCCTCGTCGGGAAGTGCAGAGTCCTGCGATGGGAGATTATGTTAACCTTGGTGCGGTGCCGATCCTCGGCGCAGTAAAAGGGCGTGTGGCCGTAAAGACATTCGTAAAGAATGATGGCGACGCTCCACCAGTCACAACGACCATCGTAGGCGTGCCCAAGAAGAATTTCGGGCGCCATATATTGAGTAGTTCCCACCATACTTCGAGCCAAACGACGCCGCTCTGTGCGATTGCGATACGGGAGCAGGCCTTCACGGTATGCAGCTAAAGTAGGTCGCTTGCTGCCAGAGGAGCCTGGCGAGCGGCGATGCAAATGACCTGTGCGAAAATCGTCTTCCTCATCAAACATCTGCTGCTCGGACACATCTTGCTCGTCGCCGTCAATTGTCAACTCGAGGCTCTCGAGAAGACTTTCTCGTTGAATGTTGTAATATGATTGGCTATGTGCCCAGTGTCCGCTAAAGGAAAGACCGAAGTCGGAAATCTTCAAATGTCCCGACGCACTGATGAGGAAGTTATCAGGTTTGATATCGCGATGAATCCATTTCATGCGGTGAGCTTCTTCGATGCACAAGATCATCTCAGCACAATACCATTGAGCTACAGCCTCTTCGAGTACATCCTCACGTGTTAGGAGGCCAAGGAAGTCGCCGCCGATCATGTATTCCATGACAAGATATAGATTAGTGCTGTCCTGAAAGCTGGCGATCAGAGGCACTATCCATCGAGAGCCCTCTGCGCCGACCAAGAAGTCGCGTTCTGCCCGAAGATGACCTTCTTGGCGCGCGCGTAGCATGTCCGATTTACGAATGACCTTCATGGCAAAGACATCTGTGAGCGGTTGTCCTGTCGGGACAGCCCGTTTGGCGGTGCCGTCCATGTTAGCGATGTTATTAATCGAACTATTTGTATCGAAATCACCGGCACGTCTCTCGTCGGATTTGAACATGTCTGCGCTGACGACTCGTATAGAACTTCTGACGCGTTCAGTGACCAGCCGAACGACGCCAAAGCTGCCTTTGCCAAGGACACGGATGACATCGAAGCCTGCGATGGAGATACCTTTGCTGCTCTGGCGAGCAAGCGAGCTCGACTTCAAGATGCGCATTTGACGGAGGTGGTCGCTTTCAGCGCGAATCCAATGCCTTCTAGCGGAAAGACGCTGCTCATTAGGTAGGCCTAATTCGAAGATGCGCTTCTCAAATCTTTCTCGTCGAAGCGAGCGAGGTGTATGAGGCTCAAACAAAAGCTCTTGAAAATGAATCTCCAATGCACATTTGGCTGCAGCTGTTTTCTCAACTGTAGCAATTGTAGGCGAGTTGATGATTGGCGCGTCCAGGACAGGAATTCGTAACACCCGACGACGATCTTCGTCAATCACAGGGAGCACACTCTCCTCGCCAGCCTGGATACAGGCTTCAATCGAAGTTTGCTGCCCTGTATTCAATAGTTTACCGACGCCAGAGCTAGCAGAGTCGGGCGAGGTAAGTGATGTGCATGCGGTTGAGGCTGCGCTTCTGGGTGACCAAACAAAATTCGAGGCACGAGTTTTCGAGGGCAGGGATGGGATTGTGCTCTGTGATACGCGTCCATCTTGCGCGTTTTTGCTCAAAATCCTTTCGGGGTTGGTATCGATAAATGGGAGTTTTGGTCTTGCGCTTGACTGCTTACGACGGATTACAGTCTCACTGTGGTTGCTCGATGTTAGCTTCGTACCCAAGGCGCTCAGCTGCCTCGCCAATCGATTGATCTGTGTGTCTGAGCAAGCCTCATCCAAGTTTGAAGGGGCCGCTGTGGTATTGAGAGTGTCTACAGCAGGACCGTCCACCTGTGTCGCAAGCCTCTCCGGACTGAGGAATCGTACAGAAACTCTCCTGCCTGGAGGTGGACAAGAATGACGACGAGATTCACCATCTATTGACGAGTGGCGCGGGTTTGTCAGACGATTCTTCGGGAAAGTGAACGTCGCCAAAGCCGATGGAGGCACTCGAGCCGTGCGATGATGCGGTTCAGCACGAACTTCTACACTTGTCTTTGGTACCTTGACTGAAGACGTCATACGTCAATGAGAATTCACTATGTCGATGCGCTGCGGTACCGCTTACCAGATGATGAGCGAAAACGCGCGATGATCTTACTGGTGGTCTTCCAGTGTGCTGCGATGATGTTCGAACCCAGCGGTTCAGGACGACTCGAGTCGTATACCGCAGCTTGATGGGCAACAGTCCCAGCTTCTGATGGACCGAAGGGATGGCATGCTTTGCGGCAGAGCTTGGTGAGGGATAATGTCCTTGCTGATTGTCTCCGCTCATGAGCGGGAGTCTGCATACTTCATGCTTTCTGGCTGCTGAGAAGAATTGTATGAATATCGATACCTTTGCGATGAGAATGTACGAAAGGAGACAATGTTAGCACAGATACAGATCTCGCAGAATGCTCCGTCGAGAGCATTAAGAAATGAGATGACTGTTTGCCAAAATGTACCTACCTGTTTTCCCAATGTTTACGGCGAAATGCTTGCCACCATAGCCCGTGAAGGTGCTGATTGTAGTTTGTGAGGAAAGCACGTGTGGAAAATACAGCACCTACCTGTCTAGGGAATCTCGTTACCTACACCAATATTTGGGCGGTGTCCAGGTGCTGCGCAGAGATATGCTTGAAGCCACTCGCTACCACACTCCCTGAACAAGTTTTGTGTCCATCTACATCCACGCTCTTGGACTCATGTTTGTATTTTGGTAGTCATGGCCAGAATGCGATCGTTGTCTGGAGATGGCAGGTGTGTTTGTGTTCGCGATGTGAATTTTGCTCCTGTTTTCAAAGTCCAGAATTTCATTCGCATATTTGTGTGTGAAAAGTGCACACATCATATATATCATACGAGCTGCGGGAGACGCCTTTGGAAGTCTTTGTACTTTCATTCCTCGAGATCAGAAAGATGATAAGCTTGATGTCGCCGAAGTTGATTCGATATCCTGATCCTATCCAGCTCGAAGTTCATGTAGGAATCCCTCGTTGAATACACATCGCGAGAGCACATTATCGCTGTGCCAGCGGATGTTCCTCGCAGCGGGGAGATTGACGTCTTCCACTAGCCTCGTGTAGTTTATTCGCCTGACGGTCTGACTACAACATATGCACCTGGCTTACACGCTGCCTTGAACGGGGTTATGGCTCTGCCCATATACATCCTCTATCTGCATCTGAGCCGCTTGTTGAGCCAAGGCGTCTTCTTGGAAGGCTGTTGCGTAATAGCTAGCCTCTAATGGGTCTATGGGAGGGTATTCTGGCGGGAATGTCTGTCGGAAAGGGATTCCCGGCTTTAGGTAAAGAACTAACCGAAATGCGGTGTTGCCATTCAGGTAGTAGCGATGAAGTCGTTTATTTCGGATAAATCCGAGCCGTTCGTAGATCTTGAGCGAGGGAACGTTGTCAACTTCGGTCTCGAGGACAATCTGGAGAAAAAGAATCATTCAGTCAAGGGTTGCTTGTGTGCAGATTCTGAACAAAGGTTTACCTCGTCTGCATCCTTTGCGATCATTGCTTCGATGGCCATTCGAACGAGTTTGGTCGCTATTCCTTGTCCGCGATGTGTCTGGCGAGTGGCTAACATGGCGATGTAGCCTCTCATGGGACCACCTCGGTGGGGTTCTACTTTGCACACGATAACGCCGATCAATTCATTCTGTCCATCTACAGCCTACTGAGCATGAGTCACCCCGGATTTGGTCATTTCGTTTCTAATTACGTACTCACCATGAAACATAAATCTCCCCATTGATACAAAAAGTACCTATAGACGTAGATGCTGTATGGTTCCGATAAGTCCTTCGAGATGAGAGCTTTGATGGCTGGGAGGTAAGGAGACTCTCGTTCTTTGCCGTAGCAAAGGTATTGGATCGTCCTATCTTGTGCCTTGGCCGACGACTCGTTCGGTCGAGTCTGTTCATCAGCCATCACAGCGATGTCCGCAGGGTTTGCACTACCTCCACCTAAACTTGATCAGGCTTGACTGATTTCGAGTGCTGTTCCCAACGTCCGGTGGATTTATGAGCTCTGGGCGCCAACCAGGTGCTTGCAAAGATTCTCAGGTTCATCCAGAAAACATGTCTGAATCGAACCTGGTAGACATCAAGGATGTGCTCAGCTGGATTGGGAAGCTGCGATGCTCCAGCTTACTCAGCAGTCAGCTTCCCGGCTGCATCTTTCAAGATGGCGGTATCACACATGAGCGATCCCTGGCGGCGAAGGCTGTCATGGACGCTCAGTGGCAGTCGCGACGTACATGGGTAAGTGACTCGTGAATAACAAGGCAAAGCTTGAGAGTCGCATTGGCATATCGAATTGGGATATCGAGCCTCGGAGATATTGTTATATCATACATGCTGTGAACAAACACGTGCGCTGCATCAATCGTCCAAGATGTTCCGTCTTTTCCTCAGTCAGTCTAGTGCCGACACGAATTTAACGCGGGTGAAAGTGACCGATGACGCAGATGCAAGCACGTTCCCATGGTTGAGGATCTGCCGCTTATCTTTTTTAGCTTTCGTCGGCCTTGCAGTAAATCGGCGAGAGCTCTCTGAATTGGGGTGCTGGCGTTCCAAGTTTTGTTTTGCGAAGACACTCGTCTGATGTGGGCGACCCTTCGCTTCAAACCAAATCTAGGCGGACCTTGAGCAGGGATTCAGCGTCGTGTAAGTGTCGTAAACCCCAGCTCGGCATCGCATGATACTCCTTCAATTGTTGTCTCTATCCCAATTACGATAATTTTACGATGGCATCCGCCTTGCGACAGCGATTTCTGGGCGATACATCGCGAGACGCCTCGAGCGACAACGACCGCAACGAAAGCCCATCGCCAGCCGTCGCTAAGGTCCAGGAGGGTCAAGGCGATGAATACAACATCATTCCGCGCGATGCATTGAAGACTCTACGGAAAAAGGCAAAGGGAAGACGTCCATGGCGGCGCTATGTCTCTACCTTCAGTTTGGGGGGTGTGTTCGCGCTGGTCGCTGCTGCCTTCTTCTCGACGCCGAAGGGTAGTCTGGATAAGCTCGTTTCTTACGCTGGCTTGGAGGGCATGAGTCTGGACAGCATTATGGACGTCCTGCCGGCGGGGTTGATCCGAGACGTGAGCGCACTGCAGGTGAGTCGCAGTGCTCCAACAATCTTTTGGCGCATCCCGAGAAGCATCTCATATTGATATGATGTCGAATAGTCTGCAGAGAAAGAGGCTGTGAATTACGATTCCTTCGCTGTTGGCTTACAAGCCCAATCCGAAGGCATCAAAGCAAAATATCCGGTTATCATGATTCCCGGAGTCATCTCTACTGGTCTGGAGAGCTGGGGCACTGAGGAGTCATCGCGGCAATACTTCCGAAAGAGATTATGGGGTTCCTGGAGCATGATGCGCGCACTGGTGCTAGACAAGCCTAACTGGAAGAGGCACGTGATGTTGGACAAAGACACAGGACTAGATCCTCCTGGCATCAAGCTTCGTGCGGCGCAAGGATTCGATGCAGCGGACTTCTTCATTACAGGATATTGGATCTGGAACAAGATCCTGGAAAATCTGGCGACTATCGGTTACGACCCGACAAACGCTTTCACAGCTGCATACGACTGGCGTTTGACGTATCTCAACCTTGAGACGCGAGATCAATACTTTACGCGACTAAAAGCTCATATCGAGACTGCGAAGCAAGTTAGCGGCCTCAAAACAGTCCTCCTTTCTCATTCGATGGGATCGCAAGTCCTCTATTACTTCATGCACTGGGTAGAGGCTGAAGGCTACGGTGACGGTGGACCTTCGTGGATTGAAGATCACGTTGACTCGTGGATCAACATCTCCGGCTGCATGCTCGGCGCACTGAAAGATCTGCCAGCAGTTCTCAGCGGTGAAATGCGAGACACGGCACAACTCAATGCTTTTGCTGTTTACGGACTGGAAAAGTTTCTTTCACGTCAGGAGCGCGCGCAAATATTTCGCGCCATGCCTGGTATCAGCAGTATGCTTCCCATCGGTGGCGACGCTGTCTGGGGCAACGCCGAGGGAGCTCCTGATGACCATGCAAACCAAAGCACAACCTTTGGGAAATTCATCAGCTTCAAGCCTCTGGATAATACCACGACTCGTCACAACCTTACAGTAACCAGCAGCATACCCTTCCTTCATGACAATGTCGAGGATTGGTACACCAAGTCGGTAAAGCGAAGTTACAGTCAGGGCATTGCCCGCTCTCGCCGAAAGGTCGAAGCCAATCAGCTCATTCCCAGGAAGTGGATGAACCCTCTGGAAACTCGTCTACCTATTGCGCCCAACATGAAAATTTACTGCTTCTACGGAATCGGAAAACCAACTGAACGCGCCTACTTCTATCGCGAAGACATCGACCCTGCCACCAACTTGACAACGCTCACGATCGACACCACCGTCTCATCTGCTGACGGCCTCATTGACCGAGGTGTCGTCATGGGCGAAGGCGACGGAACTGTAAATCTGCTCTCCACGGGCTACATGTGCAACCAAGGCTGGAAGATCCCTCGCTACAACCCGGCTAACATCTCCGTCATCTCATACGAGATGCCGCACGAGCCGGAACGCTTCAATCCGCGTGGCGGGCCCAATACTGCCGACCACGTCGACATTCTGGGTCGCAGCAGTCTCAATGATCTCATCTTGCGCGTCGCCGGTGGCAAAGGCGAGCGTATCGAAGAGACTATCTTCTCACGGATCAAGGAGTACTCGGCCAAAGTCCGCATCCCGGTCGAAGACGACGCGGATGAAGAAAACACTGATCCCGCGGCGTCAATAGATGACGATGATGCGCACAGCCTTATGGGCAACGTCAAGTCGTTCGTGGGCGATCTTTCGGAAAAGCAGGCGGCGACAGTAGAGCAGGCACGGGAATTCTTGAGAAGGAAGTCGGCGCAGGCGGGTGGTGCGTTGGAGCATGCGAAGGACTATGTAAAGGAGAAAGGAGAGAACATGATTCATGATGCACGAGAAGCGATTCATGAGGCTAGGGAGGCTCTATAGAACTTCGACGATTTCTGATGAACACATAATACGAACACCGTTGCAAATTGTCACGAGACGGTGCGTTCTGGGTAAACTGGATGTTCTTGAATCATGAAAACCGTGTCACAAAACCCTCCACGATTTGGGATTCCATACATACAAAATATTTATATCTAAAGAACGACGAGGGATTATCGTTCTCGGAAAAAATGAATCACAGGCATGGCGTGATCTGAAATTCTCCGTCCCAAGTAGAGCAGATCGCCTTGCTTCTCTCCGGATGCGTAGTGCCATCAGAAGAGTATCGGAGTCAAGAGGTTGCTGGCTCCAGCCTTGATACTGTCCAATAGTTTGCCGAGAGTGAAGATCAAGCTCGTCGTCGGGATGGCAATAAGGCAAGGGACGTCAAAGGAGGTAGACGGATTGATCGGGTTGGGACCATTGACACCGTCGCGGCCAAGCTGGACCATAGAGGCGCTGTTAGGATTGTAGCTAGGCCAGCCGTAGTTCGTCAAGCCTGAAACAGGGTTCTTCGCGAAGCCGGCCCATGCGCCTTGGATGTAGTTGATAAAGCTACGCTCGGCGTCGGTGTCGGCAGGGCCGTTCAGTGTTCCAGTCGTGCCGAAGACGTAGGGAAGCTCGCCAGCATGGTAAGCACCTGAGTCTGGAGTGGTGGAAACGATGGTGTTCTGGAAGAGGCCGAAGAAACGGTAGCGCCTGGGAGAAGTTAGCATCTAGAATGATTTGTTGATTGAATCATGGATCGGAGTGTGGAATGCAGGCGCGGGCTCACCAGACAGGAACGTTGTTCTGCAGACGGTATTGGGCAGCAATTCGGGAAGGGCACGTGAAAATCGCCAGGGTGCCCAGGTCAATGACAGCCTGCGGCAAGGCGAACCCGTTTTTGGCTTGGAAAAGGGTGTTGACGAAACCGCCTTCGCCGTTGGTGCTGCCGATGAGCCAGGGCTTCTTGATAAAGCGTCCATCGGCGATCCGAGCTCCACTATCGCCAAAAGCTGTAACGCCGTCGGCGATGGGGGTAAACTTGACATCCTTCTTGGCGGCGGAGTTCAAGATTTGCTGAATGGTGATACCGCTGCCACGCATACAAGCAATGACTTGACTCTGATCAGCAGAGCTATCGCCGCATCCCAAGTCGGATGTGACCTGGTTCCAGTTGTACTGCGCGACTGCTGGCAAGAGGGGTCCCAGCTGGACCACGTTACCAGATTGCTGGATAAAGCCGTTGATGATCGGGTCGTTGTTGTACCAAGCCAGGGAGTAATAATCAAGAGACGCTCCGCCAGCGGACTGCCCGAAGAGAGTGATACGTGTGGGATCGCCGCCGAAGCTGGCGATGTTGTCGCGAACCCACTGAACAGCCATACGCTGGTCGAGGAGACCAAGATTTCCAACATTTGGGGCGCCAGGAAATCCAAAAATGTTGGTACGGTAATTGAAATTCACAACAACAACATCTTGTTTGTCAGCAAGAAACTGGCCACTGTAGATGCTATTGTTGGTTGCTCCCTGCAGGAAACTTCCTCCGTAGACCCAAAGCAGCACTGCCTTTTTCGCCTCGCCGGTTTGAGGCTTGGTCCAAATGTTGAGCTTCAAGCAATCTTCATTGTAAGGAGTGTTTGCTGCTATAATCTGGTTGAGGATCTTCACTCCGTTGGAGCCGAACTTGACTGTGCTTGTCTTTGGAAATGCTTGCGGGTCAGAGACGTCTCCACTGCCTGTGTTAGGGTAGAATGTTAGCGTTTTTATCGTGACCTGCCACGGCGAAGGATCGTGCACAATCGATGAGTGGCCTTCCATACCAAGTGCAGGGCATGATGCTGACATGCGAGTCGCAGTCAGCGCTGTGTTGCCAGAGTACTTCACTGGTGCGGCAAACCGCAGGCTGCCAACAGGAGGTTGGGCGAAAGGAATTCCGAGATACTCGCTGACTTGATTGGCGACCGAAGCGGCTTGGCCAGTGATAGGTCCATTGTTGGTTTGTACTGTCTGACCGACAGTGAATCGTGGCTCCAGGGCAGCTCCAAGGGCGAGGCCAGCTGTGGCAAGAGCGAAAAAGATGGTGTTCAAGGCCATATCGGAGGCAATGACAAGAATGTGAAGTGCTGGAGAGCTGTTCGGTCAAACATGTTGCGATATCTCATCTACTTATGCTTCGCCGTCATTAGAATGAAGCATCTTGCGATGCCAAAGGGCCACCAAATGGCATTATTTCCTTGCACTGCCCATACCCAGACACAGTTCAGCTAGTCCGTCGTGAGCCCTAAGCTGACGGTTTGGTGTCTGCACATATCGCGCCTTGTAGGAGTCCGAGAACCATCGCCTGATTGCGCCTCTTCAAGGATCATGAGCACTGACACATCGGGATAGTTTTGAAATGACATGTCCGCATCCTCATGGTAGAGCACGGTATACGCGTTGCTTCATCAGTCTTCGCATGCTTGTTGCATCTGGCGAAAACGAAGCATTTCCATGAAGTGATGATGGTTTGACAATGCACCACGCTAGTCTCCTTCAGGGAAGCTGGCTAAAAATAGGAATTGAGGCTCGTCAAACCAATAACGTCTTTCGACTGCCCTATGTAGCTGTTTAAACTTGTAGATTCCAAGGTTCTCATCATTTCGTCTCTGTTATGCGCTTCGGCTTCCTATTCTCGCGTGATATCTCGATGTGTCCGTTCCTCCGACATGTTACGCGGGTCTTTCAAAGCCCTAAACGGTCTAGAAATCTGTTTCAGGCTACGCTAGATCGGAGGCTACACGCTGGAATGTTCCCAAACCACATGAAGGACTTCAAGCCTTTGCTATGAAGTTCGCAACGCACTCTGTATCATCCTCAATTACCGCGTTGATCTAAGCCGCGACCAAAGCATGACCCGCTCGGCCGAAGGATGACCTCGTGGCTAAGACGATGGATCCCGCCCGCATAAGTCTCCGGATATGTGGAAACATTAGAAAATGCGTGCCCTACATGGGCTTTTTCCAGGCCAGGGTTTAGAGTTCTCGCTGACGAGAAGAGAGACCCCGAAAAGAATGGTTCCCATCAAATCTTCATGCCGAGAGCCTGTGCAGTTCCAGATTGTCCTCGTGGCGTTCGAAACCATCGCTGCTAGGATCCTTGATGCTGACTGCTGCGATTCAGGTGTCATGGTATGGATGAGAGACACGCTCACTGTGCCATGGTCCTGTCAGCATGACATACGACATGTGAGGACCTGAAAACTTCAGGGGGAGGATTCGCCTCGGAGAGCTGAGCAATCCAATTGAACCGAACCTTTCATTTTGTCATTTGGCGGCCGTGAGAGAAAACGGCCAAGTCGATTTGATCCACAACCACTTCTAATTAACGTACCCTTAACTGCCGCCTAGTGGCCAAAGTCTAGAATGCCATGGCGAGAATTGTCACTAAGCTTCGTGACAGACGTTGAATGATTGGGGGAGTGTCTTTAATACATTTATATGATTGCTCACATCATTGAGCCTACATGGTTTTACAAATTCGAGTCCCCCTAACACCAGACAGCCTTGAACAATGGATCATCAGGCATGAAAGCGATCAAACGAAAGGCAGGACATTGTGCGGGAAATTGAGGGGAGGAAAAATGCAGATCGCTGCGCAATCCAGATATGAGAAGAAGCGTTTACAGAAAGATGTGGCCTGATCCTAGTCAGCCTCCTGTTGAGGGGAAAGGACGGGTATCAAAGGCGTCAAAGCCGGTCTCGTGTTTGGTCTTGACGTATGCCTGGATTCAGTGTAGAAGTCTTCTGTGGTCTGGCGCAAAGAATGAACGGGATGAGTGGAGAGAAGGAGTCAAATCCCGGACGTTGAGAGAAGCCTGGCGAATGTGGAAGCGAGGAATAGGTCCAGACCTTGGCCGTTCTCATTCATCTGGCCAGGTGTCAGCAATCTGAGAGTGATTCACCCACGAAATCATCGCTCTGACTATTATCATCATCGTCGTCATACTCGTCATCGTCGTCGCTCCCGCTTTCACCGTGGTCGCTTCTATCATTGACGGCCGTTTTGCCTCGATTAAAAGCCCTGTCATGGGTAGGATGAGGCGTCGAGGCGATGACATGGGAGTCAGCAGGATCCGTGCCGTCTTGAACACCCTCCCATTCCTCGAGGTCATCGTCCTCATCATTTCGACTCATATCGCCGTCGTCGATGTCGGTCCGTGCGGCAAGGATCTCTGTGTCTAGATCATCCGCACGAGAGTAGTCAAGATGGGAGTGCGGGGTCGCGTAAGCAGTAGGAGTGATGCCTCGCTTGTGACTGCTGCTAGTACTAGCACGGCCAGTAGCTGCCAACTGCTGCGGAGGTTGCTGGTCGATATGATGCTGACTGCGCGTGGAGATGATGTGTTGGTGGGAATGTCCATCGTGGTCGTAGGGCAATGAAGGCTCGCGGCTCCAGCGTGGCGTGAAATTCAATACACGGCGCTCCAGCTGATCTGATGTTGTCGAGACGCGGCGTCTTTTCGCGGCATTATATGAAGCTGAATTCGGTCGCTCGGAGGCAATGGCAGCTGTGGAAATGCTATCGTGAGAAGCGACGCGGCGTTTTGGAAGTGTCCCTTCGATGCTCGGCTTCACTTCTGCAGAGGCAATGGCGCTAGGCATGGACACAGACCTTCGAGCAATCTCGGACTCGATGGAACTTCGCTTCCGTACGACAATTCCTTCCTTTCCATGGGAGTCGAGAACACTGCGAGCGGAACTCTGACTACGCGTGCTCCACCTAGATTCCTGGTCAGCAAATGAGGCGTCAAGGCGGTCCACTTGGTCTAGTCGTTCATGATAAGTCCAACAGGATTCGATAATCCTGCCAATATTTTGCGCAGCTTGTATCTTGCCATTTGAGTCGACCAAGGGAAGTCGCCTTATGGTCGGCCATGTCCAGCCCGCGACCTCAGGTTGCGTGTAGGCTTCTGAAGTGGTCATATACAAGCGCCGCTGGCGGTCATCTACTTTCATGAACACGCTGGCTTCGAGAAACTCTGCTGTCCACATCGCCGGCGTGACCATCTCAGCCGGGCTGAGGAAGCGCAAGCGAGACGACTTCCGAATCTTTCTTAAGGGAATAAATGGTTCTTCGAGACCTCGGAATTGAGCGGCCTTTTCTCCAGGTGCTAGTCTTTCCGCATCTATTATGTCTCCGAATGCTTCTGATATGACCTTGAAAATGTGCCGAGAATCGGGAGATTGTATGATAATGTCACAGACGAGGCCGCGACTTTCGAGCCGCTGAAAGACGGCACCCGACGGGCCGCAAGCTTTTGGCGATAACCATTCATCGCGAGCGCTATGTGCCCAGGCAGCAATGCTCTCAGTCGTCCAGATGCTACTCGTAGCGGATCGAAAGGATGACTGTACAGCCGGCTTCAAACCCGCCCATTCTTTATATTTATTCAAGGAATGCAAGGAATTTTCGGTAGACTCGATCGCAGAGAACCACACTCCTGGCAATTCGCGACCGAAAGGAAGCAGCACAACCTGTAGCTGCCAAGGGCGAGCAAATGATGGCATTGTCGTGCTTTCAAGCTCCATAATGCGAGATTCCAATGCATCAATGCGAGGCCGCACTTCTGCACTGGCGGCTAGAGTAGCCAATACCACTGCCTCAGTTTGAGCTGCGGCATTGCTGTCGAAAGAGCCGTCCGAAGCAAATGATCCACTTTCGGTGGGCAAAAGCCGTCTACTCGGAGGACTCTCTTGCTTCTCCGGCTCCGGACTGGGGCGTGCCTTGTCCATATCGGTCCGCCAGACCTCTAGATCGATGAGTCGTCCATCAACAAGATCAAGCTTATCCTGTATTTCCTCGCTCGGCATGTGCGAAAATGACAGACTCTCGAGCGAGCTGATTCGTCGCCCATAGTCCTGGATTGTGTTCTCGATCTCTCGCAAGGATAGCATGACTCCGGTGCCGACGTCTTGTGGATAGTTGGACAACCGAGGTCGACCAAAGAAATCAACATTTTGGCCAACGATGCTGATTGGTCTCGTGCTTGGCCGCATCTGCTCTGCTCGTGACTCATATATCATTGCTGGTGGTATGCTGGCCGTCAGGAGATCGGGGGTGCCTCGAAAACTCGGCGTGTTCACTTCGGTCGCGCTAAAAGCATCTGCACGACTGTGTCTGTCTTGACTGCAATTGCTGGCGAGGGGGGGACCCATGATCCCGTGACTTTGTCGTTGTTCGTGTACAAGGTTTGTTCTCAAAGGATGATTGTCTCCAGCCACGCTCGGAACGGCCGTCGAAACCAGTTCCCCATCGCCCTGATTTTGAGTGAAAGCGCCCAGCGCCGTCCACAGCCGTGTGTTGATAGACTGAGAATGCGATGGTGCAGCATTTGCAATTCCAAGGCCTGAAGCAGGCTGTTGGGAGACAGCAGTAACGGCATTTGCTGCGTGAGGACCATTATTTGCGGCGTCAGACAATCGCGCGGGCTCGGCACATGTGAATGATGCTGCCGCAGGGTGGTTCAGTAGGTGTGATACCTGCGACGTTGCCATGTTATCGTTCCCCATCCTATTCACCGGTACTAGTGCCGAACTCCCAGCAACATCGTGGTAGCAAGCATGGTGTCCACAGAAGCACCAAGCTCTTTCTTTGCGTTGCGAAGATCCATCCTGCTCATTGAGCCAGAATCTCCTGCACCCGCATGCCGTCGCGCTCACACTGCCGCTGAGATCTCGATAGTTGCAAGCGCCTTCGGGCAGGTATTGTCGTGTCGGGATAATGCCGCCATCGTGGAGTTGTGGAAACCCATGGACGGAACCAAAATGGGTCGCCATTGGCGAGCCACCGGTGGCTCACAGCTGTAAAGACGCCATTGTTTTCGAAGAGGGTGTACAAATGAGCGCGGATTCCTGCTCACATTGGCGGTATATTGGCTGGATCTCGATTAATGTTGACGAGCGTTCTGGTCACCAAAATCCGATTCAGATGATGTCGCGTGACAGCTTCGTCAAGGTGGTCGAAGGTGACAGAGAACCAATTGCGCAGCTAATGATCGTGCGACCGGGCAACGGCCGAATCATGTCGAGTATGACTTATCAGTTGGCGCGAGATGGTATCTATCGAGTCATAATATCCCCAGATGCAGGGTATCGCTGCCTCGTTACTTGATCTTGAATGGTGCCCGAGGCCTGCTTCGAGAGGTGCTGCTGATTGGCGCGGAAACAAGTTCCGCGTCCACAACGGCAGTCGAGAAAACGCCATCGTAATTCTCATGTGGGCAAAAATCTTGCACGAGGCCGATTCAATTCAGTCTTGATTTACATCGCAATCATCTCCGTGACATTGACGACCTTTCGCTAGCAGTAGACATCGCGTGCGGATACCAAGCTATCTGTGGATATCCTTGAAAGAAGGACTACGAAGCACCAAGGATATTTCAGAATCGCATTCTGGATTTCTTCACATTGGCACAACCACAATCAAGTGGATATGTCCGGGGGAAATTGAGCTTCTACAAAATCCACGATAACGATAATGGAGTCCACATCCAGATTTGCATTGGCTATATTGTGCCCACAATGGTGTTTGTGATTCTCTTCCTGTAAAGGGCTACGATATGAAATGGGGGAGTTGGCGGCCACGCGCCGTCTCGTGATGTATGTTATCATAACGTTCTTAGCAGCTAAGGCTGAGAGTGTGAGATTACCATTTGTGGACGAAGTCGAGATTTAATTCAAAACGATGCGCGAAGCGCAATGCGAAGTGTATTCGATAGCTGCCGTTGCAAGTTGCTCTACAAGGCATTCTCGAATTCCCGTGATACATTAAGCCCGCCGGCTTGATGACTGGCTAGAGACCACGTTCATTTCCATGGTGTTCAAACTGGGTCATGTTGATGCAGAATGATGTCGGTCACCAGGAATATCGCGTGATAATCATGACAACTCAGGGCGAAGGTTTTTGGAGATCTTGGTGTACAATTCCTCTTGACATCGCGCAGGTTGTAGATAACAATGATGGGTCTTGCAGAATACCAGGTATCCAAAGCGACCTCGGGATGTTTATACCAACCTTGGAAGACGGGCGTACCTCGAGACAGTTATGAACCTCGCATGTGACCCACGTTTTGATCGACCAGAGACCAAGGCATGCGTGGTGATTCATCTGATAAATAAAATATCAGGAATGAGCCTCGGGAGGCAACACGACAAGACGAGACCTCCAGATGCAAACTCAGAGGTCCCATTCGCTTGCCCGCCTTCCGATGGATGCATCACACGAAAATTCACCATGACTTCATGAATGTGTGATCACGAATATCACGTTGCATCGCGCCTGTCTGATTTGCACCCTGATTCTCGTCACATTCCGATGTCATTGCGATGGATGGCGCAGCAGCAGCAGCAGTAACAGCAACGAAAGCGGCAGAGCGGGGCCGGCGGACACCACCCTCATGGCTAGTTTGAGGGCTGCCTGAAGCCCTTTTTCAACCCGAATGTTTCGCCTTATGATGATGACAGGTGAAGACTGCACTTTGCTTCGATGTCACAAACGAGCGTATTGGCATCGCGATCGATGATAGATCAACGCTATAGCCGATGAGCGAATTGTTACAAATTGGGCAAATACAGGGCATTCGTACGACTGTTGCATGAACCGGCACGCTGCCGCCGATGATGAGCGCGGCTGACGTCTGGATTCAGTAGAAGGCGGGAATGATCAGGTGTTCGCGACCCGCAAACTGTCTCGCGACGCGGGAATACAGCAAGAAGAGCCACGTCTACGTGCGGCGCTGATGTGGTGAGTTGATGACAACGGAAGATGTCTCTGAAATAGCATGAACAGGAGATTCCTGGGTTTCTCATGCTGCCAATCTTTGCCATGCTGTCACCGTAAGTCTCGTCACCGATTCAGGCTGACCATGAATCCATGATGTGCCCCACAGATCACAAGGTATTGCGCCGTTGCTGGGCGCGCTGGGAAAGACAAGCGCAACGTCGGAGATTTCCGCATCGCGCCCCAAACCTTGCTCGTGGAGTCGTGGAGCGCCTTTCCCCCGCCATGCCCAGCGGAAATTCTTCTATCATCTATCGCGTCCCAATCATTGTTCTTGAGTCGATATAGAGATGTATCGATCTTCTCATCTTCAAGCCCACAACCGCGGTCAAATGAGAAGAAAAGAGTCGTCATTCTTCATCTATAGCTTGTCTCGATGCATTCACTGCGTCTTTTTCACTGCGTCCGTGGTAGTATTGATGTTCTGGATCACAGAACCTAGGGATAGTTCGATTCAAAATAGCTCGCGGGTGCCATTTTTAGCGCCCGACTGCATGAGCCGCGTTTCTCAACCTCATCTTCAATCCTCCATCCGAAGAGCATGCGCCAAGCTGTGCCACTGTGTTGCCAACATTCATGGATGGGCCGGAATCAGCGAACTCACGTCTCGCGCTGGACGCCGTACTGACCAACACCCTTCCCGATTTGATGATGCAATTCGTCATGTGTCCTGCGACGTTGATACCGCGCATAAGCGACGTGCGAGTATGTCTTGATTGCTGGACGACCGAGGAATCATGCTCGTCGTGACACAACAGGTATGTAGCTGATCGTCCTGCATAACGCTCTCTTCAGACCATCGGTGGTACGCAGGTTGTAATCTCCGCCAACCACCCTCATACTCCTATCCAAATTTCTACTCTGCTGCTTTGATCACGGAAAGGCTCTCGAAGGTGTCCGAATCATGACGAAACCGCTTTCCGCAAACTTTTGAGCTTACTTATCACTGCGCTGCTACAATACTACGTATCGTCAAATAATGATACCTAAACTTCTCCCATCGCCGGCACTAGTCTGTGCCTCCCGCGGACCGACTCACGATACTTCCATGCCCCACTCGCGATTCAACAACAGAAAGAAGTCATAGCACTCTCCATCATAAAATCGTCTACCTTGCTCTTCACTGGCGAGATTATCATCCTCAAGAATCCAATCACATTAGCTGTCGTGGTCGTAGTGGCTAGGTAGATAACGATCTACCACAACGCTCAACTGCTTTCCTGAAAGCGGGTCCACAGTGCCGGGCGGCGGGGAGATTTCCTGTCAGAGTCAGATACACCATCACATCAGCACCAGCCCGCTTCCTCCATCTTTTTCAAATGCCCTTACGCATACTCAGGTACTCACTCGTGCTATACTCGGCCTCCTACGGATCCTTCGGTGGGTGTGGGCTTTGCCTATCCTCGTGGGCGGTATTCCCAAAGGGACGTTTTATGTAGCTCTGTTACTGCAGGTGTACAAAGACTGGTATAACTACCGTTCACACTCGCGTTGCTACCCGTCCGCACTACCTGCACGCTCACGTACATATCTACGGGCAGTGCCAACCCCGGAACGCTACCACAGCAGGGAAAGTCAAGAGACATCATCACGCTTCATACCTGCTCCAATGTTGCTCTCGACAATGTCTAGCACGACGCAGCCTCACCAACATTCGCATCCTCACCATCACGCTCACACTCAAGATCGATACAATTCACAATACAGCTCGCAATACCTACAGGTGCCCAAGTTCGCACAAACACGCACCTCGCGATCACGCTCGAGATCGCGATCTCGCCAACGCGACTCGGTCCCGTGCGAAGTCTTCTCTTCACCAACTCAGGTCATTGTGTCGCCGCAAAAGTTGAGCTTCCGTCCCCGCTCGCCTGAGCCTCCAAAGAAACTCACTTTCAAACCTGAGTCGGATGACAAACCTCTGGCCACGCCTATTGCGCTTGATGTCGAGGAAGTCATCAACAGTCCGCCCAAACAAACGCTGCTCGAACCACCACCGCCGCCACATATTGATGCAGTAATCCTAGACGTGAACAACTCGAGGACAGATACTACCATGAGCATGACGATTCCAAACACTCGAATGCCCGCCCTGGCGACAGCGCCTACTTCTATCATCACTTCTATCGAAGACCCACTAGGCGGTGCCGACTGTGACGACACTGAAGAGAAGAATCAGGCATACACTACCACAATCAGCAGCCCCACCGAGCTGCTCTCTACCCCGAGTTTGCTACCACCACCAGTCACAACCGTCAATCTTCGCCAGCGGCTGATCGGTGCCTGGAAACTGGAGTCGTACATTGCTTACCCCACGCCAAGCTCCCGTGTTCAACGACCCACGTATCCCATGACTCGGAATGTCACAGGATTCATCATGTATACCCCAGACGGCTACATGTCTGCTCAGATGCTGATACCCGGACAACAAAGTTTCAAGCGTGGTGAGGGAGAAGAACCTCAGTGGGCGGAGGCAGGTAAACGCTGCTTTGCGTACTGTGGACCATACTACATCACAGATGAAGGCCCTGATCGCCCAGAGATTCTCAGGCATACCTTCCAGTGTTGCAATCTTCCCGGCTGGATCGGCGACATTCAAGTTCGTACACATCGGTTCGAGGAAGATGGGCAGGTGCTTGTGTTAGGCAGTGAGGAACCAACAGAAGTCAAGGTGAGTTGGATAATGGTCCCGGTGTCGGCTCCCCGTCACGGCCATTTTTCGTTGGGATATCATAGAGGCTAATATGTTGCCTAGGGCGACAAACGCATTCCTGTCCTCAAATGGCGTCGCGTACGTAACAACGCCGACGGAAATCCTCCACCTCCGACTCCTCAGATCAAGATTAGCGGTCCTGGTGAGCCATGAATCTCGCTATACTTGGTCGATTCGGGGATCTGAGCAGCCCATCAAGGCAAGACATGACCGGAGCGGGCCATTAACTCAAGTCGACGCTCTCGGCCAGTGTGACCATCGCTACAATGTATTGCTGAAACTCGTTCATCGGACCAGCAATTCGATAGTCCGGCATCTGCGGTCTTCATTGTTGTGCAAGACTTCGCGACTTTGATGCAAACAAGACGCTTAACCACGCTGGTATTATTGATTCAATTCAAACCACCCGAGGCGTTCACGCATCAACCAAAACTCAGTGAGTATCTACGGTCTACTTGTGCATGGCCTCTGTTCTGCGGCCAAATCCATCGCACCTGGAATCCGATCTGTGGCTCTGAAACGCAATCAAAGACTGTCCGCCTGGCGCGATAAGACGATGGATTGCTGTGCAGCTGTTGTCTGAAATCTTTGCCACGCTATACCCCGGACCAACATCGAGGACAAATATCGACGAACGAGAGCTCACAACTGGGCTTGCTGTCGAGCGGGAGCTCAGTCGTTTGCAGTTCTCGAGTAGAGATTGCCAAGGTAGCCGCAACGATATTCCACCGCCCACGGCATCAGACGCATGAATGTTGCGAGATCTTCATGTGAGAGAATATCACGTGCTTGTTTCCCGATTACCGTGGCGGTATCAGCTTTTACCTCAGGTCGGACTTGTGGGAAACGTGGAGCAAGTACGAAATGGCTCATCAATATTTGTTTGGCGGCCTGAGCTAGGAAAAAGCAGAAGCAGGCCTTCCGCTTCTCTACCATGACCGTCGTTTCTGATAATCTCTCATTCATATTTTCCTACATTGATCTCGGTTGAAACTCTATCTGGAATGCAATCAATCGTTCACCACGACAATATCCGTGAGGACAGAGACACCTTACATGTATGTAATGAAGGCCATCTAGGCCTCATGTCACACCTGCACGTGGGAAACAGCACATTGCAAGTTTAGAAGTTGAATAGTATCATATGCCGAGTAGAAAATTTGATCTGCTCTCTCGTGAGACATACATTGCCCTCCTATGCCCACCTCCACAACTCCATCGCTGAAATCCACATCAGTACAAGAAAATGAGACAGAGAACGCCGCCGAAGAGATGCCCATGCCTATGCCCATGCCGCTTAGAAACACAATAATAGCAAACTGCCTGGCCCGCCGATGCCTCTTCACATCTGCTTGTAATCCACACTCCTCTGTCTACGCTGCTTGCCTTGGTGACGGTGGGGATTGACTGGCTGACGGAAATACGCGCCGTCATTCGCGCCATTGCCGTTGGCACCATTATTATTCATCCAAGGCTGCTGTTGTTGATAGCCTTGTTGTTGATGAAAACCCTGCTGTTGTTGGAAATTCTGCTGTTGCTGCTGCCAGCCCATGTTTCCTCCTCCCCCTCCACCGTTCATGTTCATTCCCATGCCGTTCGGATAGCCGCCCATGTTCATCCCGGGAAAACCGTTCATCATGGGGAATCCTGGCATGCCCATACCCATGCCCATTCCCCCCATGCCCATCTGCATATTCATCGGCATGCCCATTCCCATGCCAGCCATCATGGGATTCATGAAATTAGCCATTGGGTTTTGAGCGTTTGAATTTGGCGTCCCGTTGCCGCCAGTCATGTTGTTCATTTGGTTAACGAACTCGTTCATCGACTTTGGCGCAGTAGGTGGTTGAACTTTGGTAGCAGGCTGCGATGGACCTGTGGGCGGTGCTACGACAGACGGCGCGGGAGTGGTTGTAGAGGTGGCTGAGGGGTTGTCGTTCTCCGTGGGAGGAATGGGTTTGCGAGTGTTCTCCAATTCTTCACTGGCGCCACGCTTTCGTGAGTTCGTGGGCGACGCGGCTGGAGATCGGCTTGTTGCAGGTGTAGGAGACCCGATTTTTTGTGGTGTAGAAAGTTCAGCGGCGACCGTGGCAACAGGACTTTTGGCGGCTTCTTCTTCCTTTGGTACGTTCTTCTCATTCTTCTTCTCAGCCTCGAATTCTGCAAGCTTTGTAACGGCCTCGCTGTCGATTTCGAGATTGTCAAGCAGCACTTGTTCACCACAGTTGGGGCATGTGAGATCAGCATCTAATACAGCGTTCTCGATGCAATTACGACAGTACGTCCGACCACAGCAAGGCGTTTTGACAGGGTCCGCAAAAGGTCGTTTGTCGATTGGGCATTCTAGACCACGCTCGCGTAGTTCTTCGTCGCCTTGCGCCGCTTCCTTTTTCTTTTCGTTGGTGGCATTTTGTTGGTCTTGGAACTTCTGCCAGGCAGCTTGATCTGGTCTTGCACGCACCCATTCACCGTCGGCAGTATACATCAGACCTTTGTCCAATTTGGAAGGATCGATCTTGCCGTCTTCACCAACGCCCTCCGGTTTCTCAACAACCTCAAGCATAGAGCGCGGGATACCGGTGGTGCGCTTGAACTTATGCTTACCATCGTAATTCGGATCAGTATTGGTGGGACAGGCCTGGATCCAGTGACCCTTCTCGCCACAACGGTGACAGACGTAGCTAGAGGGCAACGGCTTGTCAGGAACGGGCGCCGCTTTGGCGAAGTTATTTCGCATCACAGGCTTTCCGGCCGACATCTCCAGGTCTGCTTTCAATTGAATATTGCTAGCACTCATTACAGCTTGCAGTCTCTCCTCCTCAGTCATGGCTTTGCCGTCACCCGGACCACCATTCATAGTAACACCATTAGCTCGGGCACTGGGCTCGATGCGACGTGCATTTTTCGCGTGGATGGGCATTTGACCAGTGACATAGCGAGCAGCACGCCCAGCTCCTGGTCGTTGTGCAGGCTGTCGCCGAACAATGACAGTTGTTGATCTTGGGATTTCGGTAGTATCATCATCGTAAACTATCGGATATGTTAGATTTCTACTCGTGGTTACAAAGTCGCATTCTATGAACTTACTTTCGTTGCTGTCAGATGTATAAATATCGAGATCGAATTCCTTGCCGTCTCCCAGTCGGGCAATACTCATAATCTCACGCTTGACCTCAAACACAGACAAACTTGCGCCGTCGAAGTTGATCTGAAGAGCATCCTTGCGAGACTTGAAGCGGAAGAAGATAGACGAAGACATGGCTCAGTCGAGCAATTCAACTGGTGGTGTATTTGCGATGGTCTGGTGAAGATCCCATGCACCGGTGAAAACGACCAGGCGATCGATTCTCCTCGCACGGCACTGGTGACGTGAAGCTCCGATACGTAGATATGTGAATATGGGGAATTGTTACAATGCAAATCCAAGCACGATCCGATCTCTCAGGACAATACGCCCGGAAAAGGTGATATTGTATTGAATAAGACAAGTTTGACTGTCTGACACAATCAACGCTACGAGCGTTTTGGTAATGCCTTTCTTATTTTTCTTTTGCCAAGTAGATGTACTCTGTTGCCCGAGCGCAACAAGAAGATGAACGGAACAGGAAACAGTGATTGCGTGACAAAGCCAAATACAGAGACCAACGACCAAAATCTGCTCTTTCTTCCGCTGTTCGCCGAATAGGCACAGCGGCAAGATCGCTTGATTCGTGACACGCGAGCGCGTGGTGAAATAAGACTCGTCAAATGACGATGGAATATCGAGAGAACAACGAAGTCGGTGTCGCAGTATTGACTGTGAGAACGCGTCGATGGCGGATGCGAGGTCGTAGCTGATGATGGAGGAGGGAGCAGGAGGAAGGATGTGGATGAAGGAGGGAAAGAGGGAGCGTCAGCCTTGAGCAAAGTCATGCTTCTAGACTGCCCGCTCAGCCGGGCCGCCAAGCTCAGATGACAAAGCCTGCTGCCAACGGACCCGGGCACGTGCTTGGAAGCCTCAGGCAATCAATGGAACGTCACATGCTTCTAATGGCTAGCCCAACTATATCTCATGTCACATGGAAAGACATAGTCGAATACACCACACGCGAACCCAAAATTGAAAGCGGCATTGGAATCACGTGTCAATCGCTTTGATCGATGACTTCACAAACCTGCTCTCCTTCGATTGACAGGCAAGCTCCAAACATGGAGGAGCCGTTCCGCATCAACAAGAGGAGAAAGGTATTTCGCAAGCGACTCGACGAAGATGAAGACATGCCTGATGCGCGAATTTCGCCAGCGCTTTCTGCTAATCCTCCATCGAATATGGAAGAGCCCACTGTCCTCGCTAGCGACCTCAATCTTGTGCGACGAAGACCGATCGTCAAAAAGCATGGCATCGCATTTACTGCTGGTGGAACGCAGTCACTAGATCGCAACGATGAGCAAGCCATGATCCTCGTCCCTCAGAGTCTAGATGAGCTCCCGGCTGCGAACGATCGATTCGTGAAGCCGACCGGTCGCGTAGGAGTCGTGGAAGACAAGCACTTGTACGTCTGCTCCACGCCTTTGGAAAGCATAGATATAGAGATCCCACTAACAGTGTAGGACTGCATACGTAGACTCCAAGCTCGCACAAATGCGCTTCGCAAAGTCTCAATCAATGGCACGCGCGCCCGAAACGACTCTTGAAAGCGCTGCACTCGCCGCAGAAGCACCTATTCTCGAAGATGAGCCGATGGACGGCGCCGACGATTCCGAAGTCGATGAGCAGGGACTGTCATCAATTCAGACTTCCGGAAAGCCTCACGAATACGGCAAAATCCAAGCCATTCCCAGATCCTCCAAGTCTACTCGAAGACGTCGCCGCCTCCCACAAGCACTCGACCCCACCGTGGCCGAGCGCGCTACCATGGTCGACCAAATAATGCAAGAGAGCTTCGTCCCGCGCTACGCTAAGAAGTCCACCAAAATGATCCGCGGCCGAGCCACCACCACCGACGCAGCAACCTCAAACACGGACGCTCACAAACTCCAAGCTGCCGGCCCGGGTGATACGCAAGGCGAAAACGCCGAAGACCTGGTAGACAACGACGAAGCTGTGGCCGAAGCCTTCAAAGCCGAATTTCTCCGGGGTCTGCGCGAGCGCAATTCGCGGAAGCGCGAGAGACAGATTCTCAATGCGACGTCGACGCGTGCGGCGCCGCCGAAGGAGGGCATTACTCCAAAGTTGGGAGGAAGTCGTGCGCAACGGGGAAAGATGCGAGCTGCGAGAGAGGAGGCAGCAGCGGCGAAGACGGGCCCTACGATTGGTGGAGGACCTGGTGTCGGCGCTGGAGGTGGAAGCTGAAGTTGTAGTGATTGAGATTGGAATTATGTTGAGGTGTATGCACAAAAGACGAGGATTGAGAGTTTATGGTGTCAAACTTAGGAGAGTTCAGATCACATAAAACCCTGTCACTCGACTGGGATACAATCACGATTGCCATAAATTTGCAATTATTTTCGCACTATCGTGAACCACGTCCCAAACTCGCGTGTTTACACCAATTCATCTCTATCTAGCCCAAACATGCTAAAAAATAGGCCATTCGTATGTAACGCCGACCAATCCATTTTGTCTCCTGCGGCGCGCCATCGTCGTAGATCCCCAAAAACATTTTGCTAATTTCAGAGACGAAAATCGATCTGAACTCAATCCCCCGATCATCCCAGGGTTACCTAAGCTGGTGGAAACTCTGTGGAATATAGCTCCCTGCTCTGTGCATCCCAATGCATGTGTTCAAAAACGCGGAATAATACCTCTTTACGATGCCGCGCTTCGCTGACCGCCAATAGGACCAAAGCTAGGCTCACTCCCATTACGCGGTGAGGTAGATGCCACAAATGACGAATGTACCATATGTTTACTTAAGCTTCCCGATCCGCTATGACCTTGCGACGCGGACATGAAAGGAGAGGAAGAAGGGGGAGAACGAGCCGCAAAGCTGCCGTTTGTCCAAGGATTTGTGGTACTTGGGGACCTGTTCGTGCTGCTTTGAGAACCGTTGGTGCCCTTTGCAGTGGAGGAATGTGTCGCAGAAGATGAGAGCTTGGGAGATTGGCTTTCATCTACACCCTCCATGTCGAAAAATTCGAGTTCCTCGTCGCTACGTTGTGGACCAGTGGCATTTATGGAGCCCTCATGAACGGATTGATCTGTTGCTATACCATTGCTAGAACCTCCGCCGTTCTTGCTCTCGCTGCTTGGGGATCGATCGAGGATACCAACACGCTGCTTTTGTGGGGTGACAGCACCAGCACTCAACTTGGTATGTTGCAGTTCTCGTGTAAGCATACTTATCGCCGATGGACGAGTGGGACTGCTTAGAGCCGAATTGCCAGGTGCAGTCAAAGGTGACTGGTCACCAGTATGACGACCATTGGTGACAATACCAGCAGCAGTGAAAGACAACGATGAGTTGGCACCGCGACGTGGCGAACCGACATGGCCAAATACGTTAGTGCCATTGCGTTGTTGTGGTTGTTGCTGCTGATGCTGTTGGAATACATTGGTATACCGCGAAGGGCTTGAAGAGAGCTGAGAGTTGTGATGAGGGCTACCGATCTTGCTGTCCTGTGGCTGATTGGATAATGAAGGTCCCAGGTATGTCGCAGAGGTTGTACGACGGGATGTTGACAGGAATGCTTGTGGACTGCTATTATAATTGTTGCTAAAAACGCCGTTGCTGTCATCGTTCAGACGATTCCGCGAGTTCCGGCGTGTGCGAACGTCGGGAATGAGATCGTGGAGACTCGAAGGGAGTAGACCTTCCTCGACCTCGATATCGCCGTCCTCATCATCGGTATCGGACTGGTCAATGAGTTGTGACCGTTGCCGCAAATGAATATTGTTGTGAAGATTGTTGCTGAGAGAAGTGGAAACCAGATGGAGACGCGACGCACGTAAGCGTTCAGCATGAAGTGATCGCTTTTCGAAGGTGATCGGCTCTTCAATCCCATGTGGAGGGGATGAACTCATGTTTGCCAGGACGTTGTCCATGCCTCGACCACCACCATAAGCCGAGGTGTGGAGATCGCGAAGCGCGATACTACTCAATTGTGTCCTCGGGAGGGATGACGGTGCCGAATCAAGTCCGAACTTGGATGGCACCGATGCCGCCACTGGTCCGTACCGCGCAGCCCAGGATATACCATTGCTATCGAATGAGTTTGGTAACGGCGCGTCCAGAACGGAAAGGCCTTTGCGATGTATTGGCGAGGTCGCCATACTTTCAAGTTGAGAAGGTGAGCCGTACTTTGGCGAAGCTGGTGAGTATGACAAATCGAAGTGTGGCATGTCCGAACCCATTCGCTGAGCTGAAAGGTATGCATCGTTATCTGAGCCGATCTCGCCATTTGGACGCTGCTCGAGACCTTGTGTCTGGAGTGAAAGAAGACCTGGTGGTGGAGCGTAGCCATTTGGCGAAATGGGACCTGGGCCAATGTATTGCTGTGGTGGAGCTGGAGGATATGCTGGCATGCGATTGACGATGTTACCATCTGGCGTGATATGTAAGAGAGCGCATTTCCGACCAAACTTGCATCCACCTTTTGTGAAATATTTGCAGGGCATCGGCCTTGTCGTTGACTCGACATCATGTGAAAATGGACAGGCCCGACCTGCCTGACATTGTCCTTGCAACCAGAACTTGCACGGGACGTGTTGTGTATCTATGCCAAAATGTCAATCACATGTTACGCTGATCTCAAAGTATATGCCTCCATGACCTACTCTTGTTCTTCGGCGGACTTTGCGCCATTCGCGGGTGAAGCGTCACATCTTGCGCAGCGCTGTTCGAGTAGGATCGTGAGCCATTCGTCGTTGGTACCGGCACAGGGCCACCACGTTCCGGCTGCATGCTTCAGTCTTTGCCGTAGACTAGCTGAAATGTTGCATGTGGCGAGTGGTGAAAGTTGGTGGTAATCGTGATTCTCGTCGTTGCAGCGGAGGGCGTGAAAGCAAGCGGACGGTAAGAATGGCGGTAGTTGGCGACCAGAAGTTGCGAGGCGAAAGAGATGCGACGATGTGTGCTACACATGCAGCTGACTCTTGAAAGAAGGAACAGGTAGTCGTGCGGATATGAGTGAGGCTTGGTAGCGAGAGGGAACAAAGGGAAGTGTCCAGGTGATGAGTTTTGAGTTGTGGTGGTAGTGTCGCGTGGTCCATTCATCATCCACGGGTGAGAGTTTCTGAATAATCACGGCAGTATGATAATGCGCACCCACTCCAGGGCAGACTGTCTCGTGCAATACTGGTGCAGTACAGTACATACACCCACTACTTCAGTATCTCATTCTGCTAGTTAGAGGGAGAAAAGGTAAAGGTAAGCATAGCACATGCCGAAAAAAGGACCCTCTTCTACGCCATTCCGCCTAATGTAGGGTAGGATGTGCAATCGTCGGGTGGCCATGTGGGGTAACTTCTGCGATTACGTGTGGAGAGGCGTGAGAGGGCAAAGATAAACGGATTTTCTCCCTCTGCCCTCTCTCTGCTGCCCGCCGCCGCCCGATTGCGCCTGAAAGATTGGCTCCGGGCGAGATAATGACTGATAGCATGTGCTCATAGCGACGTTTTGTCAACCAATCTTTTCACCTCTTGGGTGAACACTGTCTTTCGCTTTCTCCCTCCCTCTATGTCCCCTCATGTAGACATGATTTCGCATGCGTACCACATCTTCGAATAAAGATCATTAGGTCTCGACAAGCATTGGTTGCTCCACATATATGCATACTCGCTTCATTCCCCGCCTATTGCGTGGTGTTCTCCAATACCGACTCGCATTGGCCAATCTATCGAGCTTCGGCAGAGCCTCATCTAGCGTCTGTCGCTATCATCGTCACCAAAATTAAAGCCGAGAATTATAATAATAGAATATAGAAGCGCTATCGCTTCTATCGTAGTTATACTAATAGAACTATCATAGTCTATTAGTCCTATTATTATTATATAAATAGAATAGGCTTATCCTATTTATTCTATTAGGTAATATAATAGATAAAGTTTAATCGTATAGGAACGGAAGTAGTCGTATTATAGCTTAAGGCCTACCTACTAGCGGGATCGTAATATTATACTAGGCCTACTTATATTATAACTTAATAGGAAGGTATATACTTCTAGGAACTAGTTATCTACCTTTATATCTCTCTATCTAGGCTATAAAGGTTTAGGTATATTAACTTTTATTACTTAAGTCTATTTTATAGTATCTATTATATTATATAAGCCTTAAGTAGAAATACCTCCTATTAAGATATTTTTATCTCTATTCCTACTCTTATTTAGAGTAAATCTATATATAAATAAGCCTAATTAAATAGTAGGAACTTATTTAGATAGTCTAGGGGAGGCTCTTATTATTACGGTCTATACTAACGTACTATACTAGTACCTTAGGTACGATACTAGGGTAGCTAACGTAACTAATAGTTATACGACCTATAATTACGTAACTACTCTAAGTAATCTATATACTCTTATAAAAAGAGTGTATAGATTAAGATGTTACGGGTCAACTGCTAGAGGGCGGTTTACTCGAGGGGGTTCTTGAGAATGAGTGGTGCAACAGGATATCTGAAAGGGGCTTTGATTCCAATGGTTAAGTTGGTAACATGAGTTCAACACGAACAGACATAGGGTCCGTTCGTACTACCTATATATGTAAGTTAGATACAAAGGGAATGCACTTCTTGTGCGATATGTGCGATGCCGTTGTGGTTGTGCGACGTCGTGGATGTCGCGCATCCGTACCTCGTCGCGTATCTTTCCTGGTCACGTGATATTAGGGTTATGGTTGCATGTTGTTGACCTGTCTTAACTAAGTGTCGTTCGTCCATTCTGTACTTCCTCCCCTTCCTGGCCGTGCCGTGTCACGGGATCGTAACACTACTCCCCTCTTCTATCTTCGAAGTTCCATCGAGAAGTAAGTTGGTTCTTGCGTTCTCATTCCTCCATGTTGACTCGTCATGCCCCGCAAACCAACATCCGCAAAAGATCGGTCTGACGAATTTCAAGCGTCCATCGGTCGATTCTGTAACACGATGCCAGTCCCGTGTTCTCGTTGTCGGCGTCAAAACCTCAAGTGCTTGGTCGACATTCGTTCCGGTCGCTGTAAGGGCTGCAACGACGACCACAAGCCATGCGATCTTCGGGTGACTTTCAAGGAGTTCGAGCGGTTGGCCAGGTTGCGCTCCGAGTTAGTCAAGAAATCAGAGGAGCTCGAAGACGAGCTCACTCTAGCGGAGGAGGAGGCTGCGCGCGCGCACCTTAGAGTTGTCGAGGCGCGCAATCGCGCCCGCACTGCTCGCAAGCGTGCTCTCGCGGCCGAGCTGAAGGAAGACGAGGCGTACGCTCGTGAATCTGCTGGAATTGCTGAGGTTGCTGAGATGGAGGTTGCTGCGAATAACTCTGTTTCTGGTCCTAGTTCCTCGACTGTTGACGTGGAGTCATGGGGTTTCAATCCTGCAGACCTCAGCGCCTTGCCTGAGGAATGGTCTTTTGCTGGTGGCGTTTCCGCTGAGTGGGATCTCCTGGCCGGCGGCCTTGGTGGTGGAACTCCGCCAGTAGAAGCCGGCAACTCGTCAAGTTCTTGAGTGGTTCCCAGGTATTTTCACTGTCTGGGTACCCTTTCCATTTGACGAGGTATTTCTGACCATCTTGTTTTAGTATTTTTTCGACTTCGAAGACGTCGTCTTCATAATTCTCTTGGTGGAAGGTTTCTTGTAATGGCGTTTCCGGGTCAGCTGGTTCTAGCTGAGAGACATGGAATGTCTGGTGTTTTCTGGTGTCGGATGGTAGTGCAACTTGGTAGTTCACTGGTCCTGTTTGTTTGATGATCAAGAAGGGTCCGACCTTGACATGGTCAAGTTTTTTGGATGGTCTCCTTGTGCCAAAGTTTTTTGTAAGCACATAGACTCTATCCCCCTCTTTCAGCTGAGGATTCTTCTTGAATGTGGATTCTTTGCTTTTCACTTTTGATTGCATTTTTGTAATCGATGTTGTCATGTTTTTGTAGGCTTCTTGTAGTTTTCTGGCAATGTCGATGCCCGATGCTGCTTCCACACTTGGCAGCTCTGTCTGCCACAGATCTGGGTGCCTTCCGTGGTTCGCCCAGAATGGCGTTT